ACTATTGGTCTGAGAAAGGGCGGTCCCCAAGTGCCTGATTTAGCATCTCAGTGATGTCTTGAAGGCTCCGGCTCCTTTCTTCTCTGCTATCTAGGTCTGTTGGCCACGGACCTCATGGTCACGACATCATGTCAAGTTGACTGCAGCCTCTGCAACATCGTCACTCAACAATGTTCAGAAAGAAAAACGGGGTGTGTCATAGGGGTGTGTCCACTTATGAAAGTGAGGAAAACCCTCAGGAGACTATATAACCCAAGCATCTCTAATCGCTCTCGTGTCTCCATGGCTGGTCTGTATCTTATGCCTACACCCAGACCACTCACTGTCCAGGGGAAGGAGACCACCATGGTGAGCTTAGCCTAAGTGGGATCGATCCTTGATGCCTGGAGGACACAGTCTTTGCTGAAAGATGAGGCTACTTGGAAGACGGTGGATGAAGATGGAATTCTAGAGACCACAGCGTCTGCCATGTCATGGGGATGACCTGGGATGACAATCCGCTAGCCCTCAGCTCTGCCTCCATACCCTCCTTTCTTTCCTCCACCCTCCTTCCCTTCTCTCCTCATCCATTCCACACCTACTGAGAGCCTACGGTGGGCTCAGTAGGCCGGGGGATTCTCTAAAGATAAGATACAGCTATGACCTTGAGGAGGTCCAGTTAAGTAAGCGTATAAGGCAGATACATGCCCTGATGGGACCTGGTGTCCTAAGTCTCAGGCAGGATGGGGGGTGGGCTGTTTCACAGCAGTGAGGATATGAGGGGGGGCTAGTGAAGAAGGACATTCCAGCAAAAGGGGGGTCAACAGAGCAAAGTCTCGGGGCTCCCTGAGCCCTTCAGGTGCTTTGTCTCCACTCTCGGCTGTGGGGGTGGCTCAGAACGGTCACTAGTAGCCTGTTTGGTAAAGCCAGTGGTTCCAGAAACATCCTAGGGGGAGTCCAGAGATCTTAACATGCCACAGTTCTCACGTCTGGAAAATGGGCCTAATTCTTCCAAGGCTGGCTGAATGGATTGACAGAGGAGATAAGTTAGACTCTCCACAATCAGACATCCATGTGGGAGGCCTGATTTCTCACCCCAGCTTCCCCATTGATAATGTGTTGACATCTCCAAGCCTCTGTTTCCCGGTCTGTGAAATGAGGAATTTAGGCTAAGCAGCTCTAGAGGCTCTTCTAGGCTTGAATTTCTTTCGCCCCCCACATGTGTGTTTTGTATCAGCACCATAGAGTGGGCTTTGGATATCTCACTGGCCTCCACCACCGGCCCAGGCCCGAGGAAATAAAGCCAGGCTGGGGCTGGGGGAGAAGGCCCGAGAGATGGTCTGGGCTGCCCGGACGAGGGGATCACATGCCCAGAGGGTGTGCCCTTCTGGACAGTGGCCCAGGGGGTTCCCTGGCCTCAGCCTTTTCTCCTCTTGGTGAAATGATTGTTTCTGGCGCCTTGGCAATCACCGAGCCAGAGCGGCGCGGCCTCACAGGCAGATAGGCGGGTCACCCTAACAGCCAGCATTGGCTCCCGCCACCTCCCCAGGGGAGAGGCACCGGCTGGTATTGCCTGGAGGGGGCAGAGGGAGGGGATCCGATGTGAGGCTGCCTCTCTCTCCAGCCTAGTGTTCAGTTAAATTCCCTTCAGTGAAAGGGTCTATCCTCACTGCTGGGAACACAGGCATGAGTGGGGCCGAGCAGGTTTAGTGTACACCCAGCATCAGGCCCGCCACGAGCCACGAGCCACATGCCCTACAAATATTAGTTGACGGACGAGGGTCACGACACAGGAGAGGGAGCAGGCGCAGAAAAGCTAACCTGTCAGGTGTAATCTGGCGCATTCACTCCATCTTTCACTTTGCACTTTTGGAATATCTCCTACGTGCCGGGCACTGCAGCTCACGCTGTTATCAGAAAGCCAACATGGCAATGAGATCTGCTCATAGCAAGGACCGCAGCTTATATTTGCTTGTGACCAGGGCCCCACTCAGGGCCTGATGCCCGGCAGCCTCTCCTGATTGGCTGAGTGACCTGGGGATGAATGACTCTATCAAGTGATTCCATTGCTAGGCATGCACTATGTGCACACATCCTGCGACATGCTGTGTGGGGCCCAGAGATGAGAGAAAGGCCCGTCCTGGTGTGCCCGGAGGGGTGGGGCCCTGGGGGAATCGGGATCTGAGTTCTTCTCCTGGTTCTGCTGACCCGTGGAGCAAGTATGACTCCAGGCAGGACTTCCTGACCTGCATTTTCTGCCCGTCTCCTTGCTGGTATTCTCTACCAGTCCTGTGGAGAGCAGGAAGCACAGGCCGGCGCACAGTAGGTTCTTAGAAAAAGCTTGGTGGATAGATCGATAGGGATTGGTACCCGAGTGGTGTGCAGACCTCTGTTCAGCAGGCTAAGACTTCTCTAGTGATCCCTTCATAAACCCTTATTGAGCACCTACTGTGTGTCCACCAACAGAACTGTTTAGATGAACAGTTTTTCTCAAGGCAGATGTGCCTCGGAGAGCAATGGGTCCATGGCTGATCTGCTTGGGCAGGGAGTAAACGCCATGTGGCCTCTGAGTCCCCACCAGGCCAGGAATCCCTATTCTTCTCCCTCGTGCCTGAAATGTCACATGGGCCTGGTACTCACTGCCCACCTTGTTCCTAGTCTTCATGGCCTTCTGCCGCACAGAGATGGCCCCTTTCTGTTCACAGAATAGGCAGTGGCCCAGTGTCTTCTGGACCCAGTTTCTATCAGAACTGTTTATGCCCAGCCACTGGTGTGGTGCCAGGAACCTACTTGGCAGAAAGACTGGATGGGAAGAGGCAGCAGAGACAGGAAGCAAGGTCTCTTCCCAAGAATTCTTATCAGCATCCGTGACTTCTCTTTCCAGCTGACCGTGAGTTCCTGGAAGATCGTGATGTTCATTTCCCTCCCAATCTAGCAAAAATGGTTAACCCTCAATAATTATCTAGTGAATTGAATTATTGTTAAACACTGGTATCATACTCATAAGCTAAAGGATCCATACAGATGATCATGATTGATGTGCCTCTTTTACACACGGAGAGAGTGAGGCTCTGGAAGAAGATGCCATCCATCTTTATGGGCTCTGAGAGGTTTCCCATGGGTCTTTTCAGCAGCCCTCAGTGGAGCAGGGCTCCCTGGGGTTCAACGTTGCATACACAGATTTGGGAGTGAGATTTGGAAAGACCTTGGTGCTCAGCCACTGACCCACTGCCTGACCTTTGAGGAAACCCATCCCCTTGCCTGGAAATGGCTTTGTGGCCAATGAGTCACACAGTGCAGGGGGGTGGGGAGTTAGATAGATCATTTCTCTACTAAGCGCCCCCTACTCTTCTTTCAGAACTTGCCTGAAATCCACTCCTACCCTCCTGGCCTTCTGGCGACTCTTCCACTTGAATTGTCTTCCCCCATGGTCTCCATGAGCCAGAGGCCACCTCCTCCTGGGAGTATTCTCTGGTTTCTCCCCATCCCTTAGTTCTGCATGACAATTCAATGAATCGACAGCATTTATCACATTCCCCTTGTGTTATCTTCATGTGATTGCATGGCAGTGTCTGATATCTCCCCCCCAGCACTCCCCACTCCTCGCAGGCTCTCTCCCCTGCCCCAGGCCCTGAGCACGCCTTCTGTCCACATTACCAATGCACGTGTGCCCAGAGAGCAGGACCATGTGCCCAGTTCTTTGTCTTCCTTCCCATAGTGGCAGAGCCCTCTTCCCTCAGTTGCGTACAGGGGTTTGTTCATGGTACGAGTTAAAGAAACTCATTTAAATTATTAATGGCTTGAGCCTCTATTGTGTCTCAGGCTCCATGCTGGGTGTGGGGACACGGAGATGGATCTGACAATGACAAGACCATGTGATGCGTGCCATGACTTGGGTGTGGGGCCGAGCTTAAGCTGTCCTAGAAGGACAGATCGGCTGTGAACAGGCAGCAAAGGGGGGTGGGGAGGGAAGCTGGGAGCAAACAGCGCAGACAAGGCCTTGAAGTAGCCCAGCTTGTCCAGAGCCTGGGTCCAGGCATCAGGAAGATTGGAGCTCTGCGACATACCATGAAGCTGGGGAGGCTGACAAGGGTCCGCTCAGAACCCCTTAAAGGCTAAGGTTGGGGTCATTACGCTCAGCTGCAGAAGACAGGAATCGGACAACCTTGGTTCAAAATCCTGCCTCTACCACCTAGCAGCTTGGTATCTCAGGTAAGTTCTTTATTCTTTCGGAATCTCAGCCTTCTCACCTGTAAATGTCGCTAGCGGAGTGTCCCATAAACGGTGACACTCAGCATAGTGCTGCACCTGGCTAGGGAGAGGCAAGTTCGGGGGTCAGATGCTGGGAGGACCCCAAACAGCTCTCAGAAGTGGAGTTTTAGAATTAAGGGGCTGTCAGAAAAACCCCTAGCGAATCCAGGTACATAATATATTAATGCAATACTTTAAAAATGTCAAAACGAATGCAAAAAAAAAAAATCCAAGATGAACAACATATCAAACAATATAAATGAGGACAGGATCCTCCTAGCACGAAGTGTGCAGCTCTAAACACCACGAGCTGTGATTGAACTGGGAATTCTCCACCTTCCAGGGCTATGGGCTTCTGAAAACACGAGCAAAGCCCGTGGCCCCTCTCACCCAGAAGAATGCTCAAACATGCATCGTCTGTGCCATTTTGGGGCGTTTCTGCACCCCTGGGGCTCGTCCACGTGGAGGTTAAGAACTCCGGTTCACCTTAGGGATGGGGGTGGTTCCTCGCGCCAGTCAGCGGTCTGCGGGTTTCCCGGCACCCTGCTGGGCCGCCCTCCTGGAGGCCGTAGGTGCTCTGCCCCCTGCAGGACGCAGCGCACAGCACGCCGCTTCTTTTTCTTTCTTGCTTGGCTCCCCCCTCCACCCCCTCCCTCGCTTCGGCTTGGGACTTTTCCTAAAGTTTGCTGAAACCAGACACCTTGCTCCACCGAGCCCGCGTGCAGCCACGGTTTAAAAGGCCGCCTTCAGCGCCCCCTCCCCGCCCCCAGCGGAGACTTCAAAAGGCCCGGCGGGCGCCGCGGCCCCAGCACCTATGAGCCGCCCCCCGCGCCCGGAGCCCGCGCCGGAGTCCGAGGACGCAGAGCGGCCGAAGTTCGAGCGCAGGCGGACCGGGCCGGCGGCGCAGCCCCGCGCGCCCATGCCCCTCCCGGTGCCGCTGCGCTCCGAGCGCCCGCGACCAGTTTAGGGAAGGGGACCCCGCACCCCCGCCCCCGCGCCCGCGCCCGGGGCTGCGGGGACCCATGAATACAAATGCCGTTAGGCGCCCGAGGAAGGACCGACCGTCCAGCCTCGCAGCTAGGGACCCAGTAAGTGCCCCGGGGCTTCTGGAGCTCTGGGGGTAGCGGAGTGTGCGCGTAAAGGTGTGCGCGTATGGGGAGGGGGGTGCACGTGTGGGGAGTGAGTGCGTTTGTGCACGCTTGCGGTGGGCACTGGCGGAGAGCTGTGTGCAAGTGGGGGTGCGCACGCGCGCGTGTGCACTGGGATGTGTATGTGGGTGTGTGTGTGCACGTGAAGGTGTGAATTTGTGTGCGGGTGCGTACGTTGGGGGGGGGGGTGGATCCGGCTAGGCTAATGTGCATTCGTCTGCGTGTGTGGAGTCCGGGTTGCGTTCGAGTGCAGTAACCCCAGGGTGTGCTTGTGTGAGCCCAGGAGTGTGTGGCCGAGCTTGCATGTGAATGAGTGTGAGTGCGTGTCTGAGTTTGGGGTGAGCGTGAATGTGTGTGGGAGTGTGTGTGTGCACCGGTGAACAAGTCGTGGAGGTGAGACTAGAGGTGGAGGTGGAGGTGGAGGGGGCTTCTAATGCCGGGGCTCGGACGGGGTTGTGGTTGTACGAATTTGCTGGGCGTTTGCGGCGAGTTCAAGGTGTGCAGCTGTACGCTCCAGTGTGGGATCTCAGGAGTCTTTGGTCGCCTCCTGGGGTGTGGGAGGGGGCGGGGGAGAGGGGTTGTTGAGCTCCCATTTCTTACCGAATGGACAGGGAAGGGAAGAGGGTGATACAATACACTTAACAAGCCCACCCACTAAGTGCCCAGGGAAGTCTGTTCTCCGGGGCGCTCTGAATCTGGGAAGAGGGGTGTGTATGTGTGTGTGTGTCTGTGGTAGGACACTGGTTGTCGCCGCTGTGGCAGTCTGGACATTGAGTGCTGGTCCCAGCTCTGTCCCTGGAACACCGGGTTCCTTTCAATAGTAGTATCTGTCCCCTTTCTCCCTGTATTCCCCAGCCCCCCCCCCCCCCCGCTCGGGGACCTTACCCCCACCCCCAGTCTTACAAACCAGAAGTCCCAAGTCTCCGAACTCTGCCCGTCCTGCTGTGCAGCTTTGGCCTTCTCTTTTCTCTTTGTGAATCTCGGTTTCCCCATTTTTACTGGGGGGCGGGGGGCGGAGGTGGGGGTGTCTGCCGGGCTGTCGTGGGCCGGCCGAGGCTGCGTGCTCGGCTACGGCCGGCAGGGGGCAGCATGGGGCAGCAGAGGGCGGCTCGGCGCGGGGAGGAGAGAAGGTGGAGAGCCACCGCGGGCCGAGACTTTAAATCGCCTTCATTTCCCCCAAATCCTTCCTTTTCCTCTCCTCCCCCAGGCCGGCGGGGAGGCAGCTTCCACCGCCCTCCGCGCGCCCTCGCCCGGCCTCGCTCTGCCTCCGGGGACCGCCAGCAGCCCGCCTCCAAAAGTTTGATCATCTCCCCCCCCCCCCCCCCCGCTTCTTCTTCCTTTTCGGTAGAAGCAGAAAAAGAGCGAGGCAGGGGCGAGCGCGGCTCCGGGACTCCTGGGACCATGGGCCTGGCGCGGGCGCCCGCGGGGCCCCGGCCGCGCTGCCTGCCTGCTCGGGCGCCCCTGGGAGCGGGGCTGCGCTGGGGGCGCAGGGGCCGCGCGCTCTGAGCCGGCCTGGCGCGGCGGGGCGGGGGGCTGGCGGCCCCATGGGGCGCGCCCACACTTGCCCCCCGGGCTCGGGAGCATGAAGTAGGGGCCCGCCATGGGAGCGGGAGCGGCGCGGGGGGCCCGAGGCACAGCGGCGGCGGCGGCGCGCGGGGGGTGAGTATGAGCTCGGGGACGCCCCCTCCCCAGCTTCCTGCTGCTCTAGCCCGGGGGAGGGCTGGGGGGGGTCCCCGCCACACCGGACGCTTCCCCGGAACGTCGGCTTCCTGCCCCTTCCTGAGCCCCTGTGAAGCAGGCCACCAAGGGTTAACGAGCGAGCGGGCTGCGCCCCCGGCCCGGCGAGGGTTGGCGAGCTCTGCCTGCCCTGCCCCGCTGGCCGGGCTCTGCGATCGCGTTGGGGCGGGGGCCGAGCTGGGGAGGGTCGGTGCAGAGCCAGCCCCGGGGTCGGGATTCCGGGTGGGTGGTGGCGCCTGGAGGGGCGAGTTGGGGGTGGAGGGGGCCTGTTTGGATGCTTGGGGGAGGAAGGGTCTCCGTTCGGGGCTGTCTCGGTGTGTTCCGGTGTCGGTGTCTACAGGTCCCCGAGCTTGTAAGTCAGTCTGTTCTCGTGAAACTATCCGCAGGCATCTAGGTCTCCGGGTCTCGGCTTCTGCTCCTGTCTCAGCGTCTGTGTGGCTTTGCACGTCCCCTGCTTCTGGAAGTCTCCGCGTGTGTGTCACTATGTTTGGGTCTGTGCGTCTCAGTGTCTCCCTGCTTCTCTAGGGGTTGGGGGGAGGGCGTCTCAGTTCCTGTCACTTTCCGTGAGGGAGAGTGAGAGCCTGCGTGTGTCAGAGTAGAAAGGGGCCCTGAAGATCCGAAAGTCATTGCACAGAGGCAGTGACTGGGGGGTGGGGTGGTGGGCAGGGGGGGCAGGGAATCTCCTGCGGCAGAAGCTGGGACCCAGGGGCTGGCGGAGTAGTTGTAAAGAGTGAGCGTGTGCAAGAGCGAGTCACTGAGTGTGGGTGTGTGTGGGAGTGAGTGAGGATGAGAGTAGCCCTCGGGCCCCTAGGGACTGTGGCTCATGCTCACTGCCCAGGGAACTTGCTCCCTTTCCATTCTGCCCCCAGGATCAGAGGACCTTCCCAAGAGGCCGGTAGGGGCTGTGACTCCGCCCTACCCCTCCGTGCCCCGCCCCCTCTGAGCTGGAATCAGGGGGACAATCCCCCCCTTCTTTCCCATGTCTTGGAAAAAGCTGGCTGGCTGAGATTCCACCACCCCCCACCCCACCACACACACACACACACACACACACACACACACACACACACAGCACCAGTAAGCACATTGCTGACTCATTTTCTCCAGAAGACCCTGTGCCAAGGCAGATGCCAGCGGTTGGGCAGAAAAGTGGTGCCAGGCGAGCACCCCATAGTGGGGCCCCAGCTTTGGGCAAATGGGCAGTCAAGCCACCCTGAGGCCCAGCCTCTGCCTTGCCCTGTCTGGCGGCTGCCCTCACCACAGCAGTGCCCCAGATACTGTGCCCTCTGGTTGTGGCTGGCCGTCCAGCTTTGCCCTTCTTTCCTTCTCCCAGACCAGGCTCCGGGACACTGCAGAGCACATCTCTGGCCTCGCCTCTCCTTCCCTTTGCTCCTTGTCCTCGGACACTCCCCTTCCTGGTGCTCGCATGCCTGCTGTCCCTCAACTCTTACCCCAACAGCCATCAGCTCCCCTCATAGTGCGCTGCGCGGGGAGAGGGGGCTGCCCTCCACGTGTGACCCACCCTCTGTCTCTCTCTCCGAGCCCATCTGCCTGTTACTTCGTTGACATAGTCTCCTTCCCCGTCTCTGTGTGCGGGGACCCGCTGGAGCCGACAAGCTGGCCGGCTGTACTGACGGGCCGCCTGGGTCTGCGGAGGACTGAGTACCTCTGCAGAGGCAAAGCACTCCCAGCCCCACCCCTTGCGTGGCTGCCCTCGTTCGGGGGGAGTCCTGATTGCCTTGTGAGCTCGGGCAAGCCCCTCGCCTCTATGCTTCTCTTCTTTCTTATCCACACAGCGGGCATCTTCGTTCTCAGCTAGCAAGGTTTTGTGAGGGCTCATGGGGTGCCGTGCTCATCAAGGGCTTAGGACAGGGCCTGGCATGTACTACGTGCTCGATAAATGGCAGCTGTTACTTGTATTATTATTCACTTCGTCTTGAATGGATGTGTGAGTCAGCTGGAAAATTCTGGGCTGCATCCTGTCCAGACGGATGACCTGTCTGTGTTCCCGTGGAGGGGGTATCAGGTGTGAAGAGGGGAGCCCGGGTGTGGCTTTCTGGGCACGTGGGGACTGACCAGTCCACGGAGGCTGCTGGGACAGGCCCATCCCCTTTGCTGTTCTGTGGTCCTCGGGCCGCCGTACCCCACGGAAGCACAGCCAAGCCCGGAGTTCACAGGGCTGCTTTCCTTGTGTGTGTCTTAGTGCCCTGGGTCTCAGCTCTGAGCTCCTAGCGGTCATGCAGGCGGCAAGGGTCTGTGAGATCCTGTGCGTTCCCAGGTGACAGGGATGGAGAAGCGTGCAAACCAGCCATCGGTTCTTGCAGCCCAGTGGTCCAGGAGTAGCCGTGGGCGGTGTGCTGGCAGAGGGCCTTTTGTGGGGGTAGGGGCACCTGGGTTCCCTTCTTGGAGGGCCGTGTGGCCAGGCTGTACCTCCAAGGTCAGGATCCCTAACTCCTCGCTGCTATTTCAGCTGCCTCCTACGCGCGCTGGCCCCTGGGCTCTGGTCTCCCGACATTCTGGAGCCCTGGGTTCACCGAGCCAGGGCCCACAAGTCAGTGGTGAAAACAGAAGTTGGGAAGAACAAAGCTGTGGGCCAGCGCAGGCACTAAACATTATTAGCAGTAGCCTAAACAGCACTGGAACGGGAGCAGAAGAATCGGCCGGGCCTCCCTCTGGGAGCCAACTTTCCAAGCCTGGAGCTTACTTAGATGGCTTGCTGCCTCCTCGGCTGCATCTCTGCCTCTGTTGGTAAAGTCTGGGACTCTGGTCCCTGGCAAATAGGAAGTCCCTGTAAGCCTCCAATTTCTTCTCCATGAAAGACAAGTCAAGTGAGACGACTGTCTGCTAAGTAGTGGGGCGGGACGACGTGGGTCACGGGCATGCTGTGTGGTTTTAGACAAATCGCGTCCCCTCTCTGGGCCTCAGTTGCCCGTCTTCACAATAAGGGGAGGAGACTAGAATCTGGCCTCTAGATGATCTCAGAGGACCTTCTCCCGCTGTATATTCTCACTCTTTGGCGGTGTCAGAGTCAAGTGCACATAGAATCCAGGTGTGGGAGACTGGTTGCCTTTGTCAAGGTGAACGAATGGAAAGGCACATACTTTCATAACAGGCCTTCAGGGCTGAAGTTCTTGAGTTGGAAACCATGGTGTTGGGAAGCTTAATTAAAGAGAAGATTCTGATCGATTGCCCTAGTGAGTCTTCTTCCTCATGACCTTCAGGGATTAAAAATATTTCCCCCATGTGTCTCTCTGAAGTGATCACCTTGGCATAACCGCAGCCATAAAAGTTGACTAAGGACACGTGTGGCTCTTACCCCTTCTCCTCTCCACCCAGCCTCTCCCTATCAGCTTGGGAAGCATCTTACACAGGGTAGGTAAGACCCAATATAGTGAGGGACTCAAGGAGTGAGGGCTTGTGCTTGGAAAGGGCTGGGAAGAGAGGGTGGAAGAAAATGGGGTAGAAGCGGGCTTGTTGGAGCCCTGGAAAGTGAGGGGCAGTGTCCTCTGAGGAGTCATGCTTGGGAAACCTGAGCTCACTGGGTCCCCTAAGTGTGGGGACTGCTGCTGGACAAAATGCACGCTCAGTGTCTTCATTGTGGCACGTCTCAGACCCTTTGGGGTGCAGTGAGCTGTGCCCCGGGAATCGGCAGTACCGGGATGCAGCTCTTCCCCAGGTGATCCGGCCCTGCTTCCCTGGAGTGTCTCCCGGGCGCACACGGGAAACTGTACTGAGGAATTATGACCCCAGAGCCTCCCCAGGGCGACCTTGAGGAGGGACCTACTCTCCCTAAGCCTCAATTTGTATCAAATCAAACAGAGCCTCCCCTCATTTCTTTTCAGGCCCAACGAGGAGGCTGCCATTGGCTTCCAGGGGGCAGGTCATGTCGGAAAGGTGGCCTCTGCTCTTCTTCCCTGGTGGTGCCAGGGCAGCTAGGCACTCTGACCTTTAGTCATTGCTAGCGGTATGCTGGAGGCGAGGTCTGCGGTGGACTGGCCCCGTGAAAAGGGCATTTTCACAGAGATAGCAGCAGATTGGAGAGGATGAGGGGGAACTGATGATTATCCAGGACCAATCCTGGAAAAAGGCAGAGGGAGGGAGGGCCTTTGGGGGGTTGCTTTTAAAGTCCGGAGTCCTAGAATACAGGTACAATGTATTCCTTCTACAAAGATATGCTGAACGTTTACGACACGCCTGCCAGGTGCTGGGAGTACAAAAGGGAACAAGACGGATGTGTTTCCTATCCTTCAAGGACTTGTTCTAGAAAGGGAGACAGGAACATAGGCAATTAGCCCACATGGGGTACTGGCTGTTGTGAGGTATGTGCACTGGGCCGTGAGAGGGGATGCCCAAGCTGGAATTGAATGCATGTGTGGGAACTGACCAGGCTAAAGAGAAGTGTTAGGAGTACTCGGGAGCAGCATGTGCAAAGGCCCAGAGGCTAGAGAAGGCTTTCAAGACCATCATCAGCATCTGAGTGCAGCTAGTTTGCCTTATGCTGCAGCTAACTGAAGACCCAGTTCAACATGGCTTATGTAAGGGGTGTTAATTACCTCTCATGTCAGGAGACCTAAAGCAAAAGCAGCAATAGGCTTGGCTACTTCAGCATCTCAAGTGTTATCAAACAGCCACTCTTTTTCCATTCTGTCATCCTCAAATGCTCATGGAGCTTGTTAGCCTCATATACACAAAGTGGCTGCAATAGCAGCACATCCCCACTCAATCACACACACAGGTTAGGAGAAAACCTCTCTGTCCCTTTGAAACACTTTTCCAGGGGCCTTAAGAGGCATCCCTCACATCTTATGGGCCACATTTGGGTCATGTATGCATGCCGAAACTGGTCACTGGCATGGCAAAAGAAATGCCCAAGATTGGCTTGGACTTACCCGGATTTATCCAGTAACCTCTGAAATCTGAGCCTCCCCGAACAAGAGGGGAAGGGGGGATGGCCATGGGTAGGCAACCAACCGTGTCCTTCACAGTGCCCAGTCAGGATTACTCTTGATTACAGTTGCAATTAAATTGGAGTAATTGCTATTAAATCAGAGGGTGTAAACTTGTTTCCCAAGGCGCCCAGGATGCTGGGAAGAACGTGGGGCTCCAGACATCAATTCCAGCAGATGGGTTTCCTGGATTACGTGATTCCCCGGAAACGTGCCATTCTAGCTTTCCTCCTGGAAACAGATCCTGGGCCTGTGCGTCCCAGCCTGAGCCCTCAGCACCCGCCTGTCTCGGCTCTCTCCGCCTGCATCCCGGCCGGCCGTCTTTGGCCACGTGCCGCCCTCCCCTTTGCCTGTTCAGGGATCAGATGCCCCGGGTGGCTTCGGGTGTCGCCGGTGGCTGCTCCCACAGGAAGGTGAAATCGGATCGCTGCCTCTGCCCATCTTGGCAGGAGCCACCGAGCGGAGCATTAACCCCTCAGGGCCCCAGAGTTCAGGGGCAGCAATGACGGTGTAAGGAGCACTGCTGTGGCTGGCGCCGGGCCGAGCCCTTGACATGCATGAGCTCATTTAATCCTCACGCCTGGCCCGAGAGATCGGGAATGTCGGCCGTGTGGCAAAGCAGGAGGCAGGCTCGGGGAGGCTGAGTGACTCATCCAGGGTCACACAGCTGGTAAGCAGCAGGGCCAGGTTTGCACCTGGGTCTGCCCGACTGCCCACGGTGACCTCTGTTCCTCTGTTCTCTCTCCTCCCTTTTTCCATCAGCGTGAAGCCAGGTGGGTGGCTTCGTAGCACATGTTGTTCCTGGTTCAGGGCTCTTCTCCTCCTCTGCCTTGTGTCTGGAGGGTAGTTCTCATTTCTTTTGTCCTTTGAGATGTCCATCATCCAGGTGTATCAGTCTGGTGTTCCCACAGTACAGATGGGGAGACTGAGCCCCAGAGATGGCAGGGGCGGGCCCCTGGTGGCCTACGGAGTCAGCAGCAGATTTGAAGCTGGGCCCTGGGTCTCCTGGCGCCTGGGACAGGGCTCCCTGCCCTGTGACCTTGGTTCATCGATCTGTAAAAAGCCAGGTTGTATTTGGAATGTATAAGCAGGTCCTCCCCGAAGAGGTTGCCCTGGAAACCGGGAGTGTGGGCTGCACAGGGGACAGCGGGGTCCTAGAGCCTGTACCTTGCTTCCACCTCCCATGGGTGAGACTGGGGGGCCCTGGGGCTGGGTGATCCCCTCCCGGCTCCCCAGCCAGATCCGGGGCCTGAGGGTGGAAACTGATGCCGCATCTGCTTGTGTCTTCCGGTCTCTAGGGGGTTTCTCTTCACCTGGATCTTAGTGTCGTTTGTCTGTCACCTGGCCTCCACCCAAGGAGCTCCTGAAGGTAATCCTCTCTTCTCTTTGTGCAGGGGGAGACCAGGGAGGGCAGACGGGACCTGAGAACACAGGGCTAGGAGACAGCAAGACCCCTCACTGGAACTCACTGCCTCAGTTTTCCCATCAGTAAAATGGAGCCAATCATTGGCAAACTCCCTCCGGGCTTGAAAGAGTCCCATTTAAAGTTTTGTGCGGGGCAGGAAGGACTCTGTGCAGAAATGTGGAAGGGCGACCCTGACTCTTTCTTTCCTACCCAAGGTATGGGGGGTGGGGGGGCGGCGTGGGCAGAACTGGGATAAATCACGTTGGCTCAGTCAGCCCCCGGTCGTCCTGATTTGTCCAGTGGTTATACCAAGAACTGCTGGGAGGAGGCACGAAGGCCACAACTTCCTGCTCTTCCCGTGAGATCCTGCTCTTCCCTACTGTCCCTGAGGAGCCGGCCAGGGGGCCAGAGCGGCGGTGGGCTGGCGACACAGCTGCCCGTGGAAACCAAATCCTCTCCACATCTGTTTGTCACCCAGCCACGACGCCTCCTAAAATAGCGGCCCTTCCCCCTCCTCCATGCCCGCCTGTGTGCCGGGGCGGGCGGCCGGGCACTCTCAGAGCCCCTGTGGCCTGACCTGGCCGCCGGCAGGGATTGGGTCCCCGGGAGGGGAGGGCCGTGCCCGGAAGAGACTCCTGCTGCCCGGCAACATTTTGTGCAAATGTCATATTTTCCGAGCTTGCTGTTTCCCCCACAAAGTAGGTGAACAGCTGTCCAGAGTCCTGAGTCAGGCGATGGGGGGCGGGGGCTGTCAGGGAGAGGCCGGAGCTGTGTGGAGCCAGGTTTGTGTCATAAAGGGATCTGGCTGCGGCCAGCTGGCTGGGTCCTTCCAGCTCGGCGTCGGGCTGCCTTCATTCTCCTGGCCCCTAGCTCCTCGCCCCTGGATCTTGGACGTGTCTTCACCCCGCTTTCTCGCTTGTCCGAGGGGCTTTAGCTCAGTACAGCATCGTGCTAAGAACAGAGACCCTGGAGCCAAGTGGCCTGGGTTCAAATTCCGGCTGTGCCTTTTATTATACGCTCTGTGACCTTGGGCTAGTTATTATAGCCAACTTTTCTGACCTTTGTCTGTGAAGGGGGGCATTATAAACAGTACCTTCATCACAGATGAGTGAAAGAGTCAAGAGAGAGAGTACATGTAAAGCACTTGGCTCATAGTAAGTGCTCAGCAAATACTGGCATCTGTTATTGCTGTCGATTCTATTATTTAGTTGAAAACTTGGGTAGGAACAGTCCTTCTCTGTCACGTCAGAGTCTTCCCTAAGATGACCACCTCTGCCAGCTCCAGGTGTCCGAGTTTGGGGCTTTGCCCTTGACCTGCAGACAGCCTGCAGGGGAGGCCTGGAGACTGGCGGGTGTCTGTTTTGAAAGGACGCTGAGGGAAAGCTCATCAGTGCCGCTGGGCCTGGCCAGCTGTCATTTCCCTGGGTGAGCGTGAGCAGCCGGAAGCCGTGGTGCTTGAGGACATGTCGTGCAGTCCTGGGGTCCTCCGGGGGCTGCTGAGATGGGCCAAGGGGAGGGAAGGGTGGCTTCCTGTCCTCACCTCTTCCCCAGCAAGTGCCTCCTCCTTTTTAAATTGTTTGCAGTGAGTAGCGTTTTGTGATACTAAGAGCGTTTCAGTGATTCAAAGGTGTGAAATACACTACTACCAGGAGAACCTTGGAGCTGTGGTTTGTTTCACGTCAGGGTTTGAGGGGCACACGGAGGTGGGAGAGAGGGGGAATTGGAAGTGGGATGAAGGCCCGCAGGTCCTACGGAGGAATCAGGGTCTCTGATTGAAGCCAACCCGAAGAAGCAGCCTACCCTCTAGAGTTCTTAGAACGTCCTTAGCACTTTGTGGCCACTTCCAGGTCTGGTTTCCCTTGTCTTACAGGTAGGGAAACTGAGGCTCAGGGGTCAGGAAAAGACTTGCCTCGAGGTGTCCGGTGTAGGCCATGGGCGAGGATTGGCTAGGAAGCCCGGGAACCCTATGATGTAGGCGTTCTTCGCTGCTTCGTTTTATGGCAGAGGGAACTGAGGCCCAGAGTCCAGACTCACAGTGGCTTTGCCTGGCTCTGAAGCCTGGCCTTCTGACCCCCACCCTTCTATCTGTCCATCCATCCATCCATCCATCCATCCATCCATCCATCCATCCTTCCATCCATCCATCCATTCACGTCACAGTTGTTAGCTGAGGACTAAGTGCCACGTGACGCATTCAGCCTGATGGACACCCCCATGGACCACACTCAAGGGTTAGGTTGCTGCGTTCAGGGGTGGGGAACCTGAGAACCCGTGCTAGGCCCCAGTTCCAGAGGCAGCCTCTCCTCTCTGGCTTCTGCAGACACTGGCAGCCCAGCCAGCTGAGGGACGTCGAGTGACCCAGCGAGAGGCAGGGTCAGGAAGCCTTTCCATACACACCCTGGAAACCGTCCCTTTGCCCTGGCGAGCCCCACCGATGTAATTACCGGGCAGATGTGACCTGGCCAGGCCACAGTAGATGTCCGAACGGCTCACCAGAGGACAGAGCTTGCAGGGACGCCCCTGCTCTGTCCAAAGCGGCACAGGGAGGAGGGGACTCATTGGAAATATCCTCTTCCTTCCGTGCACAGAGCAGCTTCCCCGGCCTGCTCTGGCCAGAGAGAGACCTAGAAGGTGGGCAAGGGGCTAGGGAGGTTCCTAAAGGTGGTGAGACCGGTCAGGCCCACGGGACATCCTTACCAAGCTCCGGTGACACATCCATTCCTGTCACCCTGCTCCCTCACTCAGGGAACTGCTTCTTGGAGGAGATGCTTTTTGAGGCAGAGAGAAGGGGAAGCTTGTCATGTTTGGTGGCCTCAGACACTCTTAGTGCTAGCATGTGGTGATGATCATTATTTTTGGTATTAACAGCTATCATTCGAAAGTGCTTATTTTGTGCTAGGCTCTTGCTTTCAAGTGTATCCTCACAACAGCCTTCTGCGTTTGGTGCTACTATTATCCCATTTAACAGGTGAGAAAACTGAGGCACTGAAGTCACAAGTGAACTCAGGAAGCTTTGCTCCAGGGTCTGTGTCTTTTTTTATTATTTTTTTAATGCTTTATTTTGGAGAGAGAGAGAGAGAGAGAGAATGGGTAGGGAAGGGGGCAGAGAGAGATGGAGACACAGAATCTGAAGCAGGCTCCAGACTCTGAGCTATTAGCACAGAGCCCAACATGGGGCCCAAACTCGTGAACCTCGAGATCATGACCTGAGCCAAAGTTAGATGCTTAACCAGCTGAGCCCCTCTAGGCGCCTGGAGTCTGCGTCTTAAACTAGTATATGCAGCATCATTCGGCCAGACAGGGAATAGGTTCCAATTCTGTACTCCCAGCCGCAGGCATGGGCCACCGGGCAGCAATGGGTGACCCGTCCTCACTGGGTCTGTGCACCTTGCAGGGGTCTGGAGCTGGAGCAGGCCCTGACCCCGCCCTCTCCCGCCTCTGCCCACCCTCTGCAGATGTGGACGTCCTCCAGCGGCTCGGCCTCAGCTGGACAAAGGCAGGGGGTGGCCGGAGCCCCCCGCCCCCGGGGGTCATTCCGTTCCAATCAGGCTTCATCTTCACGCAGCGGACCCGGCTCCAGGCCCCCACGGCCGCCGTCATTCCCGCCTCCCTGGGCACAGAGCTGGCTCTGGTGCTGAGCCTCTGCTCCCATCGGGTGAACCATGCCTTCCTCTTCGCCGTCCGCAGCCGGAAACACAAGCTGCAGCTGGGTCTGCAGTTTCTCCCCGGCCAGACGGTCCTCCACCTGGGGCCCCGGCGCTCGGTGGCCTTTGACCTCGACATGCATGACGGGCGCTGGCATCACCTAGCTCTGGAGCTCCGTGGCCGCACGGTCACCCTGGTGACAGCCTGCGGGCAGCGCCGGGTGTCTGTCCCGCTGCCTTTCCCCAAGGACCCAGCCCTCGACCCCGAGGGCTCCTTCCTCTTTGGGAAGATGAACCCGCACGCGGTCCAGTTTGAAGGTGCCCTGTGCCAGTTCAGTATCTACCCTGTGACGCAGGTCGCTCACAATTACTGTACCTACCTGAGAAAGCAGTGTGGACAGGCTGACACGTACCGGCCCCAGCTGGGACCCCTCCTTCCCCGAGACCCTGGCGCAATCTTCACCTTCCAGACCGACCTTGCCCTGCGAGGCCTGGAGAACCTGACCACTGCCGCGCCAGCCCTGGGGGCACGGCCGGCAAACAGGGACCCCAGGAGGACTGTAGTGCCCGCCACCCCCGCCGAGCCCCTCAGGACTAGCGTCGCAGACCCTCACCGGCGTGCTGCAGCCGGGAGCCCAGCGCGGACCCCGCCGTCACCTGCCAGGCTGTCAGCCGGTGAGGGGCCCTCAGCTCCCCGTGCCGGTGCCGCCACACCTGTCCAGCCGTTGCAGAAGAGCACAGCCGCAGGCAGCCCCAGCAGTCACCCAGCTCAGCCCTCGGCCCCTCCTCCTTCAAGAGGCCCCGTCAAAAGGCCCCGCCCCACCCAAAAGGCCGCTCAGCCTCCCTTCTCGAAGGCAGCGCCCCCCACCACGAAGCCGGTGCCACCCACCTCCCCCCTACTTCCTGCCAAGGCCTCCCGGCCCCCCGTGAAGCCAATCGCGAGGACCCTTGTAACGCCCAGACCTCCGCTGCCCAGCGCTCGGCCCCTGCTTCTGGCCACGGGCTCCTCCAAAAAGCCTTTCTCCCCAGGGGGCCAGAATGAGGCCGCAATGAGCCATCGTGCCGGCGGGCCGGCTGCTGCCCGCACCGGCGCCACCAGGCCTCCTCAGCCCACTGTCCCGTCCCTGTCCCCTGCCCCCCGTCCTGGCCCTACAAGGCCCGCTCCACTGCCAGCCACGTCCTTGCCTCCCGCCCTGGCTCCTGGCTCAGCCCCCTCCAGGACCAAGACGCCCTCTGGATCAGAAGCCACGCAGAAAGCCAGACCCAAGAGCAAGGCCCGGAAGCCCGTCCCCCTCAGACCCGGGAAGACAGCCAGGGATGTCCCGCCGACCGATCCGACAACCCGGCCCAGCCCCAGCCAGTCCCAGCCCCGCCAGCCTGCCACCTCCTCGGCGTTCACCTCGGCGCAGTTCCTGTCCGCCAGTCCCTGGCCTACAAGTCCCAGCTACTCGTTCCTCCACCCAGCGGGGCCCACGCCTTTCCCGTTGCTGATGGGACCTCCAGGGCCCAAGGGGGACTGCGGTTTGCCGGTAAGGCCGGGTGGGGTGTGCATGTTGCTTGGAGCTCAAGTGGGCGGTGGGGGTGGGTGGGGGGTGGGGTGCAGTAAGGGCAAGTGGCTGCCCTAGGCAAGGGCCGACTGGGAGAAGCAACTTCGAGCAGGGCGGCGGTTATGGGCCAAGTCTCAACTCGAACGTGAGTTCCTCACTCGTCTACCTCTGCTGTGCTCGCGACCGCACGCCCTGCTGTTTCATGACCCACTGGGCCAGACTTGGTTTGGCGGCCACCACCAGGTAGAGAGCCCCCCTGGGCTTTGCTTGGCTTGGGCCCCAAGTCATTTCTTTGCTAACCCAGCTGTCAAGGTCAAGTGGCTGAAGGAAAACCACTAACCGACTGGCCCCTAGGTCACACGCTCTCCGAAGTTCAGCTGTTCCGACTCCTAGAGTGGAGCCCCTCCAGCCCACCAGCGTGTCTGGGAGTTTTGGACAAAGGTCGCACACGGGTAGTCCTGAATGTGTTTTGTTTGGCACGTGCAGCATTGTTTAAAAATATTTAACGAGTTACTAACGTTTTAAAAATGTGAGAGATTTCTTATAAAAGACCTGGTGACTGGCTTCTCCTGGAAGGGGAGAGACGCAGTGGCCCGTGGGCTGCGGCTGGGTCAGAGCCACCCCTTTAGACAGGACAGGTCTGCCCCTGTGTGGCCCCCGTCCCCACATCTCCCGATCAGGTCTTCCAACTCGGTCCTTCTTCTGTTTCTTTCTCCTGTCTGGATCCCATAGATGTTGGATTTGTGGCCCCTGTAGAGGAGTTTGGGGTGGGGAGGGGGGAGGTTGGCCTGAACAGTCAAGGGAAGGAGAAAGAACAATCCACGTGCGGGAGATGTTCTCAGGGCCGCTGCCTGCAGCATGCCTGGGACTGTCTCCAGGGGCAACGACCTTTCTGCAGCTGGAGGCCAATTCCTCCGGGCGGGGAATGGTGGGATGGAGTTTCCAGAAAGCTCAGGCCTCGGCTCTGTTCTCCCGCCTCGGAGATGACCACTGTGCGGTCTCCTCCTTCCTAGGGCCGGGTTTCCCACCAGGCTCTAGTGTTTGAGGTTAGGCTCCCTACAATGTGGACACAGTGGCAGATGCTGGGAATTCCCAGGCCTTACAAACACACTTAATGAGTTTTAATAATGATTAGGAATAATATTTGTTCAGCCTGTCTCCAAGGGGACTGAGAGCGCACTTTTATTATAACCATATTGTAGAACTTATGGAAATTGTATGCATTGCTTTGCAATTATGTCAACGCTCCGCTTAAGACCCGTGCTCTGAAATTGTCCGGGCGGGGAGTTGGGAGCGGAGGAACGAAGGGGGACCCCTGTTCAGCCCTCCAGGCTGCTCAGCCTGACTCAGGCACCAGGTGCCTCTGAGGCCTGATAGCTCAGCTTCCCAAGCTGTGTGGGCGCTCGGTTCACTAGCCATGAGGTCAAAAGGGGGTGAGTTGTCCCCTCTCAGAGAGGGTGCGAAGCTCAAGTCTCCACTCCATTCAGTGGAGGAGGCCAGCCCTGTCTCCCAAGGCCGTGCACAGGGTAGAGAGAGGACAAGCCTCCAGAACTGGAGCGGCGGATGGTTTTTTAGGGTGCGTGGTTTTCCCAGGATCAAAGAATGTGCTGCAGCCAACCTGTTCGGTAGATGGGTACTTAAGGATCATTCCATTCAACCGTCCTCACTGGGCAGGTGAGGAGCCTAGAGCTTGTGCCCAGAGAGGGCCAGGACTTGCCAAAGGTCACACAGCACGTAGGAGGTAGAATTGAAGTCTGTGCCCAGCTCTAGACGCTAAGACCTACATGGCTCATCCTATTCCCCTGAAGGTCCACACTGAGACTCTAAGGCTCAGAGCCGGGAAGCTGGGGCTTCCAAGACCTGTCAGGCCCTGTCCTTGGCCTCAAAGGAAGATACCCATGTCTAAAAGAATCTTGTGTTTCTATACTCACCAAATGTATGCATTACATGAATGGCATCTCCCTTTAGAACCTCCCAGGAGCTGGTTCAGGAGGGCGGGATGTGTATGCTAATCCCCGCTCTACAGATGAGGGGACAGTGAGTGGTCAGAGGGACCAAAGACATGGCCAAGGGCACCGAGCATGTTCTTGCGGGGACCAGGACATGCCTCTGGGTCCCTGGCTCCTGGGTCCCAGGAAGAGCCGTGGCTCTTCCTGCTACTGCAGCCCTGAAGGGCTGAGGGCCGAGGGCGGACGGCAGTCTGCTTGGGTGGTGTCCTGCCTCATGCCGGTCCCCGAATCCCACCCTCCCTCTGCTTGGAACCTAGCCTCACTCCAATAGGAACCGAAAAGCTTCGAGAAGCTTTGTCCAGCCCCCTGTGCGGCAGGTGGCAGCGTGGTCATTTGTATCCCACCGGATACCAGCCATTATATAACTGAAGTGACATCTTTGAGCAGCAGCGACGAGAACTTCTATTCCTGTCCTCTCTTATCTGCCTCCAGCCCCCGTATATATTCAGAAGCTGTTCTGCCCTGGGCAGGGGGCTTGATTGTCCCCAGTATGGGGACATGCAGACCCGAGTTCAAATTCTGACTCTGCCCCTTACTAGCTCTGTGCCCCCGATCCACACTAAGTCTTGATTTCCGCAGAACGTAGGTTAAGAATAGCTCCCATCTCCCGTGAGGAAGCAAGTTGGGTGATCTCCAAGGCCCCTTGGAAATCTGTTCTTGCTGGGTGACTTTGGGGAACGTCTTCCTCTCCCTAGGGCTGTCTCCCCTCCGTGACAGCTTTGGAAGATCTCCCTTCTTAGAAAGAAGTGGCTGTGGGACCTTGCGTAGCCAGAGAGGGGTGCCACGCGTGCCTGGGTCTGCCCGGTGCTGTGTGGTCCTGGAGGGGCATGAGACAGACTGCTGGAGGCGGAGACAGCTCCGGGCCCCGGGCCTGCCAGCAGTCGTAGCCATGAGCGAGGGAGCTCCGTGGGAGCCCCGGCAGCGGGGGGAGCATGGAAAAGCTGAGCTGGGCCCCGGGTGAGTAGGGGCGGGGAGGCTGCGGTTCACAGAGACTGCACAGAAGCTGCACAGAAGCCCCAAGCTTGGGAGGAGGCGAGTCAAGGCCTTGTTTATTCATGATCGCTGGCATTTGCACCGGCTTGCACTTTTTTGCAAGCGTCACCTCGGGGAGACCCGGATGAGGGCCTGGCCCGCAGCAGATGCTCCGTGACTATCTGTGAAATGAAGGGATATGATCTCTACAGAAAAAAAGGTTGTCTTGATTCCCAGGCCAGGCTCCTTGAAGTGACACAGATCTCGGCTGCTGGTGGGTCGGGAGGCCGCACGGAGGAGGCCGCAGGGCCCAGACTTTGGATTTGGAGTGACCTGGGTTCAAACCGCTCCCTTATCTAGCCATCACTTCCTTCTTTCAACAAATGTTGATTGAGTACCTTCTAGGTGCCAGCTGCTGTGTGACCTTTGGCAAGTCACTTAACCTCTCTGGCCTCGATTTCTGCCTTTGCGAAATGGGGATAGGGTACTGCCCACCTTACCAGAGTTGTCGTGTGGACTGAGATGTGGGACGTAAAGCACTCAGCACCTAGCACCTGGTCCTGGCGGGTTGTTGTGGTTGTTTCCTGACATGCTATGGCTGAGAACTGTACTAAGAGAACCAGGAATCTCTGGACCCCGGGGTGCCTCCATGCTGTTGGTGGTTAGGAATTGGGGCTAGATCTTGAGAAATTCACGCCTTAACCCTAGTATCATCTAGAACCCAGGAGAAGGAGGGGTGTTTCGCTCTCTTTGGAGTATTGTTCCTGAGGTCCTACTCTGTGCCGGGCTCGGTGCTAAGCCCTGTGCGTGCTGTATCCTGCAGCTCCACGTGGGGAACAGGTCATTGAGGCGAGTTCAAGGAAGGGGCTACTTACAGAGGTGCGGGCAGCAACAAAGGAACCCACAGGGGCTGGCGAAACACACGGTCTAACCTGAAGGTACAAGGGGAGGGGAAAGTGTAACCAGACCCCAGTGAAAGTTAAAATGTGCACAGCCGTCTGCAGCCCCCAACAGGAGCAGGGAGAGAAATACTGTGCCCGCTCACTCTTTCTACTTCTCTGTCTCTTGCTGGGGCTTCCCATTGGCCAGACCTAGCCCAGAGCACAGAGCAAGGAAGCCTGAGGGTGCGGCCAGTGAAAGCCAGCTTCCTGGGGCATGCAATAGATCTGGGCAGCAAGTGGAGACTAACCAGCAGCCCCCCCACATTATATATTGGAAGGTGGGTGTTATATTCCCATTTCACAGCTGGGCAAACTGAGGCCTGGAGGCCCTGGGAGATGCAGTAATGTGCACAAAGCCACACCCAGTAGGCCCTGCCCTAGGACAGAGGGTGGGGGCAAAGGCTCAGAGCCCTGAGCGCTGTTCCTGGGAATAACGGTGTGCTCAGATGGTCAGAAATGGGAGGCCCCTTTGAGGTGTCCTGCCTCTCCCTATCGGGCCAGTGAGCAGAGGCCCGGAGCCTGGAGGGTCCTCACGCAGAGTCGCCAGCAGTTAGCAGCACATGAGAGACCGGCCTCAGGCCTCCCAGATCCTCAGCCCGTGGAACCTCTCTGCTCGCTGCCTGAGGGCCCTGCCTGCCAGGACATACTTCTTTCCGCAAGGCTTGGCAGGCGGGGGGTGGGGGGGTGTGCCTGCAGCTGACGTCACAGTGGACTTGTTCCGTGGGACGGGGTTCCCCGGGTCTGGCTGTGGAGGCCAGGACCCTCGGGGAAGCCCAGAGCGGCTGCTTGTTTGTTTCCATGGATCTGTTTACGCGAGCCCCCCCCCCAGCCCCTGTGCCCCCCCAGGCCCAGGCCTCGCTCGCCTCCCCCAGGCAGGCCTGTGGCCCCCGCTCCCCTCCCCCTCGGGCTCCGGGCCCTCTCAGAGGCCCCGTTGTTTGCGGCGTGGAGTGGAAAATCCCACCCCGGCCCTCGTGAATCATCCCAGAGTCACCCGCTCAGGCTTCAGGCCTTGGAAAGAAATGGCAGCATTTTTCCACTGCGTGGAGAACAGGCAGGGTCTCGGGCCAGGCGAGAGGGGGCAGGGGGCGCCCACCCTCGCTCGCCCACTAACAAAGTAAGTAGTGAACAGGGAAGGGTCAGGCCGGTGGCTGCCGCTGGGCCCGGGGTGGCAGAGGAGAGCCTGGCCAGGCCCGCAGCTGGGGGCCGGGCTGCGATGACACGGAGCCGGGCTGTGGCCTGACATCACTAGGCTGGGCCGTGGGTCCCAACTGGCACTCAGAGTCTGCTCTGCAGATGTGCGGGTGAGGTCAGACTCCCAGCTTGGATGCCCCTGTTTCTGGGGCAGAAGAAATGCCAAGAGGGTGTGCCAGGGCCCCTGAGGGAGACTCTCCGTCCCTGGAGCCCTGCCTGAGCTCTGCCTCCCTGGGCCTTGACCTTCTTCTCTGTGAGATGGGCATGGTCTCCTCCTTTCCTCTCCTGTCAGATAAGTGGAGAAGGAAGTCGCCATTGCCCTGCAGCTCGGGAACTGCCTCGTGTTGGGAAGGTTCCGGGGTGCTTCTTCCACAGCTGCCCAGAGAGGGGCAAGCCCTTACCCAAGTGTGCACACCTAGTCAGCACGTACTGAGCTGGGATTCTCTGTGTGGAAGCTCCCAGGAGAGGAGAACAGATCCAGTGTCCTGGGTTGAATGCAGGTCCTGCCCGTTAGCTGTGTGGCCTTGGGCAAGTCGTTTTGCCGCTGTGAGGCTCTGGTTGGTTTCTCATCTATGAAGACGGCTCTGCAATGTCTGTAGTAGTGCCTCACCTGAGCGCCTGCATTTCCCTTTCTTTCTGGGTCACCTGGAAGAACAGGGAAAGGGAAGGGGCTTCCGGAAAGGGAAATCTTTGTTCTTCCTGAAAAACAGATGCCAAGGAGGGTGGTTTAAAATTTGGAGCAGCTTCGGGCGCCTGGGTGGCTTAGTCGGTTAAGCGTCCGACTTTCACTTAGGTCATGATCTCGCGGTTCGGGGGTTCGAGCCCCGCGTCGGGCTCTGTGCTGACTGCCAGCTCAGAGCCTGGAGCCTGTTTCAGTCTGTGACTCCCTCTCTCTCTGACCCTCCCCTGCTCACGCTGTCTCTCTCTCTCTCTCCTAGAAATAAATAAAAACATTAAAAAATATTAAAAAAAATAAAGAATGAAGGGGTGAGGAATGGAAGTAGGGTGCCCCCCAAAGCCACACAGCTCGTAAGCAGGAGTGCCCTGTCTTCCAATGTTCTCTACTGTTCCCCTGCGGGGGATGAAGGGGAGAGAGGAAGGAGCCCTGAAATCCCAAACCTGCGGAACTACATAGAAGGGCTCTGGCTGGAAGGAAGATGGCTGCCAGTTTGGCCAGAGGTTCTGGGAGGCTCCGAGGTGTCCAGGACTTGCCCGAGGGCCACGCAGCCACCCGCCCCTCCCTCCACCAGCGCCCCTGGGGCCTTGGAGCCCATATCTGCCTGTCTGGATCTCTCTTCTGATTTTTATTCATGGACGAGCGAGCACGTGGCGTTCACAGGCCAGAACTGTGAACCGAGCCTGCCCAGCGTGAGATCTGGATTAATTACCAGCCAAACCGTACTGGGTTTTCAACACTGATTTTAACTCCGGGCAGGAAACCTGGAATCTCGTTGATGGTTATTTGAAACAAATGAATTCCCCAGGCCTCATACATCCTCGAAAGCCAGGCTTCCTTCGAAGGTTCCGTGTTCAGTTCTTCACATCAGGCACTTAGTTAATCCTCGTTTATCCCTTGAGGGGAGACGGGGGGGTAGCTACTAGACCCACCATCAGTGGGAGCCATGGGGACTCAGGCTGAAGGGCATATACGAAGTGTCCAGCTACTAAGCAGCAAAACCAGAAACTGGACAAAGGTCAGTGCCCTCGGTTTCGTAAGTCTGCTCAGCTACCTCCTTCCCATGCTACAGGGTTAGGCCTTTCTCTTGTGGGAAATAGGGAGCCATTGAATGTTGTTGAGCCGCGGAGTGCCTTGGGAAGATGAACAAGGCTGTGTAGAGGAGGACAGGAGTAGAGAGAGGGTGGAGGTGGGGAGACAAATGAGGGTGCCATTGCAGGTTCTGGGTGAGCAGTGATGAAGCCTGGACCAGGCTGTGACCGCTGGAATAGAGGGAACATTCCAGTGATGATTATATACCAGTCACAGTGTTAAATGTTTACCATCTCTCATTTCATCCCTGTGACAATCCTATGAAGAGGCTATTATCGTCCCCATTTTATAGGCACAGGCTGGTTCAAGAACTTGCCCAACCCCAGCTGGAGAGTGGCATCATGAGGTTTGAACCCAGGCCTGTCTGATGCAAAAGCCTTTGCCTATGCCCTTTATGCTACACTGCCTCTCCTTGGTGCAGAGATGCTTGGTGTGACCTTGGACAAGTCCCTTCTCTGCTCTGGCTCTGCAGAGAACTTGGCTGAGCTCTGAGGTCTCTTGCTGTTTTATCTTATCAAACATTTAGTTGAGAGTCCTGGGGAAAGAGACAGATTAGTTCCTCTGAGAAGACCATGGTCTAGTGGGACTGATAGGCTTCTGGGCAGACAACGCCCCAAATAATATAGAAGCCTTTACAACAGAGGGAAAGAGAGGACTTGAGTAAACCTAGGGGAGGGATCAGGGAAGGCTTCCTGGGACAGGTGACACTTGGTTAAGTTAGCTGAGTAATGAAAGGTGAAAACTTCAAAGACCTAGAAACGGCAGGTACAAAGGCCTGAAAGCCTCAAAGGGCTTGAATTCCTTAGGTAGGGACCTCAGAGGACCCGTCTTCTCAGCAGCCACTGGGTTTCCATGCCCACAGCTCTGGACAGGCTTGTTGAATGACTGCTTGAACCCATTCTCTGCCACCACCTGGCACTCACGCTATCTTCTTGCTTTTTTTTTTCAGGGTCCCCCTGGGCTTCCTGGGCTCCCTGGACCCCCTGGTGCACGGGGGCCTCGGGTAAGTGATCACACGCTGTCCTGGGGAGCTCTGGTTGGCCCTTTGGCCTGTATCCCACGACCCCTAAGTTCCAGCCTTGCTGTGTGACCTCAGGCTGTCCCCTGTCCTTCACAGGCGCGCATTTTCCATTTGGTCCATTGGAGTGTGCTTAGGGCTCGCAGGGGGCATGGTGTGGACAGGAGTGGCCTGGGATAGCAATGACCTCTTACAGGGCCTCAGTTGTTTCTTGCGTATGCCCGCGGCAGTCTGGGGTAAAGGGTCCCTGCAGCCACACCTCCTGAGATGGATTTCAGCATTTGTCTGGAAGCAAAGCTGGTTTGGGAGGATGTGACCCTCACATCCATCTTCCCATCTCTGCAGGGCCTGGGCTCGGGATGCCAACATAGGCAAGGTCGGGGGTGAGCTCCCCATGCTGAGAAGTTTCATCAGAGGCTGGAGGACTGCTTGGCCAGGCTGTAGTGTCTGAGATGGGCCCGCCTGAGCCTTGGTGTGAAAAACCGCTCCCGCACCTCCTACGTCACTTAATGCCGCCTTGATGGAGCCCCTCCCCCGGGACCCCCAGGGGCCAGTACAATCGTTCTCATGTTAGGGGTGAGGAAACTGAGCATGCAGGAGATGGAAGAGCCAGGATGGGAGCCCAGACTCTTAGCCATATGCTGGGACCCTTGGGGGGTTTCTCTTGTTGAAAAATCTGTCCTTTTCCCAAGAGGGCTCAGACCCATGACGCCTGCCACCTGTGTCCAGGCTGAATCAGCCTTTCCCACGCTGGGTGCCTGGCAAGGCTCTGGCAGAGACAGCTGCCCGGGGCATATTTTTAGCTCTGAACCCAGCGGATGGTTCTGGTTATGCAATTACTCGAGCCCTAGTTCCCTCCAGACCTGGCCCTGTGCTCTCTGGGCCCAGGCCTCTGGAATCTGCCGCCTAACGCGGCATTTCCTCCTGGCTTCAGAGTCTCCATGGAGCACATACCCGGAGCTGGGGACCACAGAGGTCCCAGGGATACTACCGGCCACAGAACCTGGTAGCCTGGTGCCAGGATGAGGCCCTTGGACCTGGCAGGCACTTTACCCATCCAAACTGCTCCTCAGCACCTGCACCCGGGCTGTTCCCTCCACCTGGCCCTGGCGCCCTGGGGCGCCCTTCTTTGCAAGTTCCTCCTCCATCCCCTGCTGAGATCAAACGCCACCATGTTTTCCCATGACTGCCCCCTTCTCTGAGCTCCTGCAGCAGTTTATCTGCTTCTCCACCGGATCACTTGGATCACTTTTGAAAAGCTCACAGGGACTGCTGAGCTCTGTTGACTGAGCCGCATATGCATGATCTCATCCCACCCTCCTAGTCATCCCGAGAAATGGGTTGCAGTAATGTCCCCATTTTACAGGTGAGGAAAACCGAGGCTCAGAGTTGTTACTTTGGATAAAGTCAACCATAGGGTAAATGCCAGCCCTAGGACTGAACCCAGGCACTCTGAGCCCGGAGCCTCTGATCGTACAGAATTATTGCACTGAGTTTTCTCTCTACTCTGCCGAGCCCCTATGGGCCAGAGGCAGGTCCTGTTTATTTCTCTTTCTCCCACGGTGCCTCGCAGACTGCCCTGCGTGCAGCAACTGGCCAAATGGTTGCTGAAGAGTTCTAGTCCGGGAGTTAACATTTCACCCCAGAAGCTGCGTGATCTTTGGCAAATCCTTTCCCCTCTCTGGGCCTCAGTTTCCCCATCTCTAAAGCACAGGGTCCTCTCGGGATTCTCCAAGGCATTTCCTTAGAAAGGTATTTCCAAGGTCCCTCCCAGCTCTGAAATTCCACGAGTGAGTGAATGGCTCTCCTGACATCCTTCTTGGGCTTTCTGCGTGTTCCCCTCCCCGTCATCCTGTTTCTAGGCTGGAAATTCCATAGATCATAAAATTCCAGAGATAATAGAATGTGAAGATTAGACAATGCCAGCTCCTCTCTGCACAGATGGTGGCTCTGGGGCTCAGGGAGGGGCAAGGCCATACCTGAGGTCCCCCAAAGCTCAGCAGCATGCCTCTTCCCACCTCCCCATGCTTCCCCAGCCCACGGAAGGAAGTTGGGGAATCCCTGGGCCCTCCACACACCCGGCTCTCTGAGCTGCAGCATTTATAGAATGGGTCTGCTTGGCTCCCAGTCAACTATGCGCTTCGTTTCTCTGCAAGGCAGTGGCCGGAGAGGGGAGTGGGGGCGGGGGCGGGGAAGCAGGAAGCCCCCACCTTCGTAAACTGCAGATGGGGTAGTGGAGTGCTCCAGCCCACCATCTTCAGGGCAGCTGGGGAGAAGTGGCCACCGTTGGCCTCCCACAGCCCATGCCTGGTTCTGGGGGGCTGGTCAGGGGTTCCGCCTCAAACGCCTTTACCCAATTTATGCCCAGTTCAGGCTGAGCTCTGAGGTTAGGCCCCAGGAGCCTGGGCTGGGGTGAACTTCTGAAGTCGTCCAGATTCCTTAGAGCCCACTGGGCCCTAGTCACTCAGAGGACTCTTGGGGAGGGGAGCTGCTCACAGCTCCTTCTGGATCTTGACACTTCCAGGCCACACCCACATGCCAGGAGGCAGAGCTTGGTGGCATGGTAGAGAGGGCTGCAGAGCTGGTTATGTTAAAGGGAGGGTCACCGTGCCACAGCCATCAATTCCCCAGGCCCAGCGAGCTTCTGAATACTGTTCTTTCCAGCGTGTTCAGAGAAGGGGAGGGTCCCTGTTCCGGCATCGAGGAAGAGGGAGGTGCCTTGGTTGGAATGTGACAGGCTACAGCTGGGAAGTTGGCCTCCGAGAGGGAGGAAGGAAGCACAGCTAGCCAGATGAGTCAAGAGGGGCCAAGGACGAGGGCAGTGTGTCTAGAAGCTGGTGTGGTGGGGCACCCCTCGGTCTCCCGGGGTGCCTCTCCCCACCCCTGCTGCCCCTAGATCATTCCTGCTGGACAAAGACTCTCAGGAATCACCTGACTGTCAGGGCTCTGTTTATGTTACTGGCTGCAAGATTCTAACCCAGGGCCCTTGTCGGAGAAAGTAGATATAGCAGGTTCCAGCTGTTACATGGGATTCAGATACAACCTAGGAAAATCCAGTGCCGTGAATAAGCCTTAGACCTGAAGCCAACAGGCCTGGGTCCCGGCCCTGGCTTGGCCATCACTGCTGTGTGACTTGGCCAAGACTCTTTGACTCTCTGGGCCCAGTCTTCCTAGCTGTTCCAAGGCCTCCAGAGAGACCGTGAGCTCAGAGCGTGTAGGAATCTAAGGGAGAGCTTTCTGGCTGGGCTGTGGCCCCAGGAGGGATGCACTTGTGTTCAGGAGATGCTAAATACTCCCTTCGCTGAGTTCTCAACTCCAAAGACTCACATGATGGTGCAGTTGTAGTCGAAAGGGAACAGTTCTTTAAGGCAGAAGTCCTAGACGATCCCCTGGAGGAAGTAGCATTTGAGCCAGGCCTTGAAGGATGGGTGGGTATCAGCTGGAGGGGATGGATGGGAAAGGCATGCCGGTGATGGGAACAGCATGGGAAAAAGTGGTGAGGCACAGTGGAGGGAAGCAATTCGAGAAGTGGGTTTTGAGCCCAGGGAGCCAGCCTGGCAAGGGCTGTGGGGCCAGGTGGAAAGAAGGGGGAGGCGGTAAAACCCAGAGGTTGAGGGCTTGTGCTCTGGAGCCGGACATCTGAGGTTGAGCTCTGGCTCTGCCTCTTAGCAGCCGAGTGACCTGAGAAAGTTCTAAATCCCTCTGAGCACCGGCTTCAAAATGGGAATAATGGTAGCGCCCACCTCTCAGGTTAATAGAGTCAAACGAGGTGATGCATGGAAAGTGTTTGGTGCAGGGGCAGGCATGGAGGGTTCCTCCCGAAGAGCAGACCACCATGGCAGTTGTGCTAAGGCTCGGCGAGAAGACCCAGAAGCGTAGGGGAATGTGCCAGGCGTTGCTGTGGGAGGTGGCGTGACACCCATTTCCCCCTCACCTCTTTATTTCTTTTCCCTTTCAGGGTCCTCCTGGGCCTTATGGGAACCCAGGCCTCCCCGGCCCTCCTGGAGCCAAAGTGAGTATTTGCAGTGGGGTCTGCAGGTCGGACCAGGGAGTGGGTGCTGGGGTTGGAGCCACATTTGGGGTGCTTCTTAGCGGCTCCTGGTGGGAGGGCCTCAGTGCCACAGGCAGTCCCCGAGCACCTCCCAAGTGCCGGGATGGTGACACAGTGGAGACTTGGGAGTAGAGCTTCTGGCTGGGGCTGGGGCGTTAAGGAGGAAAGGGCAGCTACCATGTACAGCCCTCAAAGGAGAGCAGGAAGAAGGGCCATTTGCTGATCAAGAAGGAGGGCCCAGAATGTTGGACTCGGGGTATAAGTTTTGCTGGGTCATAAGACTCACCCTGAGAGGCACGTTATCTTTCAAGCTGGGGAGGGACATGGTCATGTTTGAGGACGATCAGTGTCATGTGGACATGGACTGGAGGTGGGGACCAGAGCGGAGGCGGGGAGACCTGGGGTGGCACAGGGGAGGGATGAGGCTGGCCCCACCAGCCTCGGGGTGTGGGAGGAAGGGAAGCAGATGCATTCACAATGCGCTGGGGAGGTGGGGAGGTAGAGAGGCGCGGCCACAGGCGAGAGATAAGAGACCAGTGCCTCCCCAGTGTTAACACGGGGAGCCAGAGCGGGGAACCTGGTGAGGATGGAGAGGGTGTGGATGTTCACTTGGGACCCTGGAGCCCCGCCAGGTGGAGATGAATTGTGGACAGACATTTGAAACTCTGCAGAATGCTGAGCTGGAGATATGTAGAGCCTTGGGGGGGGATAGAGATGCCACCTCCCCCAGGGACCCTTTCTGGAATGCTCCCGTTAACTTTAAGATGAGACCGCAGAGATCAGAATGACCCGTGCTCTGACGCTGGCTGGGAACTCTGGCCTCAGAGCCCCTAGTGCTGTTCCTGGAGCCCCAGCAGTGAACAGGGCTGTCCAGGGCAGTGCTGGGAGTGAACGGCCAGAGCATCAGAAAGTGTGCCAGCAACATTTAGGTCATGGGGAGAAGTCTCCAGGAGTGGCCGGAGAAACAGGAGAAGTGGAAGGAAGTTGCAAGGTCAAGGGCGCAAGAAGGAAGGGGTGAGAAGCAGGCCAGAAAGGCAGAGGGGCTCTCGGTTAGGACAGTGCCCGGCCCAGCTTGCTCTCTGCGGGCTCAGGGGGGTGGCCAGGCCCAAGGAGATTCTTTGCTAAGCCTGTTAGGCAGGTCGAGTGGCTTAAAGAAAGTGTTAATTGACTGGACCCCAGGTCCTGCTCTCTCCAAAGGCCAGTTCTGGTGCCCACCAGCTTGTCTGGGAGTTTGGGCCACATGGCCAGGGTAGGCTGGGCTCCTTCCTTGCAAAGTGCGCGCCGAGGGCCCAGGTGACGGGTGGCCAGCAGCTGCCTGGATGTGTTCTGGTTTTAACAAGGTGGATAGTGCAGTGTTCGGTAGCATAGCTGCCTTCCTGGCAAACACGTGACAGTAATAATCAGCATATATTGGACCTACTGTGAGCACTGTGCACTAGGCACGCACTTTATGTAGCTTGTCTTCATTTGATCCCCCATGAAGACCTAAAGAGATGGGTGCGGACACCGTACCCACTTACAGATAGGGAAACTGAGGGCCAGGCACATTTAGCCACCGTCTAGGAAACGGTCGCAGGAGCTGCCCTGAGGGGCCAGGCAGGAAGAGGGAGCTCCCATGGAGACTTCCGCTTTGCACAGGCCTCCGGTGTCCCAGGCCATGGGTGCATCACGCCTGCCGGGATCCGCGGCTGTTCTGGATCTCCAGGTCCGCTCAGGAGCACACCTTTCTTGGCCTGGCTGGGACCGCCTGGTCCTCCCCACTCCCTCCAGCTTCCAGACCGATCCCTTGCTGTGTAGCAGCATATGTTCCTTCCCTGTCCCATGCTGGCCCCACATCGCAGGGCCTCAGCCCCAGGCCCACGGCAGCCCCAGCCTGGCCTGCCGCCCCCCCCCCCTTCTCGTGCAGCCAGTCATGTGTCGAGGCAGGAGGGGAGGTTCCTCCTCTGCTTCCCCCTCCATTTTGAGAGGCAGCCTGGGGTGTGGTGAGGGAGGCTCATACCTGGCAGGTGGCCCTTCCTGCTGCCACATGTAGCTGGGATGTGTGGACTCAGGGTCTCCTGGACAGGACTCTAGCCTGTTAAGGGTGCACATTCCAGAAAATATGCTGGAATAAGAGGTGGCACCTTCCATTAATGCTTGCATAAGACTCCAAGGGGAACAGTCATGTGCTTTGCCTGCTACCTGGCCTGGAGCCCAGGGGTGAGCAGAGGTGGCCCCAGGACAGGCCAGTTGGGTGGGAGACCCCAGTTTGCAGGGCTTGAGTCCTGGGCTGTGCTTGATTTGTGGCGTGGCCGGGACAAGGTTAAAGCAGAGGCCCTCCCTGGTTGGAATTCCCGACATCGCTGAGATGGGAAGAGAATCTGCACCCAGGGGTGTGGTTCTGGGGAGAGGCTCCTCACCGTGTCCCAGATCCCCCTCAGCCTGGGAGGTGACCTGATGGGATAGTAATGCCGGCCTCCCCCAGGCCTTGTGCTGGCTCCTCCTCTCGCACATGATGTTGGCTTCTAGAGCAGCCCCTGGGGCCACCCATCCATTCATCTTCCGTCAGTCAACAGATGTTTATTGAGTACCTACTATGTGCTGCTGATGGAAAAATCAGGAAGGTCTGCCTAGGTGACAGGGAGCCTCCACTTGGTCTGGTTGGGTCACCATGCATTCATTGTTCCAGTGGGTTGATGGGGCCCTTGGGAGCTTATGGTATTGTAGGGTGAAGACTGAGGGGTGGGAGAGACAGGTGGATTGAGGAGGATCAAGAAGGAAGGAAGAGAGAAGGAAGAACTTCATGCTTCTTGAGGTCACAAAGGACCAAGGTGACTTGCCCGGGTTCCTGGCAGTGACCATCAGGGGCAGGGCTATATTTTGGATCCTTGAGTTTGCCGGCTGGACATGTACCCGTATACCCCATGTCCAAATCCGTCAAGAAGAGGGAGGGTCAGCTTCCACATGGAGTTGAGATCAAGGGCTTTGAGAATGAGGCAAAGAAGCCAGCATGCTGGGAGGATGCCCTGGCTGACGTTAGAGGTCTAGTGTCGAGTCACTGGTTTAATTCACGGAGCCAACCGACCCCAGGTTGTTGCCGCAGGAAAGGGCAATGATTAAGAGCACAGGCTGGAGCCGGATGATCGAAGTTCACATCCCAGATCTGCCATCTCCTAGTTCTGCGACTCTGGGTACATCATTTCAGCTTCCCGTGCCTCCCCTGCCTCAGTGTCCTCCTCTGGAAAATGGATGATAAGAGCAGCCGCCCCCCTTGGCTTGTCATGAGGAGGAACTGAGTCACTTAGAGCAGTGCTGGCCTTGGCAGTTCTACGGAAGGGTCGGCTGTCAGCACGTGCAGGGCGTTGGGCCAATGTTGGGGCACCGGCAAGTACACTCCCTGCCCTTGCGGACACAAGCGAATCACTGACAAATGCAGAATTATGCCATGACCAGGGCTCAGATGCCTAACACGGGGATTGGTCTGGTGTGGGAGGGGAGACGTGCTTTCCCAGAGGTTACACGGGTTGAACTAAGGTCTGAGGGGCAGCGGGTGACAAGACACAGAGGCAGGAGGTGACTGGGGAGGGTAGCAGGCTTGGTGGGGGGGTGGTAAGACTTCTGGGCTTCATCCAAGGAGGAATAGGAATACCTGCACAGAGTTTTAGCAGAGGGGACCTGATCAGGTCAGGTCTGTGGAAGCCACTCAGGCAGCCCGAGAAGCAGGGCCTGGCAGGCATCCCGCAGGGAGGTGTGGAGCTGGGGTGCTGGGGCTGGACCGTGGTGCAGTCAGGTGGGATGCAGGGTGATGGGCTCTGGGCCAGAGGCAGGTGGGGCTCCAGCAGTGCAGGAAAACCCGAGCCACCTGGGCTAGAGGATAAGGTGCCCGGTCCACTCTCCATCCCTGGTGTGGCCTGCATGGCTCACAGTGAATTACCCAAGATTATTATGGGCCCTCAGGCACTGGGGGAGGGTAGGCGGGCAGGAAGGAGCAGACTTGGTGACCCAGGCAGCTGCTGGCGGAGCTGGTGAAAACTCAGGTGGAGATAGCCCTATAGGGTTCTCAGGCCCCCGCCTTTCCCCCTTCCTCTGATGATGGAGGTAGGCCATACTCATTAAGGGAAATGTGGAATAGTCTAGAAAGTATCACAAAGAAAGTCAGCTCCCTGCAATGGCCCTGTCCAGTGATAAGCACTGAGTGCATTTTGAGGACTGGGCCAGGGGCTGGCCAAGAGTTTTACATACTTTGTAGGGCACATGTTATTACCCCCATTTTATAGATGAAAAAACTAAGGTCCAAGTGGCTAAATAACTTGCCCAGGGTCATATATCTGAAAAGTAGCAGAGACAGGATTTGGACCCTCTACTGCCTAACTCCAAAGCCTGTCTGTACTTTTAGCTATGAGGCAATTTTGCTCCACAGTTAGCTCTATGTTCTTTCTTTGTGGATTAACACATATTATATATGGTAACGTTTACATATATAACACATAAATTTAAAAAGATTTTTTAATGTTTATACGTTTTTGAGAGAGAGAGAGAGAGAGAGACAGAGTGTTAGCAGGGGAGGGACAGAGAGAGAGGGAGACACAGAATCTGAAGCAGGCTCCAGGCGCTGAGCTGTCAGCACAGAGCCCGACACGGGATTCAAACTCACAACTGTGAGATCATGACCTGAGCTGAAGTGAGAAGGTTAACTGACTGAACCATCCAGGCGCCCCACATATTTAACACATACTAATCAAAATGCATACGCACACACACAAAGATATAGATATACGTACACATACATGCACACATACATATATATGAATAATTTAAAATATGCCCCGTACACAAGAGCTTGATGCGTTCCGTTGTTATTTTGCTAGCAATTGCCTTCTAGAAAGATTGAACCAATTCGTGCTGCTGCTAGCTAGCATCAGAGCAGGGTATTTTCAGAAGACAATTTATTCTTGTTTTCACTTCACTTCATTGATCATTGAGAAGAATGCGTTTCTTACATCTGTTTTCCATTTATATTTTATTGTTTATGAAGTGGTTTATTTGGGGGGTTGGGATGCTGTCCTTTGTTATGGATTTGTAAAATTATTTCTATTTAAGTATTAAGATTAGGAAGGCTTCATCTACTTTACAAATACATCCCAGTTTGGCTGTTTGCCTCTGCAGAGTATTCATGATATTTACAAAGAAAAGTTTTATCTATTTTTTTGGACCAACAATAACAGCTAACACTTATTGGGGACTTATGTCAGATAGTTTGGAGAAGGTTCCCACCCATATGTAATATTTATTGTTCTTTACTTTTATACTTAGACATTTCTTTCCTACCACATGATCAGATAGGTATTCATTTATCTTCCTAGTCATTTCATAGTATCATTTGTATCTTAAAAAATTTTTTAAACCATCTGGTATTAATTTTCATGGGGGGTGGGTATGAGGTGGGGTGGTAACTTTATCTCCGCTCCCCCCCCAGTGGTTAACCATTTATTAAGTAACCTTGACTCTACTGATTATTCTATGATAGACCAGGGTCTATTCCTGGCCATTTAAGTATGTTTTATTGCTCTGTCTTTATTTTTTTTAAACATTTAAAAAAATATTTTTATTTATTTCTAGGAGAGAGAGAGAGAGAGAGACAGCGTGAGCAGGGGAGGGTCAGAGAGAGAGGGAGACACAGACTCTGAAATAGGCTCCAGGCTCTGAGCTGGCAGTCAGCACAGAGCCCGACACAGGGCTCGAACCCACGAACAGAGAGATCTTGACCTAAGCGAAAGTCGGACGCTTAACTGACTAAGCCACCCAGGCACCCCTTTATTGCTCTGTTTTTATATTTTTTTGCTAAAATTCTATTTTATATGATATCTATGATCTTTATGCGTCTTACCCCCCCCCATTCTTTGAAAATATTCCTGGCTATTTATTCTGCCAGATGAACTTTATGCTCATCTTAATCATTTCCTTAAAAGCACCCTGGGGATTTTATTGGAATTGTATTAAATGTGTATATTAATTTGTGAAGAATTAACATCTTTAAAATATTGTGTTTTCCTGTCTAAAACATGGCATGTCTTTCCATCTGGTTGAGTTTTTTAAACACCTCCTGGTAAAGTATTATAGCTTTTACTGCATAAGGCCTGCAACAGCTCTGGTTTATGCTTAGAAATCCTATATGTTTGTTGCTGTTGTGAATGAAATATTTCCCCATTCTGTTTTCTAACTGGCTGTCCACTTTGGAAGAGGACTGTTGACTTTTGTGTTTTTGTCCTTTTTGTGTGTATTTTATAGCCATGCCCTGTACTGAAGAATCTTACTGATTTTAACAGTATTTCAATTGGTTCTCCTGGATTTTTTCGACAGGCAATCATACCATTTGCAAAAAAGGACACACTTGTGTCTCCTTTTCCTCAAAGGCTAATTGTCTCATTTGTTTTTCTTGCCCTATTGCATTGGCCTGAACTTCTAAATGCATGAGGTCTACGTTATTTTTAGAGGAAGCCAGTCTGAGCCAATCCCAGCCCTAGAGTTGTCCCCTGGGGTCCTAATCACTCATGTGCTCATTTGGCCCTGTGCTGGGTACTTGGGTTAGAGATGACTTGCATAGAGGATTCCTGGCCCAGAATTTCCCAATCCGTCCTGATGCATCCCTTTCCAGACCTCAGCCACTCAGAGCCCTCCATTCTCTCCACTTCCCAATCCTACCTGCAGAAAAGGAGCTCAACAGAGTTACCACCCCCACTATATCTGTAGCCTTTATGGTTGAGGATACAACTTTCAGTCTTCTAGTTCCCAGAGGCTCTGTTAACCGATCCAGATGGAGAGCCGTTCCCCATGCAGAGAGGGAAGGGGCTTGCCCAGGGTCACACAGGCTCATTGGCTGAAGAGCTGGGTTGACAAGCAGGTTCTCATCCTCACCAATGTATAAGCAATTAATTAGACCTTATAGCTTCCTCCTGTCTCTCCCCGGGGACTCTGCAGGAGTCTGGCTGGGAAGACACAGAGTCTTCTCCATCCCAGAAGCTGCACATGCACCTGACTCGGGGCGCCTCGAGCATCCCTGCAGAGAAAACTTCATCTGCCTCCCTCCTTGTCTGCCTCCAGCCTTAGCTTAGCTGGAACCCCCTTCAGGGATTTCCTCTCAGTCTGGATTAAGTTCTCCCTGACTTCCTCCTGGACTCCTCTTATCACTGGCTTGTAGTGTTTTCACCTGCTGTGTGTTGAAATATAAAGAGCTTGGGCTCAGGAATCAGACTGCCTGAGTCTAAATCCCATTTACAAACTGTAGGACTTTGGACGGGTTACTTAGCCTCTGTGCCTTTGTTTCCTCATCTGTGAAATGGGGATGGTGGTTGTTGCTACCTCACAGATTTATGTGTCCAGGGCCAGAAGAGCACCCAGAAAATGCTAGTGCTTATTATCATTGCTTGGCTCTGGTGTCTCCCTCGGGAGTACCCCTGGACACAAGCTGGGTCTTGTTCCCCCTGGGGTTTTCCCTGTTTTTGCCCCAAAACATGGCTCAGAGTAGATGTTCAATATGTATCTAAATTTGTAGCTGTGGTACTCGGACAGGGATTATATCCTAAGCACTGTGCTAGCTGCTGAGAATGCAGAGAAAAATCCATAAGTAAGGAAAATGGCCCAGGTAAGGAACCCGGACAAGGGAGCAAGTCTGTCATCTCTTGGAGTCTCAGTTTCCCCTCTTATAAAATAACAGAATGGAATACACAAAGACCCGCCTCTGAGTGCATTTCAAGCCCAGCTCCTCTACCGGCTGCAGACTGAGGTGGGCAAGGGCGGGGTGGGGGAAGTTGCTGTCCTTTTTTGGCCATTGGAATCCTTGGTAGCCCTGAGCCTGGCCTTGCACTTGCACCATGGACATAAAAGGCATCGGAGCAGGGCTTGTGAGGAGCCGAGGCTGGGAGACTGTGTGTGAGGGGTGGCCGGGGTGAGGTGGTGGATCCTGGAGGGCGGGCTCTGAGGCAGGAGGGACCTGGAGGGGCCCAGGTGGACAGACAGCCGGCGTTCCAATGGGAGGGGACAGTCTCCTGCCTGGGCCAGCTGGCATTTGGTCAGAGGGAGTGTGGGAGAGTCATCCAGGCTTCTCATTCGTAACCGAGTAAATGCTTTGGAGTCAGACAGACCAGGCACTAACGGAACCTAGGAAGACCTCGCCTCTTACCTGCGTGTCACCCCAGGCTCTGACCCAGCCTCTCTGCACCTGTGTTTCTATCCTGAATTGCAGCGAGTGGGTGTTAAGAGGTGTAACGGACGCAGTATCGGGCACAGAGTAGGTGTGCTGTGAAAGTCCTCCTCCCTCTTTACGGCTCCGTCCAGTTCAAATGTGGCAAGATCTTGTGGAGAGCGGCTGAGTCAGGATCTGGAAGGGCTGATGAAGAAAGGAGCCAAATGGGAATTAATTAAAGTTGGCCAAACCCCCCTCCCATGTGTCCCATCCATTATCTCACTGGCTCCTTGCCAGGAAACCGAGGACGCTGGCGGATGTGTGTGCATGCGTATGAGTGTGTGTGTGTGTGCACGTGTGTGTGCACCTGTGTGTGAGAGGGTGTGTATGCATATGCCTGTGTACGACTGCGTACATATCAGATTGCGGGTGCATGTGGCCTTCTGCACGTGTGTGCCTGCGTGTGTGTCCTGTGCAGCCCCCACTTCAAGGCTGGGAAATGGAGGCTCAGAGCAGTCAAGTGACTTGCCTGAGGGGCCTCTGGGATTCGGTGCCTTCGCTCTAGGGCTTCTGACTCAGGGCCCAGCTTGGGGAAGGAGCGTGGGAGTGAGCGTGAGGGACAGGGATCAGGGGTTCTTGGAAGGTGACATCAGGGTGGACCGACTTTCCAAAGGACTGTTTTCTGAGTAATTTAGCCGTGTTTGGGCCAGAGGAGCAGGCTGGCAGCCAGGAGCCTCCGCAGCCCTGGAAGGAGCTGGTGAGCTCCACGGCTCCGTGCCCTCAGCCCCAGGCTCTTGGGAGCCAGGATCCTCACGACAGGGATGCTCCTGTATGCTAGACACGAAGGGTGCTTGTCTCTGCCTGGGACCCCTCCTCTTACTGGCTTCTCAGTTTACCGTCTTTCTAACTTACCAGGTCCCAGAAGGCAGATCTGGGAATGACTACTTCAGGGGTCTTAACGCGTCCAGTGCGTCATGCTGGGGCCTTGGACAGTCCCTTTCCTTCTCTTGGCCTCAGTTTCCCCACATGTATTGGGGCGTAATAATGCTTCCCTTGCCCGCTTCCTCAGGCTGTTGTGAGGCTCTCATGAGATGAGGGCTTTGCAAACTGTAAAGGGCAATGCACAGATGTGAGTGGGTGTTACTGCACTGACCCGTAGTAGTTAGAGAACAGCGAGGTGAGGGTACCGGAAATTCAAGAAGAATCGGTCACACCTCTTAGATGTGTCTCTCAGAAGCCGTCTGAGAGCTAAGGGGACAGGTCAGGAGGCAGTCCTGGCAATATACACACACAAGGACTCAGCATCCAGAGATCTGCTGGCTGGTTGGGGGGGACACGTTCAAGCTGCGTCTTGAAGAATGGCTGTGGTTTGGTGAATGCGGGTGGGGGACTGACATTCCGCAGGGAAGCTCAGGGCATGGCTGAGGATGGGCTGTGCTCTGGCCAGGAGAAGAGGGACTGTGTCTGTGGGTTTGGCTGCTGGAAAGAGCCAGGTCTGCAGAGGATGGGTGGGACCAGATGACAGAAGATGTGGGACACAAAAGGAGGGGCCTGGAAGGATCTTCATGCCATCAGTAGGGAGCTATGGAAGGTGTTAGCACAGGGAGGGATTGAACTGGAGAAGAATCCACTGGAGATGTGTGAGCCCCGGGGTCGGGGGTGATGGGTGGGGGGAGATTTTAGCAGGAGGCAAGGCTTTGAGCAGAGATTGTGGGGAGATGGCCTCTCTAGACGACTTGGTGGCCAAAGTGGAATTGTTTTTGTTTCAGGGACAGAAAGGGGACCCAGGGCTCTCACCAGGAAAGGCCCACGATGGGGCAAAGGTAGGTTTCCAGGGATCCCCAGCATTGAGGGAAGTGGGGGAGTGGACAGGAGGGAAACTGCCGTGCCCTGCCTGCGACCACGGTGTGACAGGCAGGGGTGGGGAAGCAGCAAGGGAAGAGTGGGGTCTGGTGTTTCTGCTGAAGCCCTTCAGCTTTCCACACACCAGGTCATTCCCTGTGTCTCCTTTGGGGTTGCAAGCAATAGAGCCAGCAAAAGACTTTGCCAATGGACACACCCTTGGGGAGGGACCTTTGTGTAATGCCCTGCACTTCTGCAGGGCCTTCTAGGTGACCCTTGGCATCCAGAAGCTTCTTGGGAGCATCCACCCCAGAAGCTTCCAACAGGCATTCAAAATCCCCTCTGGGGTTAATTCGAGTGGACATGTCTGTGGAATTCTAGGAGGTGGACCCGCTATTCAGGGCTCCCCAACTCTGAGGGGCCATGAGACCAGAAGTTTCTCATGGTACAGAGAACACTTAGGCCAGAGGACTTCATCTACTCTGAAGCATCCCCCCTACACTGATGACGGGGCCTCCAGGGAGCACAGGACGGGAAGGAAGAGGGGAGCGCAGGCTCTAAGTAGGGACCCCCGACACTCACCAATACGTATCTTGGAAAGAACACTCGAGTCTGTCTGGCTTCTTTCCAGACACAGCCCAAGAGCCCTCCTGACGGACAGAATACTGCTGCCCAACTCAGCCCCCTGTGCTCAGGCACACAGGAGAAGCAGCTCCCTTTGATTTCCCCAAGAGAAATCATTTCTTCATGCCCTCCCAGATCATTGTTTCATTCAGCAAACATTTACTAGGTATAAATATCCACGTACATGCCCATCTGCTCCTCATCCAAACCTTATCCTATAGGACAGATGGGCCCAGCTTGCAGATGAGAAAACAGAGGCCTCAGAGGCAGGTGGTTTGCTGGAGGATTTGTACCCGGGTCTGCCAGAGTCCAGGGGCCCGGGCCTTTCTCTTGCTTCTGGGTTGTCTGTGCTTTGGTCTCAGGGCAGAAATGCCCCCTTCTGGGTGACCACATACCCCGCAAGGATGAGGAATGGGAAGAAGGGAAGGTGTCTCAGGAATGCAGAGAGAGCAGATCGGAACGGGACAGACAAGTTGTGCGTCTCCCTGGGCAGTGGTTTTCAAACACGGTTTTGGCAGCGGACGCCTTTCCCTAAATGGTAGCCTGTGCCAAAATCCAGTGTATGAAGTAGATCAAGTGCAGCAACTGGGTTAGTGGTGAAGGGCTGGGGACCCGGCCACTCGGCCACCCTCGTGCTCCTCCTGGACTCCTGTTGGCAGACAGCTGGCCATGCGGGGCACACCTGCAATGTCACGAGGGTCTCTGCTCCTGTCCGCCTGCCTCACCCCTTTGTCTGTGTTTTGCAGGGCGACGTGGGCTTGCCTGGGATCTCCGGGGAGCCAGGGCCTCTTGGACGAAAGGTACACTTTGGTTGCAATGCTCTGCTTTTCTCTCTCGCTTCCCAGCCAGGGGCTCCCATCTTCCAGGACTCAACAATGCCAGTGCTAGTGCCTATTCCAGGAAGTCCTCCTGGACTTCCAGCCTCCCAGCCTTCGGGCCACGAACCTCCACTCCACTCAAGGACCCTTGGCCCTTCTTAGTTATTTTCAGCCTCACCAAGTCTAGCCTTGCCGACCAGGGTGTGAGAATCTGGTTTGTCGCTCTCCCTAATGCGCCGAGCACAGGGCCTGCGCATAGTAGGTGTTCAAGAAATGGAGGAAGTGTGGTAGGGCCAGGTGGGCCAAGGGTCAACTACTGTTTGCGTCGTTGCTGATGGGGTTTCCGGCAGGTACGTCGGCCTAGAGCCACATCTTCTGTTTCCACCCTGGCTCCCGGCTGTGGCTGCGGCCACCCTCTTTCTGGGCCATCTGGTTCTCATCTAGACAGATGTGGCATCTACTGCCCCCATCTTGTCCTTGCGCTGAGAGTCCCTGTGGCACAGGGGGATTTGGAGCATCACGTCCCCTGAGTCCCCTCCACCCTCCCCAGTCAGGGTAGGCCACGCCATAAATCTGCGGAGGCCAGACCCAGACGGGAGCCCGTGGCTGTCTGTGAGCTGGGGAAACATGGTATTTTCTGGCCCAGAGAACACAGAGGGAGTCCCTCTCCCCACTCGCTTCCTCTCCATGCTCTAGTACTTTCTGATGGATGAGGTGTGAGTGGAAAAGTCTCTTTCCAGCGCCGGCTCATAAAGCAGCCAGTGGTGGTCTCGCTCGGCATGGGGGTGGGAGTCTAGCAGAGGTGGTGGGAGACGGGAAAAGCAGACCAGTCCAGCCCCTGCCTGGGTGCCAGGGCTCCCTGCTCTCTGCAGATGTCTGAAGGGGCTCAGAGCCCCCATTTCAGTGGGACCAGCCTGCCTGAGAACGGAGAGCCTCCGTGCGGGTGGAAAACCGGCAAAGCCATTTTCACCAAGCCCCTCACGCCCTGGGTCAGGCTGACGTGCAGGAGTTTGGTCTGTTGCAGACAAGGGTCACCTGCTTGTAGAGGGTGGTGGGCAAGGCACAGGGCAGCTCGGGTCCCCAGGCAGGGACCTCCGACCAGTGGTGGGAGCCGGGGAGGAGGACTGACGGGGTAGCATCGCACCTGACACCTCGGCGTGACGCCAATCATCCTATTCATTCATTCACTTAACAGAATTGATCGAATGCTTGTTCTGTGCCAGGCAGGATGCAAGGTGTGGGGGTGGGGGCTGAACACTTGGACAAAAATCCCCATCCTCTCCGGAGCTTGCGTCCTTGTGTGTGTAGTGGGGAGATGGATAATAAAAACAGTAAAAACAGAAGAAGGACGAGTAGAAAATGGGGCAAAAATAGGAAAAAGGGAATTTGGGTTGGAAGGGTTCCCATGTTAAATAGTGTGACAAATTAGAAGGTACACAAAGAGGGACTGTCCTTTATCATATTGTTTCCTCATAACAGCTTCCAAGACTTAAAGCAGTATTATCCCTATTTACAGCTGAGAGAACTGAGGCTCAAGTAGACATTCATTCATTTGTTCGTTCATTCATTCATTCGTTCACTCGTTCATTCATTCTTCTGATCGTTTAGCAAATATAGACATAGGTACCAGGCTCCATGCTGACACTGGGAATGAGCTCATGGAGAAGGAAGTCTACAGCGCTGCCTCCCAGCCCCACTGTGCCTGAGAACCAGCTGGGGGCCGTGGACCCCACCACACGGATTCGGGTTCATTTGGTGTGAATGCGACCCAGTACAAGATTCTCAGGTGCAGCCGAGACCGAGGGCCACTGATTGAATGGAAATACCTTCCAGGGTCGCTAAGCCGCAGAGCTGGGATTTGCACCCAGGTCTCTGACCCTTAAGCCCTTTCTCTCTCTGCACAATGCCAATCGAAACAGCTTCTCAAACAAGGTTCACTTGTCCACCGTCCACCCGTGATGCTTGCTGAAGCGAGCGAGTTCCCGTGGGCTGGGCAGGCACACACACCAGGCCAGAGAGACCCGGACGGAACCCAGCTCCGTCCCCTCTCCTGCTGCATGAGCTGGGGCCTCACCTCGCCGGGCCTCAGATGCTCCGGGGCGTGGTCGGGATTCAGGGAGAGAGGTCTGGTGAAATGAGCTGTCATGTCCCCAGCACTGGCGCGGGGCTGGTGCTGGGTAGGTACCACATACCTATTTGTTGAATGAATGAATGATCGCGATGATCATGAAGGAAACACACCGAAGGTCTTGCCCATCTGATCCCATCCGTCATCTTGCCTAGTTACCAGCTAACCGCCCTCCGCAAGCCAGGAAGCCGACCAGAACCCCGTTTGCACCTTGTGAGGGAGGAGTTCTGTGCTGTTCCTAGTCCGGCCCTCCTGCTTTCTTCCCTTAGAGCAGGGCTTCCTAGCTGGGGGTGATTCCTCCCCACCCCGCCCCCAGGGAACAGTTAGCAATGTTTGGAGACATTTGGTCATCACAGCTGGGAGGGGGAGGCTACTGGCTTCTCACAGGTGGAAGCCAGAGATGCTGTTAGATATCCTACAAGGCATAGGACAGCCTCACAGCCTCCCAGCAAAGACTCAAGGACCACAGTGGCCCCGGAGCTGAGGCTGCGAGAATCTCTGCGGCCCAGAGACCCCGCTCCCCGATCCTACGCGCCCTGGACCTTCCTGCCTCCCTGCACTTGTTTATGCTGATCTGTCCCCTGGCATGCTCTCTCTTCCAAACTCATCTTCGCGCATCCGTCCCTCAACTCTGTTCTCACACACCATCTTCTCCAAGTGCGCCTCCCCAGGACCCCTAGGCAAAAATCACGCCACCTTTCTCTGATCCGCCAGCCCACCTTCCCAGCCCCTTTGGGACCCCGCACCTTCGGCTGGTGGGACACTCGCGGGTGTCCTTGGCATGTTTATCAGCTGGAGCAAAAGTGCACAGAGAGCCTGTTCATCCTTGTTTCCTGGTGAGGGGTTTAGCCCAGTGCGGGATGCACGCATCCACAGGCCTCGGGATCTTTCTTAGCACACTGCCCCATGTAGGCGTGACTGATGGTACACTTGGTTATCCACTCGCAACTTCCTCCAAGCTGCCCCTTGCAGCCCTCATCCTGCCCACGGGCCTTCCTTAGGCCACCTGACTTGGCCACTGCCATGCAGAGCCCCTACCAGGAAGCTTCTCCAGGCCCCTCTGCTGCTGGGCTGCCCTGGGCTGCCGGGGCCCCTGCCCACCGCCATCTCTGAGCTCTGCTCCGGCTCTGCGGTCCACCCCACTCCTCCTTCAAGCCCGTTTACAGTGCTGCCCCTTCCAGCTGGACGTCTACACTGTCCTAGCACGTGGTGCTCTCTTTCGTTCCACTTAATAGGTGTTACCTTCTGGGGCACCTTATGGTTAAGTGTCCAACTTCGGCTCAGGCCATGATCTCACGGTTTGTGGGTTCAAGCCCCATGTCGGGCTCTGTGCTGACAGCTCAGAGCCTGGAGCCTGTTTCCCATTCTATGTCTCCCTCTCTCTCTGATCCTCCCCTGCTCACTCTGCCTCTCTCTCTCAGAAATAAATAAAACGTTTTAAAATTAAAAAAAAAAATAATAGGTGTTACCTTCTAGAAGGTGGGGGAAGCTTGTTTTGTTCACTAGTGTATTCTTAGTGCATAACTCAAGGGCATCGCTGGGGCTCAGCTAACCTTAGTTGAATGAAAGAACAAGTGGATGAATGTACGAGCCGTACAGAAATTGTGTCTTCCTGCCCGACCTGTCAGGTACCCCCTGGGCAGACTTTGCTGTCAGATGCCTGGTGTGTCACTGACTGACTGTGCTTTTGGAAGCGCATTTCTGAATCCCACACCTTCTGAGTCAACACGATGCTTTAACAGGCCAGCTGGGGAAACTGAGGTCCAGAGAGGAGCAGGGACTTGGCCAGTGTCGTATAACGAGTCACTCTGCTCCTGGCGTGTTTCTTCCTCACTGATCCTTTCTGTTAAATGGGGCTGTCTGTCCTGTGGACTGGCGCCGGGTGGGATGTGGGCTGGCGAGTTGTTAGAGGAGTTTTGGGAGGCGTCTGCCAGAGGAACGGCCGAGGTCTAGGCAGGCGTTGCTCCCCAGGACCCCAGGCAAGAACAGGACCCCCACCCCCACCCTCCCTGCCCGAAGCCCAAATAGCATCCCGGCCGACCGGGAGACTGTCTGCAACAACAGTGAGGTGATGTCTGGTTTCTCCTTGTGCATTGTAAGCAATGATTAATCTGGCTCCCCAACCAAAATATAGACCGAGTTCTATTATAAACACGGGTCCTGTGGAGACCCGCCTGCCGGGCAGCCAGAGGCCCCTTACAGACTCCGTGGTCCCTGGAGCTCCCCCAAAGCATCTGCTCTCCCCTCGTACCAGCTGGGCACTGATCACACATGGGGAAATCACTGCCCCTGGGTCCACCTTGCGGTCAGTGCCTGCCCCGTAATTGCTGGGGCCCAGGGGAAGATAATGGTTTTAGATTCTTCCAGGTCCTGGGCCCCTGTCATTTGAAGCTATTTGGCTGGCCCCAGCTTGGTAAACACTGTCAAGGTACTTCCAGGGAGCACAGGAACCTCCCCGAACCCCACCCCATGCCTTGGCTGTGCTTAGTCTCTGCCGCTCTCAGCCTGACAGGAGAGATGGGTGTCCACGGCAATGTTCAAGTACCTTCAGGGTGCATTGATTGGGACAGACCTAGGAATTGTGGCCTTTTGGATAGAGCACAGCCCAGTGGGTCTCGAGTTCTAGGGAATAGCCTAGGCTTGGCCATAACTTGCTAAGTAACTCGGGCAGGTCCCTTCCCCCTGGCAAGTTTCTCAGGCCTGTCCAATGAGAAAGGTGGTCAGATTGATGGCTTAGGTCCCTTCCAGCTCAGATACTCCGGAGTTCCAAGACCGTCTTCTGTCCTAATAATGCTGTGGTGATCTACATGCTCTGTCCCGGGAGGGGGGTCTACAAGGGGGTCTTTCCCTGTATAGCCCTGTGGTTCTTCTAGGTGGGCCTTGGGCCTCATAAGTATGTCTCATCCCATGATTGGGTGGTTAGGACATAGGGATTGGAGTCATGGCCTGGCATAGCCCCGGGAAGCTGTGTAGCCTCAGGAAAGTCTCTTTCCCTCTCTGAGCCTGTTTATTCATGAGGCAAGTGTGCCTTGTAATTCCTACCTGCTAGGGTAGGAATTGATTGCAAGGAGTTGATGAACAGATGTGTTTATTTAAGGCTTTAGTACCAGGCCAGGCAAAGGGCATGCCACTGTCCGCATCCCTGATAAACATTTGTTTCCTTCTTCTCTGTCCTGAGTAAAGGGTTTACTTGAAATCTTCTGCGATTTCACGGGCTTCTCTTCTGAAGCATTGGTTTCTAGCTGATTTCTTTCTGGCCACAGGGAAGCCCGAGCAGCTGGTGATGCTTGGGGGCGCGGGGAGAGTCCCTGGTCCCCTTTCATGGTACTCTCGGGATCTTTACCCCACTACTGCATTGGCTCTTTGCCGCAACCCAAGGCAGGCTGAGAATGGCAGAGTGAGGCTCAGAGACAGCAATTGCCTGAGTGGAGTCACACAGCCTGAGCTCAAGGCTCGATTCTGCTCTTGGCGGGCAAGGCTTTGCCTGCTCTTCCTCACGTGCAAGTTCCAAGTGCAGAGAGGCTACTAAAGGCGATTACGTGTGTCACATGAGGACATGTCCCTGCTCAAAATCCTCCTGTGAGTTCTTGCCGTTGTAATGCCTTCTGCGCCCTGGCTTCTGCCCTTTCCTAACCACCACCTCCCATGCCTCACCCCTCACTCACTCTGCTCCAGTCACATAGGTCTCATTCTGCCTCAAACCCACTGGAGAGCATTCTTGCCTTCAAGTCTTCAGCACCTGCTGCTCCTTCTGCTTGGAACTCCTTTCTGCCCAGAGCTAACTCAGCTCATTTATTTCTTTGAGCAGCCTGCCCTGATGCCCACCTGCTGTCCTGCTCTGTCCCCAACACAGCCTTCCTCTGTCATCGGGCCCTGCTCACTTTTGTTCATAGTGCTGATCTCAACCACGCGGTCGCCTCTTTTTTTAATTTTAATTTTTAATTTTGGCAAAAACCATGACACATAAAATTTGCCACTTAGCTGTCTTTAAAGGCGCAATTCAGCAGTGCTAAGCGCATTTCCATCATGGTGGAGCCCATCTCCAGACCTTTCCCATCTTGCAAAACTGAAACTCTACGCCCACGGAAACAACTCCTTATTTCCCCCTCACCCAGACATTATGTTTCATATTTATTTGTTTGTATATCACCTTAATGAGACTGTAAACTCCATTAAGGCAGACGATGTTGTCTTCTCATTCAGCCTATGCCCACCGTGGCGCAGGGCGCTTAAAAATCAAGTAAGTGTTTGTTGAATGAATGAGTGAAATATGAAGGTCCTGAGGTAACAGCCGCTGGTCCTTACAGGGCCCTTGAGTTCAATGCTGGATACAGTGCTGGGTACTTCCCACATGCTGTGTCATCTGATCCATGACAAGCCTTATACTTCTGTTTCCAAAAGAGGAAACCGAGGCTCAAAGAGGTGGCCTCAGTGGCCCCAGATCATGTGGGGATCCAGTAGCGAGGTAGCAGAGTTCTGGATCAACCTGAAACGAGAGATCGTAGCCGCCCTGCAGCCGGCCGCCGGCTACAGCCCATGCATCCGTTTGCTCAGCGGGAAAAAGGCCCTGGGCCCCAGGTAGAAGACTCTCCTGTGTTACATCAACCTCATGGGCCCCCGAATGCGAGATGTAATCATAGCGCCGAGCAGTCCTGAGGTATGAGTAGGTGCAGGAGGAATGCTTATAAACTCCCCAAATGTCTTGGATCAAACCAACTCTACTGTTTGTAATTAAGAGTCATGCTTCCCGGGGGCTTGTGGGTGGTGCTGAGCGCGTGCGTGTGTGCGTGCGTGTGTGCGTGCATGTGTGTGTGTGTGTGTACACGTCGAACTGTGCCTGCCCGGAATGTCTGCAAGGTGCTCGATATGGCCTCGGGTGTCAGAAGGACCCGGCAGTGAATGTGAGCCCACTGCTTCTTAGCAATGGGACTCAGAGCAAGTTCCGGAGGCTTAGTTTTCTCCTCTATGAAATGGAAATGAGAATCCCTGCCTCCCCCCCTCCCCCGCCCCACCCTTCGTCTGGGGGAGCCGTAGAACGCTGGAGTTCTCAGACACCAGAGCAGAGGGGGACTCAGACTTCCCACACCCTCAGCTGAGGTCCAGAGAAGGGTAGAAATCCAGCAGAGTTGCACAGCAGATGAGGGCTAGCCTCTGAACCAAGCCCTAGGCTCTCTGTGCGAGGGGCTCTGACGGACACCTGTGTGGCTGCCCTGTCGGAAATGGAAGCCCCCTGCCTCGTCTTATTTTACAGCCGCCTGAAGGTGATGGAGGCTTGAAGTCCAGGGTTTCCCTTCGGAGAGCCCCTAAGTCCTAGGAAATGGCTGTGGTGGTTCATCCCTAGGGCCGTGTGAAGGCCCACATTTGTTTGATTCTTGACCTAGACACCTGGCCGTGGACCATGGGGACAGAGGGTCAGGGTTAGTACTTGCTCATTGCCAGAGTCCTTCAGGCACCTGGGTGGCCTCTTCCTCTCTGGAATGAGAGCTGGGACTGGTGGGTTAATGCATTTTGGTTAACATATTTGGTCGGTATGTGTGAGATCTTTTCTGATGGGGCGTTTGTGAGAAGGGACCGGTCTTGACCCAGATCCCAGCATTACATGGTGGTTGAGGATATTCCACACCTGGAGGTCCTAATTGGCCCCCCATCTACTGAGAAATCACCCTACCCTGGCTTTTGGCGGGCTCTCCCCTGTCCAGATTTGGAAGGAATGGCTGGGACACAGCATCACTCTGTCACACGTGCCCTATCCCAGCTCCCAGAGCACGAACAGCTCTACGCATGGCTTCTGGTCTGAGAGCCACTGGCGGCGGAGGAAACCCAGCAACCCGCCAACTTTGGTGGACACATGGACGTCCATTAGCGCACACCGCACCCCTGCCTGCCGTCCGCAGAGCAGGCAGTGCCGAAAACGCAGCAGGGAGGCCGGGCCTCTGCCGGCTGGTCCCGGCCCAAAGGTGCCTTCCCGGCCTGATGTCGTTTCTTCCCCCCACAGGGATACAAGGGCTATCCTGGACCGGCGGGGCACCCTGGAGAACAGGTGAGGGCCGCGGCCTCAGCCCTGCCCTCCTCGCTCTCAATCCGCTCCAGCCCCTGCCCGCCCCTGCCCTCCTCTCTGGGCCCCAGGCCAAGAGTGAGCCCCAGAGCCAGGCGGCTCTGCCTCCCATCCTGCTGGGGCCCCAACCCTAGCCCCCCGTCCCCCCCCCCCCCCGCCACAGCTGCCTGAAGGAGCTGGAGTGCACACCGGCCTGGTGTTGGCATGAGCAGCCGGGCTCCGGTTGAGCCATGAATAGCTGGCCTGTTCCGGGCGATGTTAGGGGATATTATACATGTCGCCACGGGGTTTGCAGGAATTTGGGCTGCGCTGGCCCAAGTCAAACAGCAGCCCCCTGCCAGCTGGGAGAGCCAGCCAGGCTCCTCGGGGCTTGCTCAGTCCCCAGCCGCCAGCACAGGGGTTTTGTCCTTCTGAGCTGGTCTGACCAGTTTCACGGAGGGGTGGGCTTGCGGGGTGGGGGGCGTGCAGCCCTTCCCCCTTCCTCCCGAGTCATCTCGCATTCCTGCCCTTCTCTTTGTCCATTGTAAGCCTCAGTCTCCCACAGCCCCCCAGACTCAGCGCTGGCCGGGTCTTCTCCTTTCCTTATGTTTCTTTTTGTTCCTTTGCAGGGGCAGCCAGGACCTGAGGGCAGCCCAGGGGCCAAAGGTTACCCTGGCAGGCAGGTGCAGTATATGGCTTCTGGAAGCTCGGTGGCCATGGTGGTGTGGAGATGGCCACGGGTGCCCCCAGGAGGAGGGAGGCAGCAGGCTGGGGGCTGAGGAGCTGCGCCCGCCGGGCGTGCATGGAAGAAAGGGCTGCTCAGGGGGCTGGGCCACAGAACCGTCTCTTTGAAGGCAGTAGGGCACAGGTGGCTCAAAGGGAGAAGAAGAAAGGCCTTCTGGTGCTGTGGGGGTGGGGCTCCTCCCACTCAGTTCCCCTCCCCGCTCCGCCGCGCCCCCAGCCACTCCCTGGGACTCAGGCGTAGAGGTGGGGGCCTCAGTGTGAAGACTGCAGGTCTAAGCCCCCTCCCCCCTTCTACAGAGGGGGCAGCTGAGGCCCAAAGAAGACACGATTTGCCCCCGGGCTATTGGCAACAGGTAGGACGGTTCCATATGTCCTTGCCCCCCTGTGTTTCATGTTTCAGGGGTTACCCGGACCGGTAGGAGACCCTGGCCCCAAAGGCAGCCGGGTAAGTGGGCTTTGGCAAGTGCCACTCAGGTGGGGCTCTGGGCGGTCATTACCTGTCCCCGTGGTGGTCCTGATGGGAGGTCGGGGCTGCAGGATCTCTGTACAGTGTCCACCAGGGGGGTTGGGGCCTCTGCCCTCCCACCTGAGGGTTCCCTGGAGAGCAGAGGGGCAGCTGGGCGGGCAGGTGATGGGGGATCCTTGAGCCAGGGAAACTGCTCGCCACCCATGCTGACCAGGTGGGGCAGCAAAGGTTCTGCTGGGTGCCCAGCCAGGCCCCTGTCGCCACAGTCAGGCCCAGGCCGGCTGTGCCCCCAGCACACCCCAAGCACTCGGCGACCTAAGTGAAGGCTGCTTCGGCACCATTAGAATCCTCAGGGGCCTCTCTCGCACTCCTCTCCTAACTGAGGTCTGGGGAGACCACCCTTTTTTAGAGAGCAGGGGTGGCTTCTGGGTGATGCTACTCGAGCCTGGAGGCTGATGCAGCATCTGCTCTCCCTCTCCCGGAGCAAATCCTGCAGCCTCACTTTGCCCATCTTTACAATGGGAGTGACACCCATTCCTTACGTCTAGCATAGTTATGAGGATACCAGGAGTTGGGAAGCGAGTACTGCTGAAGAGGGGCAGCAGGTGGAGTCTCCCAAGTGGGCTGTGGGCAAAGGAGAGATGGTTCTGGGTGCACTGAACGAGGGCAAATGGGGTTTGAGAGACAAAGAGATGATGTGGTGGAATCCCATTGTCTACCTACAAGAACCCAGGTTCATGGTTGGGACATGGCAGCCCCGGTCTACACTGCACACCTAAGGTGGTACTGGGATGGGCACCAGGTGTCCTGAAGGCTGGACTTGCTGCCTCTCAAAAAATGCTCAGCAAGTGGGTCACACAGCCCTCGGTCAGGCCAGGTCGGGTGTGATGTGTCCTCGGCTCCCGAGCCAAAACTATTTATGGACACAGTCTGGGCCTTAATCCCTGGGGCTGACATGTGGCTGTTAGAGCGTCTGGGAGGTGGGCAAGGAGGTGGGTGGGCAAGTTTCTCCTTGTGATGATGCCGGTGATGGTGGTGGTGGTGGTGACATGCAGGGGCCGTGGAGGCTCCTGTGCTGGGATCCTGGGCCTCCTTGCCTTTATCCAGCTGTCCCCACACGCCGTGGCCCCAGAGGCACGCCAGTGACGTCTGGGGCTGCTTGCTGCTGGCCATGCTGATGGCATCTGGTGGCCACATGTGAGGAGAGAGCTGACCCTCTCTGGGTCACAGGGCACCTGGATGAGCCGTGGCCGCTCAAGCCACCCTCCCAGCCCTGCCACCACCGGCCCCATATTTAAGGCTTTGCAATCCGGGCAACTGGCTTTGAGACCTGCTGTGGCCCTCAGCGGTTGTGGAGTGCTGGGCAGGTTGCTGGGCCTCTCTGAGCCCATTTTCTCACCTGTAAATCTGGAATGTAAGCCCTGGCGGGCAGGATCAATAAATGTCCCTGGTTACAGTGATGGGTGTCTGTCAGGATGCCTGGAAGGAGGTTCAGTGATCTCCTGACCTACTCGGGAAGAGGGACGGTTGTGAGCCCGCGTGGGTTGCTCGTTTGTGAGAGGCAGTGCAGCTGAGCGGCTAGGAGGCCTGCCCAGGATGACTCGAATTCAAATACCAGTTCTATCATATTCCAGCCACATGACCCTGGGCGAGTCGTTTCATTCTTGGGCCTAACGGCTCAAACAGGGGGCTGACCGATAACAGCTGCTTCCAGAGAACAGGCATATTTAATGCGCACAAAGCCCTGAGAACCAGGCCTGGCACATGGCTCGTGCTCGCTGAATGTTAGCTATTGTTAGCGTTATCATTAAATCACTCCATGAACATCTAGAGAGTGCGGATAGCGATAGGAGCTTGGGGCTGGGTTTGAGAAGTTCCCAAGCTAATGAGGACGTGAGACATGGACACAGGTAATGAAGACACATCGAAGAAAGTGGTAAATGCCATTACCCGAGGAGCAAATACGGTGTGTGGGTGGAGGGAAGAGGTGGCGTCTGGCTTGGGGCAGCAGGGGTGCGTGCCAGAGGAGAGAGAGCATTGCAGCTGGGTTTGGAAGGGATCGCTCTGCCGTGCCTGGGGTGGGAAGGGCCTGTGGAGGGCATCTGGAACAGAGGCTGGAAGGCGGAAAACCAGGTGCGCGCCGGGGCAGTGGGCTCCCAACTCCACTGACTGCTCGTGTGGCTTCATCTCCAGAGCCCTGGCTTCCTTGTCCGTCTGGGGGGGGAGCGGACAGCAGTGTCCTCGGGCGGGCTGAATGTCGCGACACACATGTGCTGGGCAGGACAAAGCCGTAACCGAGTGGCCGCTGCTGGGACTGCTGGCATTCGGGCAGCCACGGGGGACGTGGGCCCCACGTCCAGGGCTTTGAGGCCTGGGAGGAGGCACCGCGGGGGCCATGGGCAGCCGGTCAGGGTCCCTCAGAGCCGGTGGAGCCTGGTGCTGCTCTAGCATCTAACCCAGCCGAGAGCTTCCTTTCTGCAGGTCCCGGAGCCCCGGCGCGGGGCGGGCCTCCCCCCGCGAGCACCCGCGCCCTTCCCTGGCGTGAGGGTATGTGCCTTTGGACTACATCGTGGAAGCCAGCACCATGCAGTCCATGGGCATATACACTTGCCTCAAGGCCTGTGTCATCGAGGAGCCACCGGAGCTGCCGCTGCCACCAGCGAAGAAGAGGAGCCTGGGTGTGGGAGGGCAGTGACGGGGGGGGGCGGGGATGGGTCGGGCCAGCCACACCCCACCGCGCGGTCCCTCTGACGCCCTGCCTGCTCTTTCCTAGGGCTACATTGGACTCCCAGGTCTCTTCGGCCTGCCCGGGTCTGACGGAGAGCGAGTGAGTATGCTTTCCTTGTTTGCCTCCCACCCACCTACCAACTCCTTTTGCCGGGAGAAGTCCTGGAGTCCCTCCTGGAGGAGGTGTCCTGGAGCAGAAGAGGAGTCTGCCAGGAGGTCAAGTCAAGGCAGACACCTTCCATACATAAGGGATGGTGTGTGCCAAGTCCAGGGCGGTATCATAACTTGGCAAATTTGATAGTCCCCATGGTCAAAGCTCTGAGTGCGAGGCAGGAATGGTAGGAGATAAGGTTGGACGGAGCACCTGGGTGAAGTTATACGGGCGGTCAGGGCCGAGGTCAGGAAGAAGCCTCGATTCCGAGAGCACGGAGAGCTTCTGAAGAGCTTTCGACAAATGAGAAATGAGATTTCAGATCAAGTGCCTGCAGACTGTGGTGTGCGGGCCAGATCCCTCCCGTCACCTCTTTTTAAAAGTGTTCTTGTCCACGGCCACACTCACATGGTTACCTGCCGTCTACAGTCACTTTTACTCGTGGCACAAGGGCAGAGACCCCGTGGCCCGCAGGCCTCAGCCCTTCCTTCCTGCCCCCCCGCCCCCAGCCTGGACCCATATTTGGGATCCCACTTGTAACCTCATCAGCCACGTGGATCCAGAGGACCTCAGGAGGGCAGTGGGAGCATCTGCTGAACCCCAGGGACACTGGGTATTCTCCTAGGCCTCTCCCCAGCTCCAGCCCACAAAGCCCCCAGCCCCATAGGGTGTAAGGACCATCACTCTGACGCGCACATAACTGGCACCTGCTGTGTGCGACTCGTGTGCTTGACCGTCCGTGACTTCCTTCTGTGGGTGGCTCTGGGGGCAGTTTGAGGCAACACTGGTCGTCCCCTGTGGAATCCTGTCCTGACCTCTTCCCTGTCTCTCCCCTACAGGGCCTGCCTGGCGTTCCTGGCAAGAGGGGCAAGATGGGTAGGCCGGTAAAGATTTTCCGTGTCTATTATGCAGACTCTATGGGTGAATCTGACCTCCGGTCCACCTGCAGCCCTGGCGCTCTCTGCTTCTGTCTCCCAGCCACTGCTCTGCTCTGAGTGTGTTGGGCCAGGACGTGGGGCTGTCTGGACCCCTCTGGACGGCGCCTCTGTGTGTGTGTGTGTGTGTGTGTGTGTGTGTAAAACCGTTGCTCTGCAGTGTGGTCCCGTGTCGGGGGGCTTCTGTTGTCTGGCTCACTAGTGTAGGTGTGGCCCCAAGAGGGGCTGGCAGTAACCCCCAGTTCACTGGCTTTGCCTGGGATTCTCCATGTGGCAGGAAATTGTTTTCCCCTTAGTAGGGCAATCTGCGGGGCAGGAAGAGACAGCCGAGCACAGAGAGGTTAAGTAACTTGCCCGCAGATCCACAGTCAACAACGGAACGGGCATTCTAACAATCCCATTAGCCTCCAGGCTTCCGATCTCAATGGTGGATCAGAAGGCTTCTCAGATTCACTGGCTGGTGGTAGTGGTATAAAAAGTGAATGCCCTAGAATCTTCACCAGATGGGTGAGATGTTAATTCCAGCGCTCTCCATTACTCATGAAGGGAAACTGAGGCTCCCCCTGTGAGGTGGAGTGCTCTATCCGGTGTCCTTGCTGCCAGCTAAGGGAGACCCCGGACTAGAAGTGAGGCGTATTTCTTTCAGACCTGACTCCTCTGGTGGCTTAAGGCCCTCTGCGGCCGCCCACAGGGTCACCCTTAGACTTGTAAGCATTGTCAGCCTGGGGCCCGGGCTTCCCTGTGCTGGTGATTGATGGAGAAGGGACTGTGGAAGAGGGTGGAGCTTGGATCCCAGGGTGCATGTCCATGGGCACCTTACCTGTTGTCATATGTGGATCTGAGCTCTCTGGAGCCGAGTTAGGTATATAAAGGGAAGCAAGATCCAGGTTCTAGTTTCGAGGACCCGAGGGAGATCTCTCCCTCAGGCCTAGACCTCCCTGTGGCCGACAGCCCCTCTGTGCCCTGAGGTCTGACACCCAACACCTGGTTCTGGGCAAAGGAGTAGCACCTGATGCTTCTGGATTCGGAACGGGGACCTGGTGTCTGTGAGGGCTGGGCTGGCATCTAGATATGGTCCTCACGCCAGGTGACCTTGAGCAAAGAGACCAATCCATCCACCTACCCATCCCTCCACCCATCCCTCCACCCATTCATCCATCCATCCATCCATCCATCCATCCAGTGAATATTGAGTGTATAGTGTGGGCCAAGCACTGTAGTTAGCGCTGAACAGTGGGCAAGACAAAGTTCCCATTTCCATAGGCAAACAGACAGACAACAACTGAACAAAGGAATGAACAATGAAGGAATGAATGTCAGATGGTGCCTAGTGTGAAGACAGAGTAGAGTATGGAGACAGCTGTATAGACTATTAGATAATCTGATCTAGGAATTCTCACTTCCTGAGAAACCTGAATGAACTGAGAATGGGAGCCCTGTGGCTACCTGGAGAAGAACTTTCCAGGTTGAACTAGCAGTAGGTACAAACGCCCTGGGGCATTGTTGGCTGAACGCCTCTGCACTGCAGTTTTCCCATGTGAGAAATGAGGATAAGAGCTTCTAGCTCATGGGGTCATTATGCTTGTCACCTAGTAAATGCTCAGTCTGTGGTAGCAGCTGTTGTTCCTGCTTGTGGCTTCATGGTTGGCTGAGGCTCTCTGCGCTGCGTCCCTTTGAGCCAATGGCTTTACCACTCTGGGCTTTTTTTCCCAGAGTTTAAATTGCAGAGTAGGGCCAGCTGACTCACTTAGATTGACTCAGCTGAGCCCTGTGCCATCACCCAGGCCTGTCTCCAGAGCCACCCGTGAGGGGCGTGCTCAGGTTCCATCCTGGGAGCCGGGACCAGGCATTGCCTCTTTGCAGATGGGGAGCTCGAGGTTCAGAGGGTGAATGATGTGGCCAAGGTCCGGGGCTTTGGAGAGTCCTTGCTGGGCTGGGCTGTGGCAACCAGAACCTTCCCCTCTTGTCCCCAGAGTGTAGCTACTGAGTGAATGGCTTCCGGAGTCTGGAGGAGGCAAGACCCTTGAAAACGTGGCCATGCTGTGGCTTCTTCTCCACCCCGTCCACCCTGCGGCGACAAGGACTGTCCGCTTCCAACTCCCCCTTCTCTCCTTCCAGTGGCCTCTTCTCCTTGCCACGGTCGCTCCTTGGAGCTGAGAGCCGGGCGGCGTGTGGCCGAGAAGGCAGCACCGGGCCTGAGGTGCTCCGTTTTCCTACATATGTGTGAGATGAGGCCACTCATTCGTTTCTCAGTCAACAAAACTTTATTGGACACCTACCATGCGCCAGGTGCTGGGGGTAGCACTGACCACGAGAACCTTCCCGCCAAAAGCAACGTTTTTTGAGGCCCTTTTTACCTACATGGTGGCTGAACTACATATGATCCTCCAACCTATTCTTTGACCCATTTTCCAGACTCAGAAACCGAGACTTAGTCAAAGCCATTTGCTCAGAGACCCTCCGGGGCCTCAAACTCCCATAACTGACAATTCATTTATTCTTCCTTACTCCTTGCCTTTGACTTCCTAGGATTCTGCTCTGTCCTTCATGATGGGGGTGTTTCCCTGCACTGCAGTGTTGGTCGTGGGAGGGAGGAACCCCCCTTCCTTCAGCAAAACAATGCTATGGCCCCACAGTCCCCCTGAGGGCCGTGAAAGTCCCCTTGACCCTGGTCCAGCCACCATGACCGGCAAATGGGCAAAGTCTGCATCGGATAGGATTTGATATGTATTGAATCGGACTTCATGCCACAGAGTCCCTACAGCTTTGTCTCTGCTCATGCCGGGCCTCTGAGTGTGCCATGCGCTTGGTCCGTATGCTCCTTAAGTGGTCCTGAGGGCTATCCCCTGGTTGCCCGTGCTCTGGAGCCCTTGATCTGGCTGGTGGGCTGGGGGTCTGGGAAATTCCTTCTGCAAATTTCCTCTTGTGCAAGCTTTGGGCCAAGCGATTCCTAGGTATTTGTTAACAAGAGGAAATGTCAGGAGAATGAACCAAAGTCGCTCGTGCCAGATGGCAGCTGGCCTCCTTTCTGGCAGGGCCGGTGATGACTTTGCTGTAGTTCATCTCTGTCCAGCAAGCAGAGTACCAGGCTCGTGCACACGGGCTCCTCGGCATCGGGTCAAGAAGCAGGGTGTGTGGCAGCCTTTTGCTGATGGGGGCCGAGAAAGAGACTGTAGAGGTCAGAGCACCTTGGAGCCACAGGCAATTTAGTGATGAGCTGGCCCAACCTCTTTGTCAGACAGATAAGCAGACGTTGCTCAGAGAGGCCAGTAATTTGCTCGAAGTCACACAGTAAGGTGAATGGCAGAGTCAGGATTCAACCCCAGGACTCTTGCTTGCTCTTCACCTCACATTTCCCTGGTGAGACCGGCCGCTGCTCATAGCACGTCTCATGGCCTCTGGCCAGGCCTGCAAGACTGGTCTTATGTGGTGAGTCAGGCCGGCAGACCCTCAAGCTTACAGCCGGAAAGGCCCAAGCCTGGCTCCAACTCCCCCGGCATGTGGCTCGGCGACCAGTGGGACTGGCCCAAGGCCACACGCCCATCTGGGGTGGGAAGGACTTCTACCAGGTGCATTTTGGCTTCAGAGTCTTTCCAGTTCTCAGGCTGTGGGGAGCAGGGGGCAAAGTGACTGAGGGCTCGTGTTTCCAGTTGGGCAAACTGAGACCAAAACAGAAGGAAGTTTTTAGCTGCGGTGATGCTGTGAGCTGGGCGGTGGGGGTGTGGTCCCCAGTGTCCCATATTTGAGCTAGAACTACCCAGGGCTGTTGGTGGTCCTGGAATCCTGGCGAGAACTTGACCTGCATATCCCCTCCTTTGTTCTCCGAGGTGACTCTTCCTGGATGGGCTCCCTATAACAGATTCCAAAAGGGCAGGGTAAAAACATGCCCAGCGCCATGACCTCAAGGGGTCTTTCCAGGTCAGCACACGCTTGAGGTGAACATGTGTTCTAGAAAAAACCACAGACGTCTCAGTGGGGCAGGAAGGATGCAGATTAGGTTCATACAGGAACTTCCTGACTGTGGAGAATCTCCATGTTGGAAAGAGGTCCGTCCCCCCAACATCCTTCTGTGGGGTCTTCCGAGGGGTCATTTGGTACCCCTGCTGTTGATGTAGACCGTACCTGGCGTGTGCTGGTGCAGTAGACATACGGGGACTGCACGACAGCTTCTCAGCTCTCCTGCCCCGCGCTGTCCGGTGAGTTGACAGAACTGACCATTTTGTAGGTCAGGGAGCTGAGCCTTCAAGACACTAGCAGGGCTTCGGACCCTAGAGGCTTCAGGCTTCCCTCCGCCCCTACAGCCCACCTTCTGGAGCAGACTGTTGGGCTACACCGTGCCTGGAGGCCCTCACAGGCCTCCTCAGACCTTGGCGTCCTGCTGCGGATGTGGTGACAAGGGCCACAGCCCCTCTGTTCACATCTATTCCTCCCAGGTGCTGTAGCTACGACAGACTTTGGAGTCTCATCCCGGAGCCTGATTCTGTCTCCCCCTGGGCCCTGTTCTGCTCAAAGTACAAGGCGTCCAGTCCCCCAGGGGCCCCGACCTGGGGAAGTGGAGACACCACGTGGCTGGGGCTCCGGCAGGGCGCCGAGCTCATTCCTTGGGCCTCGGGCCAGGCTGCTACAGCCAGGAGCTCAGGCCTGCGGAGGAAGGTCCCAGTGCCGACGGGCCGGGACTGTGTGCGCGCCATGCACAGGGAGGTGCGGCCAGACAGAGGAAAGCCGGGTGGGAGGGAAGTGGGGTCACACGTCCAGCTTGGCGGCAGCCTCTCTGAGATCCACAGGGACCAGGCACTGGGGCCCTGGGGCAAGTGCCGGAAATGGGTTCTGTCTCCAGTAATGGAGGGATGAGGCAGGATGAGAGTGATGCACCCCAGGGCACGCTCTAGGCCTTCGTCTCCCAGTGGTGCAATGAGATGTTAATGTTTAGAACGGCTTGGCTTGGCCCTTTCCATCGTAGATTTGTTCCAGCCCCTTCTAAAGCTCCCATCTTGTTTTCTGACCATTATGATCTTCTTGACCATCTCATTGGGCTGCTGGAGTTTGCTCTTACTGTCATTGTTATGGGGTCATTGTCATTGTGATGAGCCCACCATCATGCCCCTTTTGGCTGTCCTTAGGCTGCTCTTTGTCTGCAGAAATGCCTTCCCTGGGGGTGTTGAGTCCAGAGGAGTCCTCGAGCCCCCAGGCTGGGTGGCATTCCTGTGCATTGGGGAAGAGGCTCCTTCCTTTCAGGCGTCATCTAGGGGTTGGGACAAGTGTGTTTGGAGATCACATTCCCCACCCCACCACCCGGTCCAAGCTGGACAGTGGGTCAAGTGAGGGTCTGTCCAAGGTCAGCCCAAGGTCATGCAGCAAGTCTGGAAGCAAGCCAGAGCCAGTCTCCAGATGCCGGAAGTGGCATGCAGAGCACGGACTTCCCGAGGTCTGCCCGTCATGGGCCGTGTGGAGTTGGCTAGGTGCCTGGCTGGACAGTGCTGCCCTTGTCCCCTGATGGACGGTCCTCCTCTCCTGCCAGGGCCCTCACCCCCGCCCCCAGAGGCGGAGGGAGAAGCTCAATGCCTTCTGAAGGCTCCTCGCACCACAGCCCACTCCATTCCTCACCTGTTCTCTATTCCAGGAGAGAAGAGGGATCTCCTTACAGGATAACAAAGACAGGCTGGACTGGGGTGAGGGTGGGATTTTTCAGGGGGACCCCAAGGAGAGGAATCTTAGATAGGATCAGACGTACCCCCACAAAGACTTGACCTGGACACGGGCCTGTAGACACACACATGTACCCTGCCACTCTGTGACACCGGGGAATCGCACGTTCGAGCACCTTCTGTGTGTCATGATCTGCCCATGGGCAGCTCATACAAACCTACCATGACGGAGTTCAGGGAGGGGGGACCTGGGCTCCGTTATGCCACAGACTTGCTTTCCTTTTCTGTTTTGCCTTTGCCATTTCCTCACTGAGCCTCCGTTTCCCCATCTGTTCAATGGGACTGATAACGTTTTCCTCAAAGGCAGATGTCAAAGTCAAGGGAAGTCTTATAGGCAGTGACTGGCTTGGCAGGAATCTCATAATTATGTCCTCATGTCCTCCTTTGGGCGTCTGAAGGAAGCCACACCTCCTGCTGGATGAATGTCAGCTCCCGCCCTTCTGATCCGAGAGGGCTTCCTGACAGAGGAGGCTCTGAGGGGGCACAAGACAGCTGGACAGGGCAAGGACAAAGATTTGGATACACACGCATTTCAAGGCCTCTTTGCTCAACGTGCCCTTGGGTTTGGGATTTGTCCTCAAGTTTCATGTACTCACTGGATTCCCCCGGTTGTTAGGAGCCAGACACAAATTACGCTTTGTGAGGAATCTTCACTGAACAGCTCAGTCATCCACCCAGTCATAAAAAAAACATGTGCTGTGTTTTTTATTAAATTTCCTTGGGAAAACAATGATTTGAATTCAAGCAGGGGAGAAGAACAGGTTTCCCTAAATTCCAAGCTTGAGGACTTTCTTTTCCTTTTGAAGTAAAATAGAATTGCGCACCGCCCCCCACCCCTGCCCCCGGGTCCCTAGAAGTGTCCCCACAGCTGATGTTTTTCCAGCTGCCTGTCTCCCCAGAGAGTATGGAGTGGGGTCAGGGATGGATGAGAGGGCCCCTCATGCCTGGGCAAGGTGGCTTGGCCTCTCTTGAAGCTGCTGAAACTCACCTTTGGCCAGGCGGCGGATAGTCACCAATGGTATGACCTTGTGTGACCTTGACACTTAGCCTTCCAGAACCTCACCTTCTTTATCTGTAAAATGGGGGAAGGGTGGCTTTTGAAGAGCATATCACAACCATAGAAGGTCTGAGCTAGAAAATGCTGAGGAGACCTTCCCTTCTTTGACTAGTGGGGAAACTGAGGCTCACAGGGGATGGGTTGTTCTTAAAACTCTCAGCAAGGCCTGTTGGTTCAGGCTGAGACTCAGCTTCCTGACCTCCTACCTCATCGGTCCAGGTTTCAGCTCTGGGGTGGGCATTTCCATGCTGCAGAGCCGGATACTAGTTTCTTCTCGGGCTCCCTCGCCCTGGGCCCTCCCCAGGAGCCAGTCCCTGAGTTCTTCGCGTGGGGGTGTTTGCTGAGGGCACGGGGTGAATGCAGACCCGCTCGCTGCCCAGATCCCAGAGCCAAGGAGCAGAAGGCCTCATGGGCATGTCCTTGTGTGCCCCCAGGGGTCTGGATGAAAGCCTCCCCGCAGGTAGAAACACTAATCTGCCGATGTTTGCTCTCTCTCCTGCCTTCAGGGGTTTCCCGGAGACTTTGGGGAAAGAGGCCCTCCCGGACTGGATGGAAACCCCGTAAGTATTTCAAGTCTTTGGGAACAGGAAAGAGATTCCAGAGCAAACACACAGCAGGTTTGAGGAATCCAAGCTTGGGGGTCAGATCCCAGCCCTGCCGCTTCTGCACCCCGGGCTCCTGTCTGCTGGGGGGGAGGGCCCTGTGCCCACCCCCAGGAAAGCCCTCCAGGTCACTGAGCCCCTGGTCCAAGATCCCCAGGCCGTGCCCACCCCCGAGGACTTAGGAAAGTGCATGGGTCACCACCCCCTCCGGGGCAGCCAGGATGACTGGCATCCTAGAAGCATGAGTGGTGTTTATGGGACAGCAGCGGCGGGGGAGCAGATGGTTTGCAGGCCCTGTGTGGAGAGAAGGGCCCAGCTCTAAAGAAGTATCCAACATAGGCATGTTTATAGAGTTTGTAAATAATTGGAGGCCCATCAAGGAGCTAGGTCAGCCTGCCCTGAGTTGCTGAGCCAGCCTTTCCCTTCCCACCCCAGGCTCAGGGAGAGAGGAAGCTCGTTCTCTGCCTTGGGGAGCAGACCAAGTCCAAAGCTCTTTGGAGCACCTGCTGCGTTCCCCCAGCTCTCTTTGGGGCTTCCCACCTAAACAGCTGTGCCCAGCTGTGCTTTCTGTAGAGGTGGCTGCTAGGCCAGTGCTCAGACCCTGACTCGGTACTAATTTTGACTCCACAAATGCTCCCTGAGGCTGACCTAGTGGTGCTAACCCCCGACTCCCCTGGGGGCGAAAGCCCTGTTCTCAGAGACAGAGGGACCCAGGTTTGAATCCTGCTTCACTGCTTGCCAGCCACAGAAGCCTGGATGCATCGGTTCACCTTTCTGAAATGTTTCCCTTGCTGTAAACTGGGCTCAGAGGCCAGCCTCCGAGGGCTGTGGTCACATTGAAATGGAGAGCGTGGGGAGGTGATTGGCCCACAGTAAGGGTTCCCTGGATGGAGCGGTTAGAAACAGTCGGCGACAGGGGGCACATTGGCTGTCCTGGAAGAGCTCACGGCTGTCCATCCAGGCTGTTGTACCAGGCAGAGCAAGATGTGGGGGATCAAGGGTCCCATGTGCTGTGGGGGAGGAATCGAGGAGCAGGAAGTCTCCTGGGGAGGGGACGTGTGATTGGGAGGAGGAGAGAGGTGAGGACACATTCCACGTGGAGGAAAGCTCACAGCAAAGGCACGGAGGCGAGAGAGCAGAGCATCTCCTTCAGTGCATCAGTTATGGGATCAGGCTTTATACTTGGTGCTGCCCTCCTGGAAGTGTCCCTGCAGAGGGGCAGCAGTCTGTATGCTCCTGGCCTGGGGGCTCAGAAAGAGGACCTGATGTGTGCTCCTGGCTTTGGCCATGCAGTTGTTGAGCGACCTTGGACGAGCCGCTTCCCTTCCCTGGGCCTCGGTCCCCCCGTTGTAAAGCCAAAGCTGCTTCTCCCCTCCTCTTCTCGGTGGCCGTGGTAATGACCTCCTGTCTGGGCACAGTTGAAGAGGGACAAACACCGTGGAGGGTGCTGGCAATTCTCATTGATAATCAGCATCTCTAGAACCTCCCATTCCCATTTTTTTTAAGTTTATTTCTTTTGAGAGTGAGAGAGAGAGTGGGGGAGGGGCAGAGAGAGGGAGGGAGAGAGAGAATCCTAAGTAGGTTCTCTGCTGTCAGCATGGAGCCTGATGAGGGGCTCAAACTCACAAATCATGAGATCATGACCTGAGCGGAAACCAAGAATTGGATGCTTAGCTGTCTGAGCCACCCAGGCGCCCTAGGGCATCCCATTTTTATTCATATCTTTGCATCTTGAACTTGATCCAAACCAATCTACTTGCTGGCTCCAAGGCAAGAGCCCTCTGCAGCACCTCGGAGGCCCTGGGAAGCAGACCTCAGAGAGTCTCCTTCCAGTGCTGGTGGGCTTCTCTAAGAGGCCCGGCACCTCCTGAATGAGAAGGGGAAAGAGGCTGTCCTGGTGGCTCTCAGCTTGGAGCCCTCACCATTTCACCTTGCACTTGACCTTGGGCACATCCCATAACTCTTGAGACTCAGCTTTGCCTTCTATAAAGTACAGGTAAAATGAGATCTGGGCTAGGCACCAGCACATGTTTATTGCCGTAATCAGGATTCTGCCTCTTCTTTCCCACTTACAAGTGGGAAATACTGGATTTGGAAATCCAACCTCCTCATTGTACAGATGTGGAAAGCTGGTGGCAGAAGGGGAAAGTGTCTTGTCCAAACTTCAGGCCAGGCTCTGAGAGTGGCTAATTAGGCACAGGAAAGGGTCAGCTCCAAGGGATCTCACTAGGTGCCTGCAGGGAGATGGTGTGGAGGGAATGGCCCAGAAGGGCGACAGGGCAAGTAACCACTTTGGTCTTTCTCTTTGCAGGGAGAGCTGGGCTTGCCAGGGCCCCAGGGAGTCCCCGGTCTCATTGTAAGTACAAAGATGCCTGTTTGGTGGGAGCAAGAGGCAGGGTGTGGGGAGCCAGCGATGAGTCCTGATGAAAAGGTCCCTCTTTCAAATCCCAAAGCTGGGGGAGCAGGACATACCAGTCTAGCTGGGGAACTGAGGGAGGAGAGCCCTGCTGTGTGATCTCAAGTGGATCACCTACCTTCTCCGAGCCCCTTTCTTCATTAGTTAAATGAAGATAGTGCTTGGAGCATGAGAGCGCTGTTGTACTTTCACACCTGCTGTCTGTCCATTGCTCTGCAAGGGGGTCTGGGCGGGTGATAGCATGCCCACTCACAGGTCAGGTGCTTCTGGTCTAGAAGAAGGAAGTGGCAGGCAGAGGGGCTGAGGCTCTGGGCCACATGGGGCGGTCTTCCTCATCCTTTCTTTCACAGCACTGACTTTGGAGCCAGACCACCTAAGCTCAAGGCAGGGTTCTGTCACACCCTGACTGTGTGACCTGGGTGATATTGCTTACCCTCTCTGAGCCTTAGTTCCTCATCTGTGAAATGAGGATGATGATAGATACTCTTGGGGTGGTTGTGAGGCTGAAATGAGGCATTACATGTACAGTGCTTGGCACAGGGTTGAGCATTGAGTAGGTATGCAATTGGAGAAAAATATCATTACACGGATCTTTGCTATTACCTCCTAAAATGCCTGGAACATAGAGAGGCCTGTGTCCAGGAAGGTTGCAGGCAGCCCGGCTTCTGACTACATTAAGGTTGGGGTAGGCCTCGTGGAGTGGTTCTGTTAGCGGGGCCCTTGGTGGGTGACCTTGACCTTGGGTCTGGCTACAAGGGGCAGTAAGAGCCGCAGGCCTGGGAAAGGACTCTAGGAGCTTTCCCCAGGGTCTCTTCCCCCCTTTGCTCTGTCCTCTGGGTCATTCCTCATGGAATTTGAGTCTGGGGGGCATGAAGACATAAGTAGGCTGCCCCCTAGTTTGGCAAATGGGCTACAGCCTCACTCTCCTGAGCCTCAGGGAACCCCTCCATGAGGTGGGCTCAGGGTGCCCACTCTTGTTAGGGCCACAGATGTGCATGGCCCAGGGCAGTCCTGTGGCTAAGAGGACTGTCCCTGGAACCAGACTGCCTGGCTTCAGACCCCAGCTCTACCGCTTGCTTAGTTCGGATCCTGAGCAAGCTTCTTAACCTCCCTGTGTCTCGATTGCTTTGTCTATAAAATGGGGATAATATTAGTATCTCACTCAGAGTTTCTGTGGTGAAGACTTAAAGAAACTAGTACATATAAAGTGCTTCCCCCATGGTAATAATGATGATTAGTTCACACGGCCGTGTGCATTATGTGTGGTCACAACCTCTGGATTGCCACATGGAGTGGGATTTCTAAGTTACATTGGAGCTTTGTGGGGGGGAGGACCGTGATTGATGAGCGATTGATGAGTGACGTCCCCTTGGCTCTGTATAGTGAGTGTCCACACATGAGTCGTGCATTTGTCATCCCTGATGACTTCCCTGATGTCCGTTCAGCAGGACTTGGCTGGACATCTTTGGCACAAGGCACTGACCTAGATGCTTTGGAAGAGAAATGTCTGCAACGAGAGTTAGAGAACCCCAGCATATGAGGACCCCCAAAACTTTGTAGGCCAGTCTCCTCTAAGCTCACAGGAGAACCTTCTGGAGCATCCTGGTCCCGTGGTCCTTAAACCCCCAACTTGAACAGCCTGGTGTTGGACATTCTTTCCTGTGGGAGCCCAGGCCAATCTCCAGCGTTCTTACAGTGTTGTGTTCCTGCAAACCAAGCCCCAGTCATTCCCCTGCCCTGGGAGAGGCTGTTTGAGACAAAAAGATAGTCACGATCTGTTCTTGCCAAGGCTCCTTCTTCGGACTAAATGCTCTCAGTTCCCGAAGCTCTTCTGAAGGGATGTGTATGTATCCTGGCTTCCATCACTGGCATGTCTTCCTCTTTCTCATTGTCCTGGTGTCCACTAGTTGGGCCCCGAAAGGGGCAAGAATATCGTTTATCCAAATGAATGCAGACTCTGGAGACCCTGACCATGACCTGACTCTTTACAAAGCTCTTTCCCACCTATGCTTCCCTTTGCTTTCGACAGTGAGGGTTGCCAGATCAAATACAAAAAGCCCGGTGAAATTTGAATTTCAGATGCAATATTTAGAACACATTTATACTAAAATATCCCTCAGTGTTGATCTGACATTTGAATTTAGCTGGGCAGACTCTATTTTCATTTGCTCCATCTGTCAACCATCTCCACAGTATCTCTTGGGAGAATCCCATTTGGCAGATGGGAAAGCTGAGGCCTCTGGTCAAGCTCAGCCACAAGGCAGGGGAAGATGGAGGCGTGACCAAAAGGCCTGTCTTCCAATTCCTCATCCAGGGGGCGGGAGGGGGGTGGTGGTGTTCCTGCATTCCTCAGGCCACACCCCACCTCATCTGTCCCTTTCCAAGTCGCTCTGCACTCTGTGTCCTTCTCTGCCACTTTCAGCCTCGCTCCCTGTTTTAAAATTCCCTCTGCTGCCAAGGCCGTGTTCGGTTCCTACTAGTGGTCGGGGGAGGGGGGGGCTGTCCACAGGCGTGGCCCGGCCCCTGCCAGATGCCCCAAACTAGTGCATTCTCTCACCCAAGGACCCCCTCCCACCCTGGAGTTTGGGGACAGCATCTTCTTGCCCTGGGGCGGGGGTGGGGGGAGGGTGGAGAAGAATAGCCTCCCCAAAGAGTTGGAGAGGAAAGGAATTTTCTAACCAGGAGTGAGAAAGGGGGAAAAGGGATCATGAGTCGCCTACGGTTTCCCAGAGGATGTGGGTTTTTCGCTGAGCAAGTGGGAATTCCACAGACTGATAATCATTTTAGTGGAGATTCAGGTTTGTTCAATGTCTTCTCTCTAGTCCGCTGAGGCAATTTGCGTGCAGACTGAAGCCAAAACTTCCCCCATCCTCCCCCCTGCCTCCCCCTTGCCTCCCCCTTGCCTCCCCCCTGCCTCTGGGTCCTTGGAGGCGGGAGGCAGGGCGTGAGGAGACAGACTAACGTTTATCCAGCGTCTGTCTGTTTTGTGTGCACTTGACATGAATTAGGCTGCGGAAGCCTCGGGATACTTGAGGTGGGTGGCAGCAGCCAGGGCATCCAGATAGGGAGGCTGGGGACTGAGGTCACCAGCTCAGGACTTGCAGCCCAGGTCTGTGTGACTCGGATCCCAATACGTTGCTGGTCACCCCTGCCCCCTGCAGCCTCCGAGGTGAGAGGCTCAGAACAGCCCCCTCTGAGTAACTGAAACCCTTTGGCCCGCCCTCGAGAAAAGTGTGCTGATTCCAGAATCTGCCCGACAAAGATTTCTGTGTTTTTTTATTCTGAGTGACAGACAGGAAATTTGGGCTCCTCATCTAACGAGCCCCAAAGAATATGCGGTCTGGCCAAAACCCAGCATGCGGGCTAGGGTGGACGGGCCCACTGTACTGTCACTATATGATCCTGTAGCTTTGTTTCCTTGTTGTCAAGCAAGATCGGGGACCTCACTAGTGCATCCCAAACCCCTGTGGGCCAGGCCTCGTGCTAAGTGTTTAATGATCACAGCCAGCCTGTGAAGGCAGGAAGGGGGTTTACCATTGTACACTTAAGGGGAGCGCGGCACAGAGGGGCTGAGACACCTGCTCAGGGTCACACAGCATAAAGCTGGACCTGGGCCTGGGTCCTAGCTCACTGAGCATTACCCACCCAGCTCTGCATGACTCCTGTGCTGAATGGAGACAGCCAATGTGTAAGGTGTGGGCTGGGCAGTGCGGGGGCCCTTCTGGGTGCGAGAGAAGCTGCTTATTAAGAACACAGAGGAGCCAGGCTTGGCCGCAGCCCCTAGGTCCCTGTCCCCAAGCTACTGACCCCTATCAGGGTTTCTGGAAAGAGGCCTTGTTGCCTTCAAAGGCAGCTCCAGGAACGGGGAGGCAAGATCTTTCCCTAGAACCTTTGTCAATGAGAGCATGGCTAGGGTTCTTTTTCACCTAGCCCACCACTCTGAGTGAGCACCCCCTCTGGGGCGGGGGCAGGCGGTGGCCGCAAGGGCGCACACATAAATGGCCATGCAGGCGCCCCAGCCTAATTTTTGAATCAAGTGTAGCCTCATGCCCTGTCACTGAGTGACATCAATGAGGAAAGGCATGCTAGGGTCCTTTCTTAGAGGAAACAGAGTCAGTCCAGGGCTTGTGAGTGCAGAACACAGGGCCAGACAGACAGACAGACAGACCTGGATTCTAGTTCCCTATTTGCTGCTTGGTGTCTGGTGAGTGATTCCACCTCGCCTTAAGCCTCAGTTTTCTCGTCTATAACATGGAACGGGCCTAATGGGGTCACTGTGAGCAGCCAGCTTGGGCCCGAATGGCAAGTCCCAGCCAGGGGCCCAGTTGAAGCTCCCTCTAACAGCATTCAACGTGACCTTGAGGTCTCGAGCATGGAGTTCGGGAAAGGGTTGCACCCACAGTTGGTTATGTTTTGGTGTAAGTCAGCAAGACGAAGGGTGGAACATATAGAGGGCTGTCTGGGAGCTTAGGCGAAGGTGGGAACCAGATCCAAATTCTGGGCATTTCTCATTGTTCTTCCTTGTGAGGGTACGACATTCCATGGGTCACCTGGCTAGGCTGCCCACAGGGGTCTGGTGCAGACTGGTGCTCTGCGGGCTGTACAGGGGAGAAAGTGGCCTGGAATCTTCTCTGCTCCTCTCCCCAGGGCTCTTAGAGCCCAGCATTGGTGTCCAGCCAACATGGGAAAGTCCCTCTTCCGTGGATGCCTTGCCCCTTGGGGCTGGATGCCCATGCAAGTCCTTGCCCCCCACGCACGGAGGGGCCTGCAGAGGCTTGGGCTGTGGTGCTGCTGTGGCTCCCCAGGGCCCCACGCGGGGGTGAGTCAGGCTCATATTGAGTTCAGTCCCCACACAACCCACCTTCAGGCCTGCAGTGAGAAGAAGGGGCCTGTGTTCCTAGAGCTGCCGGCCGGTCCCCTGCCCACAGCCTGGGCCCCAGCTGCAGCCAGCTCTGCCAGCAGAGCCTACTCTGTTTATTTGTGCACTGTGGGGAGCTCCAGGCCCCCACCCCTCACTCCCTCCAACCAGGAAAAGACAAGGAGAGAAGCGGCAGCCAGCATGACCTGGAGGGGTGGGGGGTTGGGGGCGCAGGGGTGGTGCACTGCTCTGAGGGCCTGGCTTTCCTCGGACCCCAGCCTCTCCCCCGAGCCTGCAATCCTGGCCTTTTCGCTCTCTGCTCTCCCTCCTCTCCCAAGATGACTTCAGAATTCTCTAGAAGCTCTGGAGACAGACTACCTAGTGTGAGTCCCAGCTCCACCCCGGCCTAACCTTGCAGAGGAAACCTTACAGTTTCTGTAACCGGACCCCCATTTTACAGATGGGGATGGTCGTAGGGTGGATCTTCGAGGGCTGGTGTGAGAAGTCCTTGGGTCCAGGCAGGAATGCGCTTAGCCCCATGCCTATCAGCCTTTGTTCCGATTAGGATTGTCACCTGTGAAACTGAGACCTCCCTAACTTTACACAAAGATCACTTGACGGAGCTGAAAGCATGATTTCTCGATGAGGCCCAGAGAGGTCAAGCACATTGCCATAGCAGCCATAGCAGCCAGACTCTCTGACAGTCACAGCAGATGGGAGAGGGAGACAGGAGCCTTTTCATGGGCTCCCTTTCTCTGAGTGTGGGCCTCATGTTACGGCCATGGCTGGAGGCAGTCGCGGCAGGGGTGGGCAGGTGGCCACGTGTGCGGGAAAGAGGGTGCGCCTGTTCAGAGGAAGCCCAGCCACCCCTCCACTGTAAACTATGGTTTCCGACCCCAGTACTATGGGCATTTGGGGCTAGATCATTCTTTGTCGTGGGGCCTTCGCCCCCTAGATGCCAGTAGAGCCTCCTCAGTTGTGTCAACCCCAAATGCCTCCGGACTGTGCCAAGTACTTCATACACGGAAGTCAGTTTTTCTTGAAACATAGTTCTGGCCCCTGTTTTGGATGGGGAAACTGAGGCACAAAGAGTTTTTTTTTTTTCCCCCACCCAGAATCACCCAATGGGTGAGCAGCAGAGGGGAGATGAGACCGGGTGGTCTGACTGAGCCAATGGGGTTGTGTCCTCAGAAACCAAGCCCCAGGGACCTTGGGAGTCATCCGTCCCAGGCCAGTGCCCCGGGAACCACCTCTCACGATGCCCTCTTCTCTTTCTCTTACTAGGGCGACATGGGAGCACTGGGTCCGATTGGCTATCCAGGACCCAAAGGCGTGAAGGTAAGCAAGAGCCATCCCTTAATCTGGGTCTCGCCCCAGCCAGGCGCCCCCTGGCCCATCTCAGCCCAGAAGGGAGCATGCCCGGGTGCCAGGTTGGGGGAGGGGGTGGAGGCTGGCAGGCCAGGAGCTCAGTTCTCCGCAGACCCGAGAGCCAGTCATCGTGTGCACATCACTGACGGCTGACACACTTCTCGAACGGCAGTCCTTGAGCCGAGCAGGGGTCTCCTTGGTTGCAGACCTCAGGGCACCGAAGTCCAAGGGGGGCATTGCCAGGGGCAAAGACAGTAAAATGGCAGCCAGTGAGCTTAGTCCTTCCCTAAGTGGGATGGGTGAGCCGGGAGAAGACGGGCCAGCGTTGCTAGGGCCTCCTTCCGGGGACGATCCCGTGCGGCCCGCATGCGTGTGACAGTCGGTGCTTGCAGAACCCGTCTCTCTGTGCGAATCCAGCCTTCTTCCCTGGATTTGCCCAGAATGCTGTGTTTCACAAGTCAGATGTCCCTCTCATGCTCCTTCAATCCACACCATTGCCATTTGAGCTGAGGGTCCTTGTCCCCTTTCACAGATGAGAAAACTGAGTGTTGGGTTGGGCATCGAGTGCATGCCAGGTGGGCACAGCAAGCGGGGGCGGGGGGGATTGGTGGTGGGAGGAGTCAAAGGCAGTGAGTGAGCCCCGCCCCTCACTGCAGGACCCGACCTCTGTCTTGCAGGGACTGATGGGGAACGTGGGGGAACCCGGACTGAAAGGTGATAAGGTGATCTGAATACTCCCTTGATGCACCGTGTTTTATCTGCATGCCGACCCCCCGCCCCTGCCACCTTGCTGCTGCTGCTGGCTTCTTGCCAGATCCACTCACCTGCACTCCTGCCTCCTCTCGGGCCCCCCTGAATCTGTGCCCCCCAGCTTCTTCCTTGTAACTCAGGTGGAGCTCAGGCAGATGGTTTGGGGCGTGCCGGCCTTGGGAGGGGGCTTGGGGCGCTGTGAACGCACAGGTCGGGGTGAGGCAAGGCGGGTCTCTGAGTCGGGACAGCAAAGCTGAGGCCAGCGTCTGGGAGTGGAGGCCGAAGCCAGAGAACGCAGAGGGTGGGGTGGGGGGGATGGAGGGGGAGTACTGCTGAGATGACAGGCCCCAGGGCAGGTGTGGTGTGGGGTGCAGAGACCCCCAGAGCTGCGGGAGGAAATGAATCCACATGAACCGCCCCAGGTAGAACCGGACCCCCAACCCCAGAGAGCACGTGGTCTGAAAGTGCAGCAGAAACGCGGGGACAGGCCTCTGAGCCCCTGGCCCGCTTTCTTCCCGCTCTTGCCACGTGTCCTGCCCCCACCGCCCTGCGGCCGACCTCGCTCTGTGCCAGACCACAGCTGGAGGTGGGTAGGTGAGACCCTGGGGCATCTGAGGGACAGAGCCTTGGGGCACTGGGGGCAGTGTCCCAGGGGCTCTGCCCTCTAGCCAGCCTCCTGCCCTCCCCCCTCAGCTCCCAGCAAAGCAGGCCCCCCAAAGGGTGTGTGGGAGGGCTCTCGGGCCCCATCCGGGCATCCACAAGTCTGAGTAGGTGACAGCCACTCCTGCGGCCAGGCTCCCTCTGCACCTGTCTGCAGATCACCTCACTCCCCCTAAACCCGGGAGCCAGGAGCAGGTGTCGGTGCTGGCTCTGGCCGTCCGAGTGCTCTGTGGGGATGTACCCACCCGGCTTCCAAGCCTCGGTGAGATAGGAAGCGTGCCTCCTGAGACCTCACCCACGAAGCAGAAGTGAGGACAGAAGGGGAGAGCCGATGGGGCCCTTGGAGTTCACCTCGCCGGTGCCTCCGTGTCACAGCTGGCCAAACAGCCCCAGAGTTAGAAGAGAGGCCTTAAAGAAAACTCAGCCCTCGGACTTAGAAACACACCCAGACTGTCCTATGCCCCCGCCCCCCAGCCCTAGGTTGCCAGGGGGTGCAGGGCTAACCCCAGGCCTTTCTCCATCTGTCTCCACCGCTTCCATCCCCTGCGGTCCCACCCAAGCCTCTGGCTGCAGTCCCCCCTCCCAGCCTCCCCCTGCTCAGCTCCACTTCTGCCCTGCTGGCTGCCCAGCCCCCTCTTCTGCAACTTTCCCCTTGAGATGGAGGGGCTTTCTGTCGGAGGCAGGGGCTTCCCCACGGCTACCTATCTACTCTGGGGTTTGAGACATGAGCACTCTGGAAATGTTGAAGTCATGCATAAGGGAGAAAGGAAGCAGGGGAGCGGGGGTGTGAGCATCGAGCTTTTTATAGGCCCTTCTGCAGACCTGGCCTCCAGCTCACTGTTCCTCCAGGAACATGGAAATAAATGTGTTACATGGAACTCAGTTGGCGTGCTGACTGCTGGTGCCTGGGACGTTTCGGGATGTGAAAGCTCTGGAAAAAAAAAAAAAAAAGAAGTGGAAGAAATTGTTCTCCTGCCCATAGTTTTCAAGAAAATCAAATATGACTTTGGGGTTGAAGAAAAGAAAAAGAGCCCTCTCTTGTGCCCCTTTAACTGGGGAGGGATCTCCGTGCTGCTGAGAGCGAGGTTCTGATCAGCCCCCTGCCCCCACCCCCCAGGGATGACGGAGCCATCCCTTCGTGTTCCCTAGTCATCCTGACTAGAATCCCAGATTTCCATGACCCGGCCTGGCCTGGCCCCGGTCCCGCTTACAACCACTTGGCCCCGTCTTCCTGCCTGGAGGCGCGTTCTGGAATCAAGACTCCAGCCCCAGCCGTCTCCAAGTCCATTGTCCTGATTTCTTAGGTGTATTTTTAAACATTTTTTTAAAAATCCCCTCTGTTCCTCCTTTAGATATTTAAAAACAAAACAAAACAAAAAAAACCCCAACAAACTTTCTTGGCTTCCAAGCCTCTGGGATATTGTACAGGGTTTTCCAAACTGGAAAAACCAAAGTAAGTTTTTTTAAAAGATTCGTTTTTCTTTCTTTCTTTTTTAATTTTGGCTCTTGTTTTACCAAGGAAGTTTTTCTGCCGGTTCATGGCCTTAGCTGGGTTCCTGGGTTTTCTCCCCCATTCTCCCAATTGCTCCTGGAGCTGGGAATGTTCTCTGAGTTCTGGGGCCAGGGTACTGCTGGGAACGTCCCACGTGGAAGGCCGGAAATGGTAAGGGCTGCATGATGTGACTCCGGTGGTAAGAAGAAACATCTTCCAACGCGGTTCTCTGACAGCTCGTTTACCAGGATGTGGCTGCAAGTGGGGAGGCACCAGAAGAGACCGCCAACAGCCACAATCCGTGTCACCAAGCACGTGCCATATGCCACCTTAGGAAAGAAATGCCAGAGCTAACTCAAGACCCATTTACTCGCTGTTTGCACAGTGGCTTAGCAAGACTACGTCTCTCATGCTGCAGCTCATTAAAAGCAACTAATCAGACTTGGGCCTGAGCTGATGGCTGGCACAGAAGCTCACAGAGGGAAGAAGTGACAGCCCCCAGCCTGGTGGTGAAAAACATCAAGCGATAGATGCAAACACTTAGAAACCCCAGTGGTGGGGGGTGGGGCGTTGTACAGGCTACAGTTGCCCCTGTGTGACGTCAGCGGGTGAAGAACTTGGCAGATCAAGAAACCACTCCTTAGAGCTCCAAGTGCCAGTTCTCCGGCCAAGGCCAGGCAGCTGAGCTCCTGTTAGTGGAGTTTCCAGCTGCCCGCGCACCCCCAGGCAGGTGTGCAGACAGGTCGGCGTGGGACCCCTCAGGGCCTGGCTTCCCTTGGTGGGGGAGGGCGCCTTTGCCCTTTACTCTGACAAGGTCAGATCCGCGATGGGAACAGCCTCGGCAAAGCTGTACCTTGCCAGTGGGTTTGGACTCGGGGAGGCGTCCAGAACCCAGCACAGTCTCCATCGTAACGTTCTTTGCTGGTGTGTATTTAGGGCGAGCAAGGGGTCCCAGGTGTGTCAGGAGGTACCGGATTCCAAGGAGACAAGGTAATTGCAGCCCCTGCCCGCCCCCCCCCCCCCCACTGCTCTTTTCTGATCCGGGCTTTCTTCTTGGGGTTCCTCGATGGACCAGGGTCCCCTGCAACCTGGCTTCACATAATCCTACCTTCTCCAGCCTCAGTACCCCCATCACCATCTCTTCACTGCACTTTACAACAGCCCCCAGCTTCTTCTCTCCTGGCCTGTCTTCTTCTGCTCTGCTCTGTGCTCACAACTGCTTCCTACTGCTCCCAGAGTAAGGTCCTGACTCCTCACCCCAGCACACAGGAGCCTCGTGAGCAAGTTGTTCAGACCCTTTCCTACTCCTTGCTCTTACAGCCCTGGACTCCCCAGAAGCGCCCTCTGCCCCCCCCAAGGTTTTGCACACACGGCTGCCTTGCCTGGCACCCCCCGCCCAACTCAGCATGGCCCACCCTACCCATCATTCAGAACCCTGCTCAGGTACCATTTATTCTACCTGCTTGGAAAGAGGCCATTTCCCTCTCTGTGGGCCCTGAGCAGCCTGTCCGTCATCTGTGGGAGCACTTGGTAGATGGGGACTTGTGCTCAGCCCCCTGCCAGATGGCAGGCTCCCTCCGGACGCCACCCCAGACCGCCCTGCTGTAGCTGAGCTCAGAGTCCTGCACCGACCATGCGGGGCGTGTTTGAGTAAGTGAGTAACTGGCCTTCCTGACTGATGGGTGAACCAAGGCAGCCTGCCGAGGCTGGCTCCTCTCTGCCTGTGTCCGGCACCATGTGGCCACATCTGGACCTCACCCAGCCAGCCAACGAGGCCCAGATGTTGGCCAGCTCTCTGTCTTCCTCTTCCCTCCCTCCTGGCCGGCCTGTCCTGACCCAGCTTCAGTGTCTCCGGATTTCGAGCCCCACAGGCCTCCAGCTTCCCCTGCTGGGCCCCCGTCTCCAGGGTTCCTCACGCACGAGGTCACTGGCAGTGCTTTTGCCTGGAGCCCCGGGTCCCGGTTCTGGGACAGTTTGGTGAGGAACAGGGGCTGCTGTTTCTCCTCTGCGTCCCCGAGGCCCAGCCCATGGGGGTGCCCAGCTGGAGCTTACAAGCAGGGAAAGTGAGGGCGGAGCTTGTCTACCCCAAAAGTTGGTGTTCTCAGGCCTCAGCTGGGCACGGATGACCAAGCAACTGTTCACCTGGCCATTTCTGGTCCTTACTAACCCCAGCCTGCTCTTGACCTTTTCCAGGGGAGCCAGGGATTGCCAGGGTTCCCAGGCGCCCGGGGGAAGCCAGGGCCTCTGGTGAGTACCTTTTGCTCTGACATCCCCCCAAACCTCACACTCTCCAAACAGTCACGAAATGTGGTGGGGGTGGGGGTGGTCACATCCTGGACCTCATTTCCTCCTGCAGCAGCTCTGGGAGACAAGCAGAGCAGGACAGCAATGAGGTTCATCCATTCTACAGATGAGGACACCGAAGCCCACAGAGGCAGGAACTCACCCAGCGTCAGACATCAGCCTCAGGCACTGTCGAGGTCTGGGGAGAATCAGAATCTGGGGCTCCCAGCCAGAAAGCCTTGAAAACAATAGTAGCGTTAGTAACAGCAGGGGGTGTCATGTATTTATTGAATGTTACTCTGTACCAGATCGTTCCCATCCAAGACTTCCTTGATGAGTGCCAGCCACCCCAAGGGCCACAGAATTATTATCCCTCCCATCTTACAGATGGGGAGACTGAGGTTCTGCAAGACAAAATGTCTTGCCCAGGATCCCTAGCTCCTGGTTGTCTAGGCAGATTTCATTCATGCACCCTTGAGCTTTTCCAGCTACCCACAGCCAGGGGAAGATACAAGGGATGGTAGAAAGTGGGCCCTCACTTACCCTTGCCATCTCTTCTCCACAGGGCAAAGTTGGAGACAAGGGATCCCTTGGGTTTCCTGGGCCTCCTGGCCCCGAGGTACGTGATCCCACATTGCCCTGTCTGGCCACAACTGAGAAAGGGGGCTTTGTCCTTGGAAAACTGAGATCCAGAAATTGGGGGGTGGGTGCTACTAACCTGAGGCCACACAGCAAACGAGAGACCGGGGCTGAGAATAGAAATTCTGAGACCAGCGATCTTGCCTTTTCTGACTCTGTGTCCCTGGTGGCTCTCGATGGCGGTGGGACAGAAGCTGGCCTCAGAGACCCTCCCTAGCTCTGTGGCTCCATGTAGAGTTTCCAGAAACAACATCAGGGAAGCCCTCTGAACTCAGTCCCACACCCTTAACAGGAGCACCTGCATTCTCTAGCCTGAGCTCTGAAACTCTTCCAACCACCCACACTCCCCCTGGAAAAAGTTCAAGGCTCAGCGCTCCCAGGAGTGGGGAGCAAGAAGCAATGATAAAATTCTGGTGTTTGAGTGGAGAATGAGAAATCATGAAAGATGATCTAGCAATTAATATAACTTGCCGTAGGTAGGTAGAAGCCTGAGAGGTCCTGGTACATGTGAAAATCTGCACCAGTCCGCTAGCCGTCTATCAGTCAGCGCTCACATTTCACGTCTGACGGGCTGAGGCATGTGACAGCTGAGCTCTTCCACCGGCCCCTCCGGCTGGGACCGTCTCTGGAGACCGGGATGCCCTGTGCCAGGGCTGCCATCTGTCCGGGATCCTCAGCACCCAGGTCCTCCGGGGAGTCTAGGGACCAACCTTAGCCAGCCCCCATCACGTACACACAAGCACACTCCTGGTCTCCAGCCTTGCTCATTCACGAGATCTCAGAGACACAAGCATTGCTCCGCCGAGCTCTCCAGACCCTTCCAAAGTTCACCCCTGCTATCGCCCAGGTAGATGAGGGACGGTCTCCTGGAAGTTCTGACTTCCCACTGTGTTGACTTTGGCTGTGACACAGTCCTAGTGTCGGGCGGATGGAGTTGACCTGTCCTCCCTGGCCTTGACTCCTTCCCCTGGCCACTGAGGAAGAAGACGGGGCGAACAGTCCGGCTTTCCCTGCAGGCTGGCCACGGGGGTGGAGCACACGCCCCTCATGTTCACCGGGCACCTCCCCCGTGCTGGTGGCCTGCGCAGTGTCTTTGGGACAAGAACACGGTGAATTGCCACCAACAACCATGTGAGGGAGGCATTACCACCACCATGTCATAGATAAGGAAACTGAGTCACAGAGTCGTGAAGCGACTTCCTCGGGGTCACTTTACTTGTAGCAAATAAGGTCTGCTTTGGGCACATCCAGGGTCTCTCCCATCTTTGTGTTCTGTCTGGATGGACTCACTCGGTGTCCAGAAGACAGCTCTACACAGCTGGAGATGGAAGCCGATGAGCGTGTCAGCGCCTTCCTGGGTCTCTCTGCTCCTTCAGAGACTCTGGGCAGGAGGGGCTGGGGCGCTGCGACTCTGCGGCCCCTGCTGAATCTGCCTCTTTCACTCATCAGCGTGTCTGATCTGTGTGAGCACCAGAGTTTGATCGGCATCCTGACATGCAGGCTCTCCCTGGAGAGAGGCTCGCTCCGGGCAGGACACGGGACCCCACGTCCTTTTATTTATTTCTTTTTAATTTTAAAAAATTTTTAATGTTTTATTTATTTCCAAGAGAGAGAGAGAGCAGGGGAGGGTCAGAGAGAGAGAGAGAGACACAGAATCTGAAACAGGCTCCAGGCTGTGAGCTGGCTGTCAGCACAGAGCCTGATGCGGGGCTCGAACCTACGAACTGTGAGATCATGACCTGAGCCGAAGTCAGATGCTCAACCAACTGAGCCACCCAAGCGCCCCACCCCACGTCCTTTTAGATATGGATTTTTGTTGAGTGCTCAGCAGGTAGCCAGGCGCTGAGATAAGCGCTCTGTGCGATTCCCTTCAAGACTCAGAATAGCCCTGTAAGGTGATGTTGTGGTTGCCACATTACAGATGAGCAAGCCAAGGCCCAGAGATGCTCAGGAACCTGCCCGGGGTCACACAGTCAGTCAGTGGCAGAACAAGTCTTTGAACCTCTCAGTTTGGAGAAAGACATGGTGCTTTGATTTTTTGTGTTAGTTCAGAATTCAGACCCATTCTTGACTTGGCTAGTCAGAGGGGTAAGAGGATATTTGAGCTGGAATTTAATGGGAGTCCCCAAAAGCTCAGAGAAGGGGGAAAAAACCCCACTTATGACAACATGGGAGGAGGCATTTTGATCTCAGGGATTCATAGAAGATTTTGGTTTCTAGTTGTCAGGAAACTAAGGGAGTAGATGAGGCTGCCCTAAAAGTGAATGCAGTGCTAGGGTGAATTAGCAGAGGTATTACACCGAAAACAAGGGAGGGGATGTTCCCATGCTGGCGTCTGGTGGTCTGTTTACCCCATCATCCTAGGGATTGCCAACAATGGAAGCTGACTGCTTGGAGGTGGCAAGACTGAGGGGCCCTGGGCCCCAGACTAGAAGCCGTTAAAGGAACAGCAAAGGGCGGGCCTCTGGGGAGGGAAGAATTGGTCTCCGAATTGTGCAAAGACCACTGTGGAAAGGACTCCCCTGTGCTTTGTGGGGTCCTCAGGGGCAGCACGACTTGTCAAGGGGAAAGGGAGGGGATTCCGCTCCAGGTCGGGAAGAAGTCTCCATTGCACTGTCATCCGTTGGGATCAGGCTTGGTGAGCCCTCTTTGGTGATATGGGGCAGAGCCTGACACACCTGGCCAGGATGGAGAGGGGTTTCGGCCTCTGGTAGAAGGACCCGAGCTTAATTAGATCAGCATTTTCCAGTCCGTCAGAGTCGCAGCAAACCCGGAACGGAATCGTGTCTGCAGGATCCCCGCGAAGGATGGCGCTTCTCGGAGCCGAGGCTGGCTAGCTACGGCGCTCTGGCTCCGCGGGCCCAGGACTCGGGAGATTCTGGCTGAGACAACCTCGTGTGCGCTGGGAGCTAGGGTTTTGCTTGCATCGTCTTACTTAATTTTCTCAGCAACTCTCCGAGATGCATGGGCTGTCACCGAGATCCCTGTGTGAGATCCCTGCAGGGTCAAGGCAGTTAACTGAGCTGCCCAGGGTCACAGCCCATGCAGGAAGGGGTGGAAACCCGGGCCAGTCCCCCTCCAAGACCTCCGCATTTGGCACTTCCCTTCACCTCTGGGTGACCCCTGCTCTCTGCTTCCCCTGCAGGGATTCCCTGGAGACATTGGCCCCCCTGGGGACAACGGCCCAGAAGGCGTGAAGGTGAGTCCCCTGCCCTGGGTGCTCAGGTCTCTGCAGGAACCCCAGGCCTCCAGGGCTGGGCTCCCTGGCTTGGAATTGGGGGGGGGGGGCGGGGGGAGGGGTCTCACCAGCCTCTGATGGACACGGAGGTGCTGCCTCTGAGACAGCTTTTTGTTCCCTTCTCACCAGGGTAAGCCTGGAGCTCGAGGTCTGCCGGGACCCCGTGGGCAGCTGGGGCCCGAGGTGAGACTATCTGGCCCTGTCCCCTGCCCGTCCCCTGCACCCCTGCCTGCGCCATCCTGGGTCCTGGAAGGCCTTAGCTGGGGACCAGGGACCTTCACCAGGATGAACCCCTGGACTCTCTCGGGCCCGCCCTCTAGCTCATCCTTCACAGTCCTGCCCCGTGACCCTGCCAAGGTCGTTCTCTGCCCTGGCCTGGCTGGCAGGTGGCTCTCTCCCTCCCCGGCATCCCCATCACCCTGGGGTTCCCTCTCTGGGGCCACTGCCTCTGCCCCTGCAAGGCTTATGGGAGGGGTGATGTGGGAGAGTAGAAATCGTCAGCTCCATTTTACAGGGGGGACCCTGATACTCAGAGTGGAGACACTGGGTTGGGTCCCGTGGTCAGTGGTAAGCAGGCTCAGGATTCAAATCCACATCCACTTGAGTCCCAGACCCATGACGTAGACCCTATGCTATTGACTCTCTGCTCCTGGGAGCTGCCGCGGGGGGTTGGGGGGGGCATCCCCAGAGAATTCTATAACTTGCAGAGCTAGTAAAGGGCAGAGTGGAGATTTGCTTATTTCCTCATTCATGCTGCAGGGATGAGACGTTCTCTATGGGTGGGCCGATTGGGCACCACACGGGCTGGCCCCAGAGTTTGTCTGCACATGAGGCCCCCCCACCACCCACCTGGGCTCCGGCCCCAAGGCCCCCGTGACACGCAGCCCCGGGTGAGGGTAGAGGAGGCCTGGACTTGCCACAACCACAGGCAGGCGTCCAGCCGACATGGATCCCTTCGCTGGCTGGTTCGGGGTCTGGCGGGGTCCCAGCGCTGGCTCCGGGAGCTGCCACGTGGGGCTGCTTTCCTGGAAGCTGGAGGGGTGGCGGCCCTGGAGGGGGCCTCTCGGTCAGGCCCGGCATGTCAGAGAGGCCAATGGGGAGGCTTCCCCTAGCCTGCGGGAGGGCCAAGAGAGGAAAGGGAGGGGAGGGGAGAGGCGCCAGCCACGTGCCTCTGTCTACACCCACGTTCCCACTAGACAGACTGCCACCTGCTTACGTCTTCATTGATTCTGTCATCCACTCCTGCATTCATTTGCAGCTGCCTCTCCTCCCTCTCTCGTGGCCCTGTCCCTAGTGTCACTCATCACACATCCGTGAGTCGCTGCACACCCATCTTGAGGGGTGTTTGCGACGATGTAGGAGACAGGGCCGCGAGAAGGAATAAGAGCTCATTGCCGTCCTCCAGAAACTCAGCTTAGGCTAATCATCATACTTTAGGATGATCCTCCCCCTTCCGCACCATTTTACAGGGGAAACTGAGGCACGGCGAGGCTAACGTCTGCCTTAGCAGAATCAATGGAGGAGCTCAGAATAGGGCTAGTGTCTGAGCTGCAGTCTGGGGCTCTGCATCCACAGCACGTGATAGGGTTTGACTTTCTGCCCGGCCCTGCAATGAACCTGTCACACTCAGATGACATGGGGGCCCCATTTGTGTGGAAGTCCTTGTGTGGCCTGGGAGGGGGCCCAGTGGCGGGGACCAGACGCACCATTTCTCTTGGTCCAGGAAGGTTCTCCTCTGTCCGTCCCTTTCCCTCCTTACGGGTCAAGTTCTCTGAGACTCTCACTGGAGTAATTTCTCCTTTTTTCCTCTCTTGTGTCTCCCACCTCTAGGGAGATGAGGGACCCATGGGGCCACCCGGGGCCCCTGGCTTAGAGGTGAGTGTCGCTGGCCCCCAGGGGAGGTGGGATTTGTCGCCAGCTGTGTGCAGACAGGCACTATCTGGGAGGTGCTGTGCAGAGAAGTCATTGGAGGAAGCCTTGGGCCAGCTGGAGAGGGGACTAGAACAGACCCCACGGGAGAGAGACAGGAGGCAGGAAACCGGCCGGCCGTGCTGGGCTGTACTTGCCTGCATTTGTTTCTCTGCAAGAGTGGCATCGCTGATCTTAGTTTCATCCAAGGTCTTCAGGCTCAAAGAGCCAGGGGGTTAGCCCCCCAGAGCCTAACCTTGCACCTCTCCCCACCACTCGGCTCCAAGTGGTCCCTCACAGGGTCCACCCCAGCTGACGCGTGGTTTGGTCTTGGGGCCTGCTTGCCCTCTCCAAAAAATGATCGGAGACCCCAAGCGCTTTTCTTTGTGTGGGTTCCACCTATTGATACGAGTGATTAAAACTGAAAACTTTTCAATGTATTTATTAATTCATTTGAAGTAACAATAAACCCCTTTCATGTGAACAAAAATAATAGTTCTACAAACAAAACAACCCGCTATATTTTCCAAAGCAAAATAATCTAATGAAAAGAGTGGCATTGTTTTACCGTTTTTGCAAATCTCTTTAATGTCTGGCTTTAATAGAAGTCAGCTGGATTCTCCCATCCGCTTCTGTACTCAATCTGTTGATGGGACCGCCTGTCATGTAGCCTCTGGAAAAGTCTGCTCACACTCAGGAGAAGGAGAGAGACCCAGCAAACCACGTCTTAGCCTTATTATGAACATAGTTCTGATGTCATCAGTCCTCTGAAAGGGCCCCAGGGACCACAGGGGTCCCCGGACCACACTTGGAAAACCACCGGCATAAACTCTCAATTCCCCTGGGCCCTTTAGCTTCCGTGCCCTTCCTCCCTTTTCCTCATTCCTTGAAAGCAAGTTTCAACATCCCCGTTTGCAAACAGGACAGGCCTGGGAGGGGAAGCTTCCTTGAGGTCACACAGGTGCAGACCCCTCCCTGCGTCTCCAGAATAGCACGGTGGCCCTTGGGGCTCTGAGTCGCCTGTACCAGGGCTGGGGCCCCAGCAACACTGTCCCCTCCTCGCCCCGCTCAGCGCTCCCTCACTCACCTCTCTCTATTGCAGGGCCAGCCTGGCAGGAAGGGGTTTTCTGGTAGGCCCGGCCCGGATGGCATGAAGGTGAGGGGTCCTGGAGGTGACTGGGCTTGGTGGGTGGGTGGGGGGACCCCTGGGGAACAGAAGAAAAGGGGAGCCAGCAGATGAGGGCCCCAGGAAGGACCCTGAATCCCACAGGCTGTTGTGGGAAGGAGGGAGAGGGTCCCCATTTCTCACAACGTATTGGTACCAGAGAGGGGAAAAAATGACCACAAACTGAATTCCAGCAGTGGGTAGTGTTCAGGTGACGATGTGATGCCCGAAGATGATGTGGTGGAAGAGTTCACAGGATGGGAAAGGCCTGTGCGTGTGGACGCGGTGGAGGCAGGAAGCAGGTTCCGGAAGGAAGGTCACAGTGCAAGTCCGTGTTCCTGGATGCTTGGAGCAGAGGCTGCAGTGTAGACTGGGGCTCTCCCCGGGCTGTGAGAGTATAGGATGCTTCCATGTCCTTCTGCGGGCCTGTAGGGTTTCCCCCGTTCTGTGCAGTAAATATGTATTACATTTGTTAGCAGTTTTAAGTTACGAAGGAAGAGCTGGCCTGCGTAGGGGAGGGTTGACCTCGGCACATGGGCACGTGGGCAGCCTTGCTTACTGGCTTTCTAAGGACTCCCCTTGAGAGCTGTGTCGGGCCACGTTTGCAGCTGGGCCGACTTGCCAGAGTTAGGGCAGAGCCAGGGTAGCTCAGGTCATCCGCATCGCCCCCCCCCCCCCCCCCCCCCCCCCCCCCCCCCCCCCCCCCCCCCCCCCCCCCCCCCCCCCCCCCCGCTCAGGGGACATGGTCCCTGTGTCTGCCTGGCCCCTCTGGTTCTCATGAGCATGAGGTCTGGGGCAGAAGCTGGAGGGGAGGACGAGGCACAAACCCCTGATTGCGGTGAGCCGCTTTCGTCCGTGAGCCAAACTCCTGGCTAGTCCGGGCCCTTGGCCTGCCCTCTGAGGTCTCCGTCTCTCTCCCTCGTTTGCCAGCTGGGCTCCTGCGGTGGGAGCAGTGACACAGTCTGGGTGGATTTATCCCCACGGGTCTGCTCGCCTCCCTGCTGCCCGCGCTGTGGGGAGACCAGGGCAGCTGTGGCTGCCGGACTAGCAGGAGCCACCCCAGCACGGGATCAGCCTGGCAGACGAGGCTCCAAGAGGCCACCAAGTGTGAGAGCTGGAAAGAGCCTATAAGACAAATGAGTCTGATTCCCCTTATTTGTCGTTGGGGACCCTGAGCCCCGGGCAGAGACAAGACTCACCAGTCATTTCGCGAGCCAGTAGCAGAGCTCTGGGGGGTCAGCGTCTAGGGTCCAAGTGCCCTGACTCCCTGATCCCCCGCTCGGCCTGTGGTGGGACAGCTTGATACAGTAGGAGTGGGGATTTCAATCTGTCAGATCCAAGTTTCCAGGTCAAGCCCTACCTCTAGCTTGCTGTGTGGCGTGGAGCAGATCACTTCGCCTCTCTGGGCTTCCGTCACCACCTCTACAACATGCGGGGGGTTGATGAAGGGCCCCGATGAGATACAGACGTTAGAGTCAAGTGGTGGGTGGCGAGGGCCTTGTCTGCGGCTGGCGGTCCTGTCCCAAGTGTCCATTGTCCCCACCGTTTGAGATCTACAAGGCCAGACCCTGGAGTTGAGGTTCCTGTCCTTCCCTATGGGTGGGGACGAAGGCCAGTCAGCTGGGGTATTGCCCAGGGGGACCTAGACTCCCATCACCCATCCCAAGTGACCCTCCTCTTTGCCTCCTTGCAGGGAGAACCAGGTGACCCTGGACGGCCAGGGCCAGTGGGTGAGCAGGTAAGGCAATGCCGGTCTCTGACCACAGTGACTTTCTTTATGAAAACTCACTCGGTGCCAAGCCCTTTGGTAAACGCCCCACACATTGGCCTTGCGTTCCCAGGCCTGCTCCTTGGCGCAGTTATCGAGGCTCTCCTTTCCTCTGATATGGTCACTGGCTCTCCGCAGGGGCGAAGTCCCTGAATGAGAAAGCCGTGAATCACAGTCCCGTGGCCTGGCTCTGCAGACGTTTTTGGAGCATTTGCCCAAAAGGGGTTACATGACTTTTGCTCCCAGAACGTTAAAACTGGAAGGCCTTCTCCAGTGGCCCGCTGTGCCCCGTTTACAGATAGGGACTCTGACAACCAGGGAGCCATGACCACCTGCTAGGAGCCCGTGGTCCAGGCAGCCCTAACTTAGAAGGACAGTGACATTCAAGCCAGTGGCGCTTGCTAGCTGGGAAGTCAGGTGAAGTTCGGAAGAAGAGAGCGGGTCTCAAGTCCTTAGAAAGGAGGTTTGAGAATCACCAGCTTCGTTATCGAGGCCGAGGGCCCTTGGTGCTACAGAGAAGCAGGTGTGAATTCTGGGAGAACACACAGCGTAGCCTCTCCTCTGCAGCCCACCACTGCCTGAGAGCCTAACCTCTGGGCTTGGAGGTCAGGTTGAAAGGTAGCAATCTCCCCCACTGCCTTAAAGAAGGACCTCGCCCCCTGAACTCTGCAAGATGCTAGTTCAGGCCAGAAGGAGGAATGGCATTGGGGACCCAGAAGAATCCATCTCTGCTGAGAAACGCCATCGGTGGCGTGAGAGCCGTGCACGACGGGCTTCCTCACCAGGCCTGCAACATCTGTTGGGGGGAAGAAAGGAATTAAAGCAGGGGGTGGACTGGATTTTTGAAACCTTTCCAGTGTCATTCGAGCGCATTCTGTGGGAAGCCCGGGAGTTTGGAAGGGCTGTCACGGCCTGGATATATTTCCTGATTGGAAAAAAGAGGCAATGCGATCAGCAAATTTAATTTCATAGTTATGCTGATGGTAAGGGCCCTCGGGAAATAGATACTCCGAATCTTAGCATGTTGGAGCACAAAGGGCCCTCGCAGAGCACTCTGTACCGGGGTCCTAACTTTTTTGGGCCTTTGGACCCTTTGGCAGGCTGGTGAAGCCCATGGACCCCTTGTCAAGAATTTTTAAATGCCAAAAAGTGCAAAATGAAGGATTGCAAAGGCCGTTGATTGTCTCGAAATGCAATAATGAAAGTACATTGAATGCGATCTTGTAGCCCTCCTTCTTTATGGATGCATTAAATAATGAGATCCAGCAGCTGTCTGAGAGCAACCTCAATTTTGAACAGTGACAAGCCTCAGTGACACATTTTGAAATCTCTGTGACAGTGACTGCACTGTGACACGTAAATATCCGTGACGGGTACAGGTACCACGGGCTTGTCGGCTACACTCAGATTTGAATTGATGCTCAATTTCAGTTAGAGGTCAGCGAAAATGAAAGTTGTAATTTTTTTTTCCTATTCAAGTTCAGGGACCCCCTGAATTCCATCAGCGGAGGCTTGCAGGAAGCCCAGTGTAAGCCCCATGGATCCTAGCCCACGTCGGCCATCTGATTAGCAAAGATGACCGAGCAAGGTCGCGGCTAAGCTGGGGCCAGGCGGAGTGGGCATCTGGCCTGGGGCAGCTGCACGGAGGGGCCTGTCTGAGCTGTGGGGCAGAGCTGGAGCCCTGCAGCTAGGGTGCCGTGCCAGCTGTGCCCTTGGCCCCGCCCCCTGTAGGAAGGGGCGGGCATCTCCCGTTCAAGGCAGAAGCAGAGAGTCCCCGGGGAAGGTCCTCCTTAGGATCACAGTATCAGCTGCACTGATCAGGCTCCTGTGAGGCACCAGGCTCTGTGCTAAGCACTCTCTCCCCTGCTGCCTGTGATTCCCTCCCCAACCCCAGGGTGGTAGACGTTAGTATCCCCATTTCACGAATGAGCAAACTAAGGCTCTGAGAAGTGAGGTAACTTGACAAGATCTCCCCCGGGCAGTAGCACCAGTGTCCAAGCCAAGGTTGACCCTCGGGGCCTCTGGATTCCCAAGATCTGCTTTGGAGGGGCTGGAAAAAATCATAGACCTCCTGAGCCCTTGCTCCCTAAGAGTGTCCATGGCTCGTCAGCAAGCCCTGTCCTAGGTGCTGGGGACACAAAAATGATCACAGGCATGGGCCTTGCCTTTAAGAAGCCCTCTGTATCAGGGGAGAAGCCAGGCATGTAAACACTCCCTCCCTGGGACGTCTCTTTCAGTAGAGGACCCACAGCTGTCTTGTTCCGGGTGCATGTCCAGTGCCTAGCGCCACGTCCTGCGAGGGAAGGGAAGGAGGGAGGGAGAAAAACTCCCACAAGCAGACAACAGCCCTTTATCTGTAGACAGCGTGAGGCCCAGGGCAGGCTCCTTCCCCAGGCCGGGGGCTCAGATCCTGCCCGTGCAGTGCCCGCAGTGGGTGACTGTCCACCCCCATGTCTTCCGGCCACCTGGAGGGGAGCCCGCGGTGCCCACAGCGGTCAGAGCTGCTTCCCCACCCACACCACCAGGTGGGAGCCCTGGGCCCCTGGGGCTGGCTTCCCGGCCAGCCTCATCTCCACCCGCAGGATGGGCCTGCCAGCATCTCCTGGGACACTTCCCCTTGGGTGTCCTGGGGGCCCGGGTGGGGAAGTGGGGCACTTGCTGTATGGCCTGTATTCATTAGGATCCTGTTTGGCTTCTTGTTTGAGGTTTATGACCCGCCTGCCTTCCAGGACCCAACAACTCATAAATTTAAAGTAGCTATGAAATTTCTGTTTCTCTGGGCCAGTCGGGCAGGGGCCTCTTAACAGAGCCGTTTTTATTCCCTTCACTCGGCATCCTCTAAATGTCTGAGTGCTCCCTTGTGGGGCGCTCGGGCCTCCGTCTTAACCCTGTGCCCTTTTAAAATAAATTAGAACAGGACAGGAGAGAACTAACGTTTATGGAGTGCCTACATGTGCCATGCATTATCTCCGATACTCAGAACAACCCCGGGGAGACCGGGAAAGACCTTTATCTCAAGTGCCCCCCTCTGCAGGCGAAGAGGCTCGGAGAGGCTCTGTGACTTTCCCAGGGTCCACAGATCTAAAGGAATGACAACAACCCAGAAAAAGTGTCCGGTGTAGGGCTTGGCACTCCAAGTGCCGGCTGTTGTTAGTAATATTGCCGTCACGGCGAAAAGAACTCTAGTTTTTTTTAAAAGTTAAGTTGTTGCAACAGTCAAATACTTGGTTACTGTCTGTGACTTCTTAGCCATGACCTCATACCTGGTACCTCACTCCTCGCACCTCATACTTCAACCCTGAAGGGTCTCTGAGCCCAGCGGACCAGGACCTCCACTGTGGGGCAGTGGTGCCGGGCTGCAGGGGCCACCTGTGACCTGTTCCCGGCCACATGTTTTGGAGGTCCCCGGGGTGGTGGCACGGGTGCATGCCCTTGGAGCCACAAGGACCAGAGGTGAATCCCAGACGGCAGCCTCAGGACACCCGTGGTGCGTGGTCAGACCTTCAAACTGTCTCTGAGACAGAGCTGACCCTTTGGGAATGGGCACCACGTTTTCACCCTAGTTACTGACGGGGTGGCCAGCAGCCCTGCCTCAGTGTACAGCTTGCAACTGCTGATCTGTGCCGGCGCGGGTTCAAGGTCTGCCCCTTTCTAGGTACAGTCTGGGGACAGAGAGCAAATTGTGTGGGATAGATCCACTCACCCCTCGGTCTCCTGATTCTCCCAGAAACACTTGGCTGCAAACCTGAGTTCTTCCAAAGCCATCGTCGCGCCTCTGAACTGTGCCAGACCTCCTCCCCCACCCCGCTTTGCTCGAACTTTCCTTAGCAGGGAGGAGTGTGGGGTCCGGACAAGGAATTGTCTGCTTTCCCGGGGTGGCTCCCCCAGGCTGTTCAGGTTCACTGTGCGGTGCGCGTGTGTCGACTCGGGGCCAGCGAGGCCGGCAGCCACCTAGAAGAGCCTCTGGAATGCAGAGGCAAGTTCTTGCCCAGTGGAGTTACACAGAGCAACGGGAACCGCAGTATGAGCGTGTGTGTGCCCTTCGGAAAGGAGAGGAAGCCTCGCACAAGACAGTAGAAAGGCCTCTACTTCCTATGTTTCAATCAAGACTTCTGGCAGAGGCTGGGACACTGTTTCCACCCTGGCTCGTGGGGTTGTTTCTTTCTTTGAAACAGCCCCAGAGCCCTGAAAGATGGGGACAGATTTCCCAGCATGGCTTAAGGGCCATCCCCGTCCCCCTCCCCACCCCCTCAGGCGACCGCCTCCCAGCCTGCTCCTGGCGCGCGGGAAGAATGTGTGGTGCTCCCAGGGATGCTGGCAGCGGCCCCACCGCTTGGCTCTCGAATCAGAACCATCTGGTGGAGTGAGGGAAGTCAGGACAGCGCCTGGAGAGAGGCAGTTCTCCTCTGTGCCAGCCCCTCCCCTGACTGCCGCATTACCAGGCCCCGGGCAGCCGGCACACGGGAGGCACCCCGGAGATGCAGGCGAGCTGCCTTCGAAACCCAGCACATCCTTGAATTCACGTTGCTACCTCTTTTCTCTTGCTTTCGTGAATGTTTCTTCTAGGGACTTCTGGGATTCATTGGTCTGGTCGGGGAGCCGGGGATCGTGGGAGAAAAGGTGAGTTGTGTTGGGGGCGGGGAGGGGGAGTGGGGTGGGGGCGGGAGGGATATATAAACAAATAGAACTTGTGGCTGAAATCTTAAAAAGATGAAGGGGCCAGGTGCTCTGGAGACTTCAGACTTCTTTCCCGCCTGGCTTCCCCTTGCTTCCTAGCGTTCCACACCCTCAAAGAGCCATTGTCCTCTTTCCCAGCATCCCCTGGGGCTCTGCCCCCGTCAGCACCGCCAGGCGCCCCTGTGTGACCAGCAGCTAATCCACGTGGTGTGGGCCTTCCCTGATGCTCCCTGGCACAGCACAGGGCTGGGCGGCAGAAGGGAGGTACAGGCCATCTTTTTTTAAAAAGGGCACAATCCCTTAGGCCGCCTTGTTTAGTCCCCCGGCAGCTCCGTTTTACAGACCAGATAACCGAGGCCCAGACTGGGAGGCTGACTTGACCAAGGTCGCCCAGGTAGGAAGTCACAGAGCTGGGATGTGAACCAGGTTCAGTGCCTGGGGCCTCACGGTAGCTCCCAGCCCACAGGCACCGTGTGGTTTCCGATTTCTCACCATGGGCCTTGGAGGGTCCCTGCTTTCCTTTTCTGTGCTTATCTGATCTCCACGCTGGCCTTCTGGGGAGCCCATATTACTCCCACTGATCGGATCAAGAAACTGAGGCCCAGAAAGAGGAAGCCTCTGCCCTCCATCACCACCACCACCTCCTTCTCCTCCTTCCTCTCGATTTTCTCCCCTTCCTCTTCTCTTTCTAATTGACATTTTATTTTGAAGTAATCATAGAGTCACAAGATGTTGCAGAAAACAGTACAGAGGGCTCCCATGTGCCCTTCACCCTGTTGCCTCCCATGGTCACATCTTGCGCAACCGTAGGGCAGTATCGGACCAGCTCTGGCCTTCTGTTGTGCAAATGTTCCATGTCCCTCCTCGTCTGCAAGCCGTTGCCCGTGCCCCTCCCCCGGCCAGGTACACCCCTCCTAGATGATAGTCTACATGATGGTCGGATCTCCTTCGGCTACCTCGGGTCCAGCAGGGCTTCCCGAGGGGGGCCTTCCCCACCACACCCCCGAGTCCAGGTGGCTCAGATCCTCTGCTGGAGGGCCTTAGCACTGAGACCCCCGCCCCCACTGCACCTCCCCCGGCTTGCATCTGTGTTGGTGATTTGTGGCTCACATCTTCAGGCGCTAGTGTGTCGTGCCAGGCACATAGTAGATGTTCAATAAATGTTTGCCGGCTGAGCGGATACAAACACAGGGCCTCCCCACAACAGCCAGGATGCAAACCCAGAGCCCCCTCCTCCGGCAGTCTCTGTCTTCTACACCCATCATCTCTGCCACGTCTGTCTGGATGGATCAGGAGGAAGGGAGTTGCTCCAGCATCTCATCTCTGGGCAGGGGATGGGGCGAGTGAGAGGGACTTCCCTTACCATCTCCAGCCCAGGGGACACCAGGCCCAATGAGGACCACATGATGTGGGCCAGCATCAAAGGGGACAATGTTATTAGCTCATCCTGGCTCGGGACCGCCCGTGCCCGAGGGAAGCCCTCTGCGGGGCGTGGGTGCCGAGGCCTCCCGGGCCTTGCCGGGTTCCTGGCTTCTGCTGGGTGAAATCCCAGCACCCCTGTCACCATGCTGGGTGATGTGACTGTAGACCTCAGACAAGTCCCTGCCCCTCTTGCTACACCTGCTTCCCCTAGAGCCACCCCACAGCTGTCACCTCCCTGAATTGCTGTCTCCATCACAGGGTGACCGGGGCATGATGGGACCCCCAGGCGCACCCGGACCCAAGGGATCGATGGTAAGGAACAAGTGTGCACGCCTTGTGCTTTCCTGTCCCTGTCCTGGTGACAGTTCCGCTCTCCTCTGCCTGCTTCCGCAGACCCTGGGCATTAAGAAAGACCCGCTCCTTCTGCTTCCAAGAGACCTGGCTGCCACCCTCAGGGCCTTGGGCTGGGGCTGGGGCTGAGCCCGCCGAGGCGAAGGAGGAAGGCCACCTGCTTCAGCTGACTCCCCCTCTCTCATCTCTTTCTTGGTAGGGTCACCCTGGAACTCCCGGTGCTGTTGGGACCCCCGGAGAGCCTGGGCCCCCGGTAAGCAAAGCCCTCGTGTTCCCCAAGTTCAAACCCACTGTCGAGTAATGGGGAGGAGTCCAGACAAAACCTGGGTTTGAATCCCAGCTCCATATTGCCAGGGGAGATCACTCAGCTTCTCAGAACCTAGATTTTCCTCATCTGAAAAACAAAGTAATCGTGGTCGTGATAGTGTCATTACATGGGTTAAACGAAACCGGCGGCTACTGTTCATTATTACGTGGTGATGTTCCTAGCACAGGGACATCTTGGTTATTAGTGCCATTATTGCTTTGTTCATTCACTCTGGAAATACCGTGTCACGTGTGCCTGAAGCCGCTCCAGGAGTGGGGGGCGGGGGCGGGGGCGGCAGCGTGAACAAGGGAGAAAACTGCCGCTGCCCATTAGGAGATTATATTCTGGCATTTGGGAGAGGAGAACCCAGTAAATAAGGGACGTCTGCTGTGGAGAAAGTAGGGGAGAAGATGCGTAATGCTGGGGACACAGTGGATGAGAGTTAGAGCATGGGGGCGAGGACACAGGGGTCCGGGCTTGTGATGACTGAGGAACCAGGGGTATTCCTAAGGATCCCAAGGCAGGGCTGGGGGTGGGAGAGACAGGGTAGTTGGTGAGGGCGATGTTGGGGGGGGGGGCTCTCATTCCGAGCCCCCGGAGCTTCTGTTGCCTCTGTCTCTGTGGATGGAGGCTGGAGGCTGGGAGGGACTCACTTCAGCCAAGGCTCGGGCTCAGAGCCGGGAGTCCCCTCTGGGGAGGTGGAGGAGTGGGCTTCAGGCAGGTAGAAAGGCTGCAGGGCACAGGGACCCGCCCAGGCTGGATCCTGGCACAGGGCTAGGGGATGGGGTCCCTCCAAGGGCCAGACTCTGGGACTGCCTGGAAATGGGAGCCTTTGATGGTCTGAACCCGAGGGAGGTGTGTACACACTGTTTCTCTATGCCCCTTAGGGAAGACAAGCCAGCCCGGTTCCCAAACTCTTCTGTGCACCTACTATGTGCCGGGCATATGCTCAGCCTCCACATGTCAGGCAGTGGGAGGTGCTGAGGAGGGAAACGGAGGCACTCCTAGTGCAGGTGTGAGATGAGAGCCAGCACTCTGAACTCCTGGCATTTCCCCCCTGTTACTGTGGAGGGAGGAGAAGCCACTTCCGGCCTGGGGCTGGAGGGGCTGGTGGCGCTGGCTGGTGGCTGAGGGTCCCGATTTGTAATCTAGGGTCCTAGCCCACCCAGCCTGAAGGCTGCCCTCCCGTCTCTCTCCCGAAGGGCTCACAGGCCCCACATACGAGGGCCTAGCAGATGCTCTTGCAGATGCAGTGATTGGGGACCATCAGTGTGGCAGGTGCCCAGGCTAGGGTCCATCAGCAAATTGTAGCTCCTTTGCCCTTGGACCTCAGCCTCTCTGGGCCTCAGTCTCCCTATCTGTCCAGCAGGAGGAGGAGCCTGGAATGGAGTTGCTAGGGCAAAATGGCAGGCCGGTGGGAATTGGGAAAATCACGGGGACATCCGAGCCAGGGTACGGAAGGAAAGTGCTGGCCTCCTTTGAATCCTCCACCTCTATGGCTCCACTGACCTCCTCCCCACTCTGCGTCCTCATTGTTCCCGCCTGTTCCGGAGTTGGGGGGGGGGAGGTGTGGCTCAGACTGAGTGAAGTCAGTCCCATGCGGCTTTCAGACCCCAAGGCTGCCATTGATCGGCATCACTGTAATATGGGCCTGGTCATCTGGATCTCTTGGGGTCCCTCTGGCCAGCCGACTGCCCTCGTGCTGTTGGGGGTGCAGCATAGCACCGAGGTCCAAAAATCTGACTTCAGAATCAGACGCACATGAGTCAAATCCCGGCCACTTTCTATCTGTGTGATTGTTGGCAATATCCACAGCTTCTCCGCCTCCACTTCCCCGTCCATAAGCCAGCGTCGTGCTACCTTCATGGTGAGGTTGTTATGAGAAATGAGTGGTAATAGTGCATGCTGTAATGCTTAGCAAACCATCTGCATACACCCAAGGCATAACAACTGGTAGCAATAAGAATTACTGACTATTTATTAGCTGTGGTAATTACCACTATTGTGAATGAAGACTATTACTATTAAGGTGGCATTTCTGATGATAGTGTTCACATCTGATGGGCATTTTCCCACTTTTCCAATCACATAAATATCTGTGTTCTCCTACAGCCCATCGAGGTCAGCCCAAATCATGATCTTCATTATCTGGGGGACTGGGGACAGGTTCCAGACATCAAGCTACTGCCCCATCCCCCGACCAAGAGAGCCTATTCTAGCTACCCTTTCCTGGGGACCTTCCATGTCATTTTGTCTTCCCAGCAACTACGGGAGCTAGGGCTTCTTCTTGTCCCCATTTTATAGATGATGAAACGGAGGCCCAAAAGGTTGAAATCACTTGCCGAGGTCACGGAATTAGGAAGTGGCAGAGCTGGGATTTGAACCTGGTTCTCTGGTAGAGCAGTCTGCTCTTTTAAGTCCTCTATTCTACCACCTTGAAGTCAAGACTTGGCTCCTGAAGTTTCCCGGTGACGCATTGCATGCCTTCGGCAGTCCGAGATCCTGCTATAAACTGGCTCGTTCTCACCCAATCTTCCTGTCTCCTGACATCCGGGAGTCAGATATGCTTTCTTACTGGGCCACGCCTGGGTCCTCACCATGCTTGCTCTGCTGACGAGGGGCAAGTGGGGACCCAGCCCCTCACATCAGCCCTTCGGCATCCACTGACCGAGGGTCTGTACCCCTCAAGGCCACAGGGAGTGACAAATGGGAACGGCAAGTTTTTCCCGAGGCCCTAAATGGAGCTGGGCCTCTCCCTGGTATTTGGAGGGGAATGAAGCCGCCTCTTCCTTGTAAAAGGAGCACGCCCAGTCTGAGGCTCGCTGCTGAGCTGGGAGGCTCGTGGAGGGGTCCTGGCTGGCCGGCTGTGGGTGAAAGCGCTACTTGGTATCTGCAGCTAGGGCCGGAACCCGGGAGAGAAGTGGGACAGCAAGGCAGCCTGTTGCCTCCTTCTCGCTCCCCTACACCCTCTGTCCTTTCCTGCTGTTGGATTGTTCGTGGTTCCTTCAACAGATGCCTGCGTTCTCGTCATGGGCCTGCGCCGGGCCCGGTGTTGAGCCTTTCGGAGAACAAAGGCAACCCTGTATTTTCCTTCCCTCCCCCCCTGTCTCTTGTCATTCCTGCATCAAACCAGAGAGCTGGGCGGCTTCCCTGTGCCAGGCCCTGTTCCCTTCCCCCTGCCTCCCCCTCCCTCACCTCAGGGCTGTGGTCTGGTTCTTCCCCCTCGGTCCCCCAGGGCTCCTTCTGCCCTGATCAGAGCCTCCTGGATGGCTTGCAGGTGATATTCAGGGTCAGGGAGGCAGGACAGAGCACAAGCTGCCGCCTCCTTGCTGACGGACAGAGAAAAGGGGAGACGGGCATTTGATGAGAACTTGGGTCAGGAATGTCACGGTAGCATCTGGTTGTTGACTTTGAGATACGGAAGAAAATGACTCAACCATCCAGGGAGGCTTCTCCTCGCTCCTGGATTCCCAGGAAAGGTGGCGCGCCCCCCCTCCCCAACGACCACATCAAACCCGGGCATGAGTCTGAAGGCGGCGGCCAGGCCTTGCCCCCACGCTCCCGGCCTTCCCTGTTGCCCTCGCTACCTGCAACGGGGCTCCTCCAAACTCTTTCTCCTCCCCACAGGGTCTTCCAGGGTCTCGAGGCCCACCAGGCATGAGGGGAGTAAAGGGACGCCAGGTAAGTGAGGCCCATGCCCCGGGGGCTGACGCTGGCAGGGGCCACCCGACAGAGAGACTCCCTCCTCGTCCTTGCCCTTCCCCCCCGCCCACCAGCCCTGAGATTGGTGATTTTCAGGCATCAGGCCGGGTTCCAGGCTCATCCTGGGCCTGAGTATTGGCCTGGGAGCCCCTTTCCAGCCCATTTCTGAGCACCAGGCCTTGCCATCCAGTAGGTACAGACCAGCTCTGTGGTACCTGCATTTGTCCATTCGTTCATTCGTTCATTCATGCATGCAGCCGCCATTTATTTAGCACTCACTATGTGCCAGCCACTGACGGAGGCTCTGTAGATACCACAGAGAACGGGAGAGGCATGACCCCTGCCTGCCCTCAAGTCAAAGAGATCGTAGAGGGACATCGGCACATGGTGTAGGGTCATCGGCACATTGATGGTGATGCGCATCAGGTGATGCACAGGCAACTTGGGAGCCTGGAAAGGGGATCAAAGAAGCTTCAGGGAGAGGAGGTTACCTGAGCTGATGCCAGGTTCCAGACAAGCGACCGCCCTAAGGTGAGAGAAGGTGTGGCGTGCTTCAGGGTCCCCGCTGGTTCAGCAGAGGATCAGGCGAAAGGGACAAGACGAAGAATCAGCAGGTGCGAAGCCCACAAATACGACAGGTTGGCCTGTGGGCTGCGCTCCCGGGGCAGTGGGGGGCCATAGAGGATTTTGACCGAAGGCTGGCCTGAGCACAGCGGCCAGAGGTAATCGTTAGTACTTACTCCGTGCCAGGTGCTGTCTCTCACATATTTCACTCACTTCATCTTCAACACTCCTCTCTAAAGAAGGTGCTAGTCTTATCTCCATTTTATAGACGGGGAAACTAAGGCACAGAGGGGTTAAGTTGCTCATCTCGGGTTGCACAGTTAGAAAGTGGCAGCGCTGGGATTGGAGCCCAGTGAACCTGGCTCTTGTGCACACTGAATGTAGTCTCATTTCCAGTCACGCAGGGAGGGCTGCCCCCAGCTGGTCCGGGTGCCGAGCCAGGCAGCCTTGTGGGAGGGAAACGCCAAGTACAGGTAGAGCCGCAGCCCAGGCCCGATATCCAAGCTCCGTACGTCGGATCTGTGATCAGTCTCCTCTTGGCTGAATTTCAAGTGGTTTTAAATTCTCCCCCAAACCAGATGGCCTGAACAGTCAGCCCAGGAGAGGGGGGATTAAGAGGCATTCCTCTGGCCCAGCGGGGGCCCTCCCAGGGCCATGTCCTGGGTCTCTGCACGTGGACCCAGGCCCGCTGGCAGCCAGTTCCACCTTGACCCTGTGCATGTCGCCTCCTAGCCCAGGAAGCCAGATGAGCTGGAGGGTTCAGGCCCTCCGCTCACTGAGCTGCCCGCAGCTGGCTCTACCACCCCTTCCCAGCAGTGGCTTGAAGAATGTATCTCCTGCTTGAGGAAACCCAGGCTCCAAACCACATCAAAAGTCTCCAGGGCTGGGAGGGAAGCATGGGGGAACATGAGCTCCTCCCCCCTGCTGGGTTTGGCAGGAATGCAAAACCTGTGGGAATGGCCCCCCGAGTCCCTGGCCTCACGGTCCACCACTAGCCACTTCACAGAGGCGGTAACTGAAGGATGGGGAGCAGGGGGGTCCTAGAGAGGCGCGTGCAGAAGAACTCAATTCTGGACAGGCCTCCACGTAGCCACTGACTTGCCGAGTGACCTTAGCAAGACCTGGCCACCCTCTGAGCCTCAATTTCCCCATAGGTGTCAGGGGGAATGTACAAGGCCCTGCCTGCATCTCTGCCCCTGTGCGGGAGGGGACAAAAAGTGGCCTCAGGCCCTTGGCTCTCAGGAGAACTGCTGACGGGGTCTGGGTCCACAGGACTCAGTTGAAAAAGTGGGGGCTCGGGGCCAGACAGGGGGCAAGTCCCAGCCTTCCCAGTAACCAGTTCTGGAACCTCAGGCCTTGGTGGATGGCATTAGCAGGAGGTTGTAAGGACCCAGAGTATGAACTCACATCAGCTCGATGCCCATTTTCCCCGCCGCCACCAGTCACTGTTTATCAGTGTGGGAGTGAGCTCCCCGTCACAGGGGGGTGTGGAGGTCAGGGACAGGGTGCTGGAAAAGACAACGTCTAAAATCCCTGTTGGTTACCTGGGGGACTCCCCTAACTCCCTGCACCATCCACTTTGAGGGAGTCGTGAGGATTCTGAGATTCATGAGCCTGACACCAGATTCTGCCCCCACGGATGGGGCTTAGGGCTCAGCAGGCCTGGCCTCGAAGCCCGGCTCTTCCTCTTTGACCTCGGGAAGCGGGCTCCTCTCTGGACCTCTAGCTTTCCTCAGTAAAATGGGTGAGCAAGACAGAACTGACCTCTCCAGAGGGCACCGGGGATTAAAGCCCTTCGCAAGCGACTTGCACGTGTGAGCGCCTGCTAGGGCAGCGGTGCGGGAGGCGCCGGGCACCTGTTCCTCCCCTCTCAGTCCTCCATCCCTTGGTCACAAGAGCTGCAATTGGCCAGATTTTCTGTCCCGGCCTGACTGAAGGGCAGCCCCAGCTCTGACTGCAAGCTTCTTCCTGGGGAGGGGCTCCAAGAGGAAAGACATGTGGTTCTGATGGAAACCCAGGCCCTCCTCCAGCAGCGGTGGCTGGCCCGTGTTCACTTGGAGAAGCAGCGAGCAGGACTGGGGGCCCCTCGGGACACGGGATGAGCAACAGAGCGGCCCAGAGCAAGGGTCAGAGTGTGTGGCCGCCCCGCTCTTCTCCCTGCCCCAGGGGGCTGGGGGAGGGGAGGGTGACGGGGGGTGCATTGCCCCCTCCTCCCTCCGGGCCGCAAAGGCTGGCCCTATTTCCACCAGGCAGCACCAGCTTCTCCCCGAGCTCCCTGGTGCTCCCCGAGGACTCACCATCTCCCTGGTAACAGGGGATTTAGACGTTGTCTTCTCCAGCATCCCGCCCCGGCCTTCATGGCTGCTGTAAGCCCTGACCTGCACACCCCCATGTTGGGGAGCTCACTCCCACACCGATAGCAATGATGCAGTGGTGGAAGGAAATGGGCATCCGGCTGAGTTGCGATCAGATTCCGCTTCTCCGCTTATCAGAGGTGTGACCCTAGGCTGTTCACTTACTGCAAACTGAGGATAACAGCTGTGAGTATCATTGCTGCTGCTGCTATTGCTACCGTTATTATCAATCGCAACAGCTTTCTCGCAGAAAGGCCTTGAATCCAGGAATAAATAGGGCACCGCGGGATTCGGACCAAGCCACCAATGCCCTTAGGCCCCCGCTGCACTCCCAGAGCTGTCTCTTTCCAGGGAGGTTTATGCCTCAGCTAGAGACAGAGGCCAGGGGCCAGAAGCCATCTCCCAGGAGGGCCCAGCTGCACACCCATCAGCTGAGCACCCGTCCCAGCTCCTCTGATTGCGGGATGTCCCCACTTCAATCTGACTCCATCTCCACCAGGCCCCTGTCCACGCATCCGGGGCAGAAAGTCTAACTCATGACCTGACAGAGTCCATCTGAGAACAGTGGCCCAGAGAGGGGAAGTGGCTTGCCTGGGGCCACACAGCAGTCCAGCAGCAGAACCAGAACTAGCACCCAGGGCTTCTACTCGTATGTAGTGTTGGGTCTCTGGAAGCTCTCAGCTGGCTCTCTGTAGCATGCTCTGAGCTGCCTGCTCTGAGGGAGGGACCAAGGCCGGATGAACCACACCATTCCTCTGTGTCCCTGTCCGCAGGGAACCTGTCGCCCCTTCTGCCAGATCCAGCTATGACTGAGCACTTAGGACAGGCCACAGAGATATATCTCCTGCCTTAAGCGAGAGATTCCCATCCCCACTTCTGAGACGAGATAACTGAGGCTCAGTGTCATCCCTCATCCCAGGTTTATTCAGTTCAAGAGGCACTATTTTTTAAAATTTTTTTTTTAATGTTTTTTATTTATTTCTAGGAGAGAGAGAGAGAGAGAGACAGCGTGAGCAGGGGAGGGTCAGAGAGAGAGGGAATCACAGACTGAAACAGGCTCCAGGCTCTGAGCTGGCAGTCAGCACAGAGCCCGACGCGGGGCCCGAACCCACGAACCGCGAGATCATGACCTAAGCGAAAGTCGGACGCTTAACCGACTAAGCCACCCAGGCGCCCCAAGGCACTATTTTTTTAAATTTATTTTTAAATACTTATTTATTTTTGAGAGAGACAAAGTGTGAGCAGGGGAGGTGCAGAGAGAGAGGGAGACACAGAATCTGAAGCAGGCTCCAGGCTCTGAGCTGTCAGCACAGAGCCTGATGCGGGGCTCAACCCCACGAACCATGCGATCATGACATGAGCCCATGTTGGATGCTTAACCGACTGAGCCACCCAGGCACCCCCGCGGGGCACTAATTAGGGCTGTTGGTGTGGGGATGATGCATTGGAAGCCCCAGGTAGCTGATAAGAGGAATTGTTGCTTTTTGGGGCTCAATTATTAATTGGAAATTTCTGGGGTTCCTGACTGGCTTAGTCAGTAGACCATGCCACTCTTGATCTCGGGATTGTGAGTTTGAGCCCCATGCTGGGTGTAGAGATTACTTAAAAATAAAACGTTCAAAAGAAGAGAAAGAAACCTTCCTTGTTCAATTTTTAAATGATTTCTCCCTGTCCTATTTTCTCATCCCTCATTCCCACCTGCAGCCAGACACGCCCCCCAGCCTCCTTTTGTGGCTGGCCTCCACACTCCCAGGCTGGGGTAGGGGGCCAGCCTCCTGCACAGGACCCTCTTTGTCTCCCCAGCACGACCTCTCTGATCCTCCGCAGGACGGACACCACGCTGTTCTAGATGGTGGCCTTTTCCAGATGACCCCATCCCATCTGTGTCCCTGTGGGAGTTCCTATAAAGGGGTCACACATGGGCCCGCAGGTAGACCCTCAGAGGGGACACACTTGCTAAGGGACCTGACACAAATCACTTCCCTTGACTGGGCCTCAGTCTTCCCGTCTGTGCAGTGGGGCAAGGGAGCGCATCCCACCCGCCCCGGGTGGCCTCCCAGCTTTTGAAGGAATACGATTCCTGTCTGGGGCTCCAGAAAACAACGGTCTGGCCCCTGCCCTTTTCCTGCCCCCCCCCCCACACACACACATCAGCTCCTCCTCCGGGAGCAGGGCCAGATTGGCTTGCCCGTCGGGCTGGACGAGGGTACCCCAGACCCCCAGCCACATGCAGACCCTCCCTGAGGCCCTCTCTGTCAGTTTCCCCCCGAGGACTGCAGTCGCTACACCTGCTTCTGCCCCATGTGTGCTCTGGGAAGAGCGTGCGACAGCCGGATCTGCAGACCCGACTGTAGGGACTTGGCCACACGAGGCTAGGCTCTGGCCCCCAGCCTCCACAGCTACGAAATGCGTTGGCTGGCAGACCTCCAAGGCCTCTTTACACAGAGTCGTTCATCTGCCACCAGCTCTATTCCAGAATGGTAGGACCTCTCGCCGACTCCCTCCATGGGGAGCGGTCTCGGCAGGCACACTGCCCCCGGGTGACCCGCCTCAGGGTGGGGTGTGCAGGCAGTGGGAGGAGTAGGGAGCCCCGGGCTTGTGCCGGGAAAGGCCCGAGGCTCTGGGCGGCCCTGCCCTCCTGGTTCCCGGCCCGAGGGAGACCCCTGCTGTCCACCATGCTAGTCCCTTTTTCCTCTTCCAGGGCCCCCGAGGACCAGATGGACCAGCCGGGGAGCAGGGGTCCAGGGGCCTGAAGGTACCAACCCCATGGCCTGCCCTCACCCACGCCTCCCACGCCGGGTCAGGAATCCCGGAACCAAGGCCCGTGCCTTCCTTGGCATCAGGCCGCTGCGGGCAGCGCAGTCTGGGAGAGGCTGAGAGCTCACGGCCGCTCCTCTGGGCCCTGGAGCCTCAGCAGGGGGGAGGGAGAAAGCACCAGAGAGAGAGAGAGAGAGAGAGAGAGAGAGAAAGAGAGAGAGAGCAGTGAACGAGAGGGAGCTGGAGGAGGCAGGAGCGAGAGGGAGTGAGGGGAACTCCCCAGGGGTCCCCAGCCCCCTCGAGGGCCCCCAGGAGGCGAGACTGCTTCTACCCTGGGCAGGAGCAAAGGCTCCCCAGCTCTCCGGAGCAGCTGGTGACTATAGCGAGCCACTCCTCTCGCCGGGCCTCAGTTTCCCACCTGCACAGGGGAGAGGGGGTGGGTGCTTGCACAGGTTCCTTCGTCTCCCACGGAGGGTGTGTGGGTCCTGCATCCGTGAAGGCTTCTCCCAAGCTCCCTCTGCCCCCTTCACGTGCTCTGTTTCCTGTAGGGCCCTTCAGGACCTCAGGGCAGACCGGGCCAGCCCGGGCAACAGGTATGTCAGGCCAAGGCCGCCAGCCCCTCCCCATCCCTGCTTTGTGCTCTGTGCCTCTAACGACCCCAAATGCGTTTCCAGGGTGCGGCCGGTGAGCGAGGGCACTCGGGCGTGCGAGGCTTCCCAGTAAGTAGCACCGGTTCTGGAAATTCCGTGGGGCTTTGCCAGGAGATAAGAGCCAAGTCAGCCAAGTTCCCATCCTGCTGTGGACGCCCCAAAGGCCCTAGCTGCTCACTCCCTCTACACTGAAGGCCCTCCAGCCCGCCTCTTTCCCCTGGGATTCAGTGTCCCCATCTGTCACTTGGTGGAGGGTAGGGGTGGGACTGTCACACGTTGGGAAGGCTTACAGCCGCAGAGGGACTGAGTTACCTCTGTTCCTCTCTGCAGGGCATCCCGGGTCCCTCAGGCCCCCCGGGCACCAAGGGCCTCCCAGGAGAACCGGTAAGTGCCCTCCTGCCCACCCCCCTCCCTTTGCCTCTGTCCCCCGGCAGGCTGGTCTCAGATGGGCCACCTCCGGGAGTGAGGGATGCGGTCATGCAAGGAGTCTAGAGAGAGACAGTGCCAGGGCTCCGCTACCCTGACGGGACGGGCCTTGGAGGGTAGAGAGAGCGAGCACTGTCCAGGGAGCTCAGCAGCTCCGGGCTTGAGTCTCAGCTCGTTTGCCCTTCAGCCTCATTTTCTTGCAAGCAAAATGAGGATACATCGAGCCTACCTTGCCATCTGGCTGTGAAAATGAACTGCTAATGTGTAGAGTGCTCAGCACAGACGAAAGCTGAGGGGACAGAGTACTTGGGGCCACCGAGTGGGGAAGGACGGGTCTGGGGGGCAGCCCGAGTGTCAGGGCACCCCGCGAGGCGGCCGTGGAATTGTACCTCTGGGGAGGGATAGGAGAGGGGCTCAAGAGGAGGGTTCCCCCAGGGGGCAGGGGGGAGACAGGGCCATGCTACAATCCCATATCTTGAGGCCCGAGGGACGCCATTTTGAATATTGAATTGACCAGGAGCGGGGTGGGGCTTTCTAGAGGTGCATCCCAGGCGGAAGGGTGTCCAGGCAGAGGGAATGCAGTGAGCAAGGCTACTTGGAAGAACTGGGAAGTTTCTGAGTTGGGGAGCGCCCTCTGTGTTTGGGGGGGTGGAACAGGAGAGAGTGCAGATGGATTGAGGGGTGGTAGGAGACCAGTGGGGAGCTGGCAGCTGCAGACACAGGCTATGGGGAGCATGGGCTGCAGAGTCCCAGGTTCTGTGGACCCTCGCCCTCATCCGCCCCACCCCCCACCCCAGAGGGCCCAGACTGCCTTCTCAAAACTGTTGTGTGTCTGTCTGTCTTCCAGGGCCCTCAGGGACCCCAGGGGCCACTTGGTCCTCCTGGAGAGATGGGACCCAAGGTGAGTGCTGAGGACCCCTTGTTTCTCCTGTGATGTGACATTGCTGGGGAGATATCAGCCCCTCGAAGCCCTCCCCCTCTGAGGGTCCCCGGCCTGGCCTGGGAGGGAGATGGTCATGTCCTGTGTCCTGCAGAAAGTGAAGAGTAGATACCCTGGCAGAGAGGTGGATCCACCTTAACTGCCTGCGGGAGGGGCCAGGCTCCCTGTCCCAGGGGCTGCTGGGTGCACTGCCTCCAGGCTCCTGGGGCCCTCACCCACAGCACCCCACCCCTGCTGGGACTTCACCTCAGCACTGAGGTTTGACTACAGAGTGAGCCCTCTTGGGGTCAGCAAGAAGGGGCCTCAGACACCTCCGCCTTATCCAGAGAAAACTGAACAGCGAGGTTGGGTTTGTGCAGGGGCTGTAGCCATGCGATGACGATGACCCGGACCCCTCCCCACCTCAGTTATCCTGGCCCCTTGGAAAGAAGGACTGGGATCAGTCAGCCCTGAATACAGCCTTCACTGGCTTCCTCCCCTGCCGTTATGTGAATCCTGACAGTTTCCTCCCAGTGCTTGCCAAGGGGCTCCTAAGCTAGTAAACCACCCTGGGGCAGGGTGGTGGGGGGAGGGCTCCAGCAATCTCAGGGTAGCCCAGAGGGTCAGCACCCTGGGCCCACCCCCTCCTCTCCCCATCCCAGCTTCAAGCTCCAGAAAGGCTGCAGCCTGCTCCCAGCTCTGTGTCTCTCATGCTGTGTGACCTCAGGCACGTTCCTTGCCATCTCTGGGCCTCCCCAAGTTATCTCCTCCTTTACAATCCGAGGCCAGCCCTTGCTGTAGGAGGGACCAATGGCGTTTTCTTGCAGGGGCCACCTGGTGCAGTGGGAGAGCCAGGCCTTCCTGGGGAAGCCGGGATGAAGGTAAGGCAGGATGAAAGAGAAAAGTGCCTTGTTGAAACAAACGCCCAGCTGGCGTCCACGTCCTCCCCACAGAAGAGAAACTGGCCTTTCTAGTGCCGGGATAATGAGTTCTCTGTGCTCCTGGCAGGGGAGCGGGTCCTGGCTGTGGCCACGGTGGAGGGCCCGGCCGGCCCGGAGCCCCCACCCCTGCACCCCGCCCAGTGGTGTTTTCTCTGGCACCTGCCCCACGCTGGGGCAGCTGCGCCTCCTGGCCTCGCCTGATACCATCTGCATTTCAGCACCCGTGCCCCTCATTACCTGCCGGAAAACAGGCGCCCATTGATACCTGGGCTCCGGGGAGAGCCCGCTCCCGGCTCTGCGGTGGAAGGGGATGTGTGCCGCCCCCCAAGCAGGACCCAGAGCCAATGAGCGGGGCTGCCAGCCTGGGGGCCTTGTTAGGCAGGGCCCGGGGATGCCCCCCCCCCCTCCACCGTCTGTGCCTGAGCTTCCCTGCCAGGCAGAGGGAGTTGGACCAGGCTTGGGACTTCAGGTTGTTGGCTTAGTTCCAGAATCCTTTGCTGGAACAATGCAGAGAACCACCCCCTATGTAAAGCAGACAGAAACGAGCTCCTTCTGGTGGGGGCAGGGCTGGGGGCTCAGAGCTCCCCCTCCTCCTCCTTGGGCCCTTGGGGCGTCAGCACAGAGGGAGACTAGTATGCAGGTGCCCACACGGTCATCTTCTGGGGGCGGGGGACATTCATTCTGACTCATTCAGGGCCTCTTCCTCCTCTGGGTTTCTCTCCAAGGCCCTCAGAGAGAGTTACCATCCCTGTGTCCAATCCTCCCTGTGTTCAATCCTCCAAAACTACCCATGTTTGGATCCTGAACCTGGCGCTCACTAGTCTCGGGAGCCGGGGCTACGTTCCGTCACCCCGAGGTCTGTGGTGTCTTCCCCTGTAAAAGAAGATGCCTTTTCTGGCAGAGTCGCTGTGAGGGATTAAATGGGAAATAAAAAGGCACTTAGAACAGCACTGTGTCCACGTGAACTTGATGGTGGTTGTGTCCGTGGCGATCCTGACGTGGCCGGGACTACCATGGGGCAGAGGTCTGGTGGGCATTTTACACATGCGCTTTGGTTCTGTGGAACAAGGTGCCTCCCCGACTCCCCACCCGAATCAGAGCTGGTGAGACCTGGAGGGTGAGGTGAGGGCTGGGACTGGCCCTGCCCACCCCCACGGATTTGTGTTTTGCTTCTCCTAGGGTGACCTTGGGCCTCTGGGCACCCCTGGGGAGCAGGGCCTCATTGGGCAGCGGGTAAGTCAAAGCAAATTCATTCTTCCTGGAAAGCCACCTGAGGGGCACTTTGCAGAGCAGGGGTGGGGGGCACTTCACTCAATCTCTCTGAGCCTCAGGGAGGAGACCCTGAATTCCTACAATGTCATCCCATCCGTCTCTCTAGCCGGGTCAGCATTTCCACCCTGTAGAGGCATTCCTTGAAGAAAAGGATTCTGTGGTCAAAGCGTTTGAGACTCCCTGCATGCTCCGTGTTCTCCCTTACATATTAGCAGTAGCGTTTTCAAGGCTCTGAGAAGGCCTGCAGCCAAGAAATTCGTTCCTTTCGGATTAATCCCGGGTCCCCAAACTTAGTGACCTATAAGCACTTTTATTGAAAACCCTGTTTTTTGTCCCTGAAAACTGTTTTATGGAAGGTGATCTTCCCCTTTTCTAGAAGAAACCCACAAAGTTTTTCTTTCTTTGTGAAGCATGGGGATGCATCTCTCTCTCTCTATGCTCTGTGCCCAGTTTATAAGGTCCCTGCCTGAATGTGGCCTCCTGCGGTGCTGGAAGGGGTACAAAACAGGCATCCTCAAGCACCTAACAGCTGCAGAATGTGGGGCCTGGAAAGGAGGAGGAGTTAGCGTGGGCCTCAGTTCATGGGGACACCGGGCTCAACCCAAGCCCCCCTCATTTGTCACCTTTCTTATTTTTCCAACGCTTCTTGCTCCCCCCTGCACGGAGTTAACAGAGGCTCCACAGACTGAGTTAAGACATAGAATGAGCGAGAAGGACCGCAAGGCAAGAGAGGAGGGGTGTGGCTCCTGAAGCCGTGAGATGGTAAACCCTGTGTGTCAGCGAAGGCTGATCAGTACAGATTTCTGGGAGTGCCATGTTACAAAGGTCCCGAGGCTCCGCGTGGGTTCGTAGGTCAGAGAATCATGGGCTCTCACTGGATGCCCACTGTGTGCAGGCACGTCTCTCAGAGCACTGGGAACAGAGCAGCAAGTAACCGGGGGCCCTGTCCCTGTGGGGCCATGTCCTGGTGGATCCATTGGTGACAGCTGCCATGGGCACGAGAAGGGTGGACTCTATGCACCTGTCATGCCTCTGCCGTCCCTGAGCCTGATGACTTCTGAGGCCCCTCAGGAGGCGCTGAACGGCCCTGAGCGCTGAGAGCAGAGAGACCCGAATACATGTGACGGCCGTTTTGAGAACTGAAAAGTCCGGGGGCATCTCTGGAGCTGGGCTGGCAAGCAGAGACTCTAGCTGAGGGCCAGATGGAGACTGGGGGCTCAATAGCCTTCCCAGACTTGCTGGCGAAAAAAAAAAGTCTTAAGGTTGGCCTTACTTTCTTCATCTGAGAAATGGGATTCCCTGGAGGAGTTCCGTGGGCGCTCCCTCTAGTTCCGGAAATAATGTATCTAACAGCTGCCGTTTGCAGGGTGCTTATACTGCGCCTTCCAGGAGCCCTTAAAGGAGGTGGTATCGGCCCAGTTTTCGGAGAAGAAGACAGGTGCCCCTCGGGGCGAGGTAGTTAGCTTGTAGTCACGCTGCCAGTGAATGGGAAGCCCAGTCGGGGGACTGAGGTCCGTGTGGCATCAAAGCCTTTGTCAAAGCACGGGCAGCACTGCTTTCCTGGGACAGCCAACTTGGACACTTTGTAACTCGTGACCCCCAGTTTTCCCCACCCGACCAACCCTGCAGACAGAGCAGGTGGCGGCTTGGGGGTCAGTTCCTCCTTTCTGAAGAGGGTTCCTCAACCCTCCCCGCCCCACCCCTGCTTTCTCATCAGCCACTGTTTACCAGGCATGTGCTCTGTGCCAGGCGCACCAGGGCCCTACTGCCCCAGGGAGGGGGAGGAGGTAAAAGCACATTGGGCCCCCTCCCCAGCAATGTCTCATCTTTCCCCACCACCCTTTCCAGGGAGAGCTGGGCCTCGAGGGTGATGGCGGCCCTGCAGGGCCCGATGGGCTGAAGGTAAGTGTTCTGCTCTAGGGTTGGGGGAGGGGGGGGTTCTGGAACTGCCTTCTACCTCTGCCCCCACTACCCTCCCATCCAAGACCTACGTTTTCTCCCAGAAGCACCATGTTCCCCTAAATCTCTGAGAGCAGACCTCTGGCTCCTAGTGAAGGCAGCGCCCCTGCTCAGATGGGGGACTAGGAATTGCCCCCATCTTCCACGGCACACCGCTGCCCTTTTCCTCAAAGCTACAGCCTCTCTTAGTTACGGGTAGTGCCTGAGCACCTGCTCTGTGCCAGGCCTGGAGCCAGCAGCTTTGAGTTCTGGGATCTTCCAAACGTCCTAAGAGATCAGGAAAATCATAATCACCACCCATGACCTGTAAGCCACTATTTATGGTGGACTAGTGACATAGGCATCAGGTGCGATACTAAGCCCTTTGTATTGTGTCACACCTCAGCTAATGCTCTGGGATAAGTTCTGTTTTTAAATGAGGAAAGTGAGATTCAGAGAGGTTAAGCAACTTGCCCAAGGACACACAGCTAGTAATTGGCACAGCCAAGACCCACGCCTCAGCTACCTCTTTGCACCATGCACCCAATCTAAAGGTAAAGAGACTGAGGCTCAGAAGGAGGCAGGAGGGCACTCATCCAGAGTCTGTGGCTGAGTGGAGAATCCAAAAGTCAAACCCAGGGCTCACTGGCACCAACGTGTATGGGCCTAACCCTGTCCCACTGCGTCCCATAGATTCCTCTGTCGGCCCCAGAGGCTGGCACTTTTGGGAGGTGCCAGGCCCCCCCTGAACCCTGGGACAGGTGGGCATGGCTCTCCGATGTACCAGCAGCACCCCTAGCCCAGGCTTGTCCCTGGCCACCAGCACTGGCCCAGCCCTCCAATAAGAGATGGGATTATCCCAGGGCTGATCTGTCACACTGTGACTCAGCTCCCCAGCCCAGGGTCCCAAGTGCCACATCCCAGGATTTCCTTGTCAGCCATTTGCTCTCCTGTGACCTCACATAAACAGCCCGTCCCCAGACCTCCACTTCCACTGCCCTGTCCTCATAGCTGCCCTGGGTCCTGGGCTTCCCCATCTACCAGGAAACCTCAATGAAGACGATGATGATGATGATGACGGGGTCCCTGGCTGGCTCGCATCTGCCTCTGGTTTTTCTTGCAAGGCTGAGAGTGCCCCCTGTCGGCCATTGGTCTGCCTTCTCTCCTCTCCAAAGGGGCTGCATCCTAGGATAGAGCCAGGGCCTGGCTGGGGGGACCCGGAGCACTTGACCGCCCTCCACGCCCTTTGCCAAATGTCTGCTTGAACGGCAGTGGCCCTGAAGAACATTCTGGCTAAGAGGCCCTGTGTAGTCACCATGTGCTTACACCAACTGCCTTGAGAGCTTTGCGTGAGCGAACCCATTCAGTCCCCCAGGCACCCTGTGAGCTAGATTCGTTACCATCCCTACTTGACAGATGAGGAAACTGAGGCACGTTGCAGAGGCCTCTCCCACCTCTGGAAAGCCACCTTTCTTCTCCTTGAAATCTTGCTGAGGTGGGATGGGAGTGGGGAACTGGAGGGGGAGAATGCCTCACACGGTCTTTTCTGCTCTCTTATCTCCTGGCCCTGGCTGCTTCCTCTTCTGTTCCCTTTCAAAGCCAGTTCTACTGCAGACCTCGGGCCAGAGTAGTTGCTCAGATGCACAGTATCTTCTCTGGTCCTCACATGAATCCCAGGAGACCATCTGGTGTCTTTATGGTGTTTGTCCAAGAATCACCTTCATGGTGAAAACCACCTCTCGGACATGCACAGCCCTCAGTAGTTTATACAGAGTGCTTTTATGCTGATTGTCTCTTTTGAGTTTGCTGACAACCAGCAGATAATGATGGTGGTGGTGGTGCCTCTCATAAAGCTGAGAGGCAGCTTTATCCAGCACGCACGCACCAGACACCTTGCTAGGCTATGTACGTGGATTAGCTCTTCTGTCCTCATAGTAACGCTTTGCTGCTTATTTTAAAAATGAGGAAACTTGGGGCACCTGGGTGGGTCAGTCAGTTGAGCGTCTGATTTCAGTTCGGGTCATGATCTCACAGTTCGTGGTTTCGAGCCCTGCGTCAGGTTCTGTGCTGACTGCTCGGAGCCTGGAGCCTGCTTTGCATTCTGTCTCCCTCTCTCTCTGCCCCTCGCCCACTTGCACTCAGTCTCTCTCTATCAAAAATGAATAAATGTTAAAAAAAAAAATGTAACAAATGAGGACACTTGACCAGGGTCACACAGCTATTGAGAGGTGGTAGCAAGATTCGAATTTAAGCAACATAACCCCAGGGGTGAAGGAAGTATGGTCTCTGGCACAGAGAACCTTGGAATTAGAAAGAACCAGAACCCTAGGGACTCACCCATGCTCTGCCTCTGACTTCCATGTGCTGTTGGGAAGTCTCCTTCTCTCTCTGGGCCTCAGTTTCCCCATCTGTAAATCGAGAAGTTTGAGCTAGACAACTTATAAGGCTCTTCTGAGCATCGGCGGATGTCCTAGGGTTCTCCAGGAACGCCCAGAACCCAGGGATCCACCAGGACACCAGCCCTGCTGTGTGGGAGCCCTGGATGTGGGGGTCTGGGTGCTCCCCCTGCAGGGCTCAGGCTGAGGCTTCTCTCTGCAAAGCAGCCCAGCCACTTGGAACAGGTAGAGGGCTAGGAGAGCAGGTGGCCCGAGATGACAAGGCAGAGGAGAACCGGGGGGCTGGAGTCTGCAGGAGTCCCCTGGGCAGTGCCCTGGGTCCATGCCAGGCTTTGCTTGGAGTCTGAGAATCTCGGTGGGGCAGGGATCTCAGAAACCAACCTGTCCAACCCTCTCTGGGTAGACAGATCTGCTCTGCACTGGCCCACACCTCTGCTCAGAGCGTCCCGCCCACATCCATGCCATCCATCTCTGGACTCCTCCCCCTTGGGAAGTACCCCCCGCCTCAGCTGAGCTAGAAACTTCAGCTGGTGTCCCTGCACCAGCCTCCTCTGCCCAGAGCCAGGCCCCAGTAGGTCCAACCTGAAGGATCTGCTCTCAGCAGACCTGTCCCCAGTCTCCAGCTTCATGCCCTCTGCACCCCAGTCTTTCTCTTGGACCCACAACAGTTTATCAGCAACCCTCGTAAAGGGTGGCGCCGGGAAGCAGAGCTGGCAAAAGACACCCTCCCCTTCTCCCAGACTGCTCCCCCGCCCGCCCCTTCCTCCTGTCCATGACTTCGTACCCTTTCCCACGGGTCTCTCTGCACGGTCCCAGCTCAGCCACTTGCAGACCGGCCGCGAGCCCTGCCGTGATGGCGGTGGCCTTCCACCGGACACCACCCTGCTTCTCTGTGGCAACTGCGCGTGATGCACCCCTCACACCCGCCCTGCCCCGGGAGGGAGGGGTGCCCGGCACAGATCCTCCTGCCGGAAAACGGCCTGGTCGTGGCGAGTGCCTTGTGAGGGCTCACTGCCGTCCGCTGGACCGAGGCCGTGCTCCGCAGCCGGCGAGAGTGAGGGCCGAGCCCACAGTGCGGGGAGACCGTGGTCACAATAGAGACAGACAGGAAAAGCAAGACCAAGAGGATGGAACCGTGCATGCGGTTGGGTTGTGCCTCTGGAGCCGTGCTGACTGCTCACAAGCCTCCTTGCTTTGCCACGGCCGTTCCAATGGAAACTACAACCTGGTCTCATTGTTGTCACCGGAAATGGTTTCCCTATAGGCCGGGGTTGCGAACACAACTCAGAAAAATGGAGCTTGTTCGCAGAGGCAGGATGGGGTGAATGGTTTTCCCTTTTAAGAATGTCCTTCAGCATCTTACGACTCCTGTCCTTTCGAGGGTGTGTGTGTGTGGGGGGGAGAAATGGCCCGAGTCTCCCAAAGGAGCCCCCTTCCTGTGAACTCCGTGGTACAGGAGTCTCCCTCTGAGCCGCCCCCTCACCACCCCAGCACCCTGGCGGGGGTATTCCCTGTGCCAGCCAGGCCATGCCACCTGACCCCTTCGGCGGCTCCGGGAACCATCAGGGGAACCCAAGGGCTGCTTGGTCGTGGATGTCCAAATGGAGCCCTGAGGCATAGCACCTCTGTTGGGTTTAGTGACTAATGTCTTCCCTCTCTCTCCCCTCCCCATTCCCCTCCAACCTAGGGGGACAGGGGTGACCCCGGGCCTGATGGTGAACGTGGCGACAAGGGCCAGGAAGGACTGAAGGGTGAGGATGGGCCCCCCGGCCCCCCCGGCATCCCTGGCGTCCGGGTGAGTGTGTGTGGCTCCGTGCCAGCACTGGGGGCTTCTGCGTGGGGACACCGCTCGTGCCTGTTCAGGCAGCTGGACAGGAAGTCTTCTGATAGCAGATCCCTAAAGGCCTTTGTGATCCTTCCTCCACCTGGGAGCTCCCTGGAGAGCCAGTCTGGCCATGTCCCTCCCCTGCCTAGCCCTCCCATGGCTCCCAAGTACCCTCAGGCTAGCATCACACTCCTCAGTCTGGCTTCCACACCCCCCACAAGCCCGGCCCCGCTGACCTTGTCCCGCATTCAGCCACACTGGATTTAGCAGGGAGGATTTAGCAGAAGGGGCCCCGGCCCAGATTCCCCACTAGGAACTTGCTATGTGACTTTTCACTTGCCATTGCCCTCTCTGGGTCACGTTCTTGGTACGAGGGATTTGGAAGGAATGTGTGCTGAGATCACGTTAGGTTCCAACATTCCAGGGGCTCTTTCTTAGTAAACTTTTGAGTATCGTGGCTGTGGAATGGGCAGCAACATGTGGCAGAAATAGCTCTGGGCCTAGAGTCCAAAGGTTAAGTTCTGGCTCGAGCCCCCACTGTCTGTGTGACCGGAGGCAGATCCCTGCTGCGTCTCCGTGAGCCTTGGTTTTCTTATCTTTAAAGAGTCAATGAAACTTTGGAAAGGAAAGTGCTTTGTAGTATGTGCCAGAAAAATCAATATTGTTTTTAAGAATTTGGGGGAGGAAATGGTTGGAGGCTGCTGGTGGCAGTGATGGTAGCGGTAGTAATATTGATGGTTGATGCAGGCGATGATGATGATAACGGTGGTGGTGGTGGTGGTGGTGGTGGAGGTGATGGTACTGGTGATGGTGGGGATGCTGGTGAGAGTGATGGTGGTGGAGATGGTGACGATGATGGTGGTGATGGTGGTGGAGATGGTGATGATGATGGCGGTGATGCTGGTGGTAGAGATTGTGGTAATGATAGTGGAGATGATGATGATGGTGGTGATGGGGATGGGGATGATGGTGGAGATGGTGGTGATGGTGGTGGAGATGGTGAGGATGATGCTGAGGATGGTGGAGACGGTGGAGATGGTGAGGATGATGCTGAGGATGATGGTGAGGATGGTGGGTGAGGATGATGGTGAGGATGGTGGTGAGGATGGTGGAGATGGTGAGGATGATGGTGGTGGTGATGGTGAGGATGATGGTAGTAGAGATGGTGAGGATGGTGGTGAGGATGATGGTGAGGATGGTGGTGGTGATGGTAGTGGAGATGCTGAGGATGGTGGTCGTGATGGTGGTGAATATGGTGGTGGTGATGGTGGTGAATATGGTGGTGGTGATGGTGGCAACATTGGTGATGGTTATGGCAGTGGCAGAAGTGGCAGAGGCGGTGACAGTGGCCATCGTGATGGGGACAGTGGTGGTGGTGGTGGTGGCAGCATTAATGTCCGTATTTTGCTGTCTCTACCAATTTTCATATACTGGAACTGGAAAGAGGTTCGCTGGGGCCAGACTGAGTGTGTGTTGGGTGACAGAGGTGGTGAGAGGCTTGTATTTGAGTCTCTTTGGCATCAGGGCTACAAGACAAGTATCTCCCGCTCTGGCCAGGAAACAGTGGAGTATTTAAAAATAGAATTTTATGAGCCATCAGAGCCTTTCCAGAAATACATCTACATGGATGGGGGCCCAGCAAAAGTCTTCCTTCTGGCCCCACAGCCTCACCCCACTAGCTGCTCCAGCCCTTACTCAGGATTTCCGACACCATGAAGGGTGCTCCCAGCCAGCGAGGGCCCATCAGAACAAGTGGCCCACCGCCCGGTCCTGGGGGAGACTCCGGCGTCCCGGCCCTGCGCCGAATTCTTCAGGGCTGACTCATTTCTCCTCCTGACAAGGGATCAGCCGTAGCAATCACCTCAGTGTACTGACAAATTCCACCGGCCCCTGTATCATGATTTCACGATTGCCCAGATGTGACCATCCTGGGACAGGGGTGCCCCAGACACTGTTGGCCCACATTCCATTCTCCCCTGGCTAGTAACCTGTGGACAGCGCCTTCATCTCACTGAGCCAATTCTTTGGCCTTAAAATGGAATAAAGTATCCCATCCTCCCACCCCTGTGGCCAGAATTGGATGAGAGATGATCTGGAATGCGGACACCATGCCTGGCCCGTGGTGGAAGCCATGATGGCTGTTACTCTTCCACTACTGAAGGAACAAGACCTTGACCTTGCTAATACAGTGCCGTCCAGCAGAAACAGAAGACAACCACATGAGTAATTTAAAATTTTTTAGCACTCACATTTTAAAAGTGTAAAAAGAAGTGGGTGAAATAAAGTTTAATAGTATATTTTATTGAGCCCTATATATCTAAAATAGTAACATTTACAACACATAATCAATATAAAAATCATTAGTAAGGCATCTTGCATTCTTTTTTCATGCTAAATCTATGAAATCTGATGTGTGATTTATTCTTACAGCACATCTCAGTTCGGATGCTAAATTTCAGTTGGAAATACTTGATCTGTATTTAGATTTCATGAGATAAACAGCTGAAAATGTAGATTCGTGTCCCCAAGTTATTCCAAACATACTTAAAAGTTTTATAATAACTGAATGGTCAATTTTTAAGTTTAATTTTAAATTAATTAAACTTAAATTAGATTAGGAATTTGGTTTGTCTGTCCTGGTAGTCACATTTCAAGTGCTCAATAACACGGTGTGGCGAGAGGCCAGCATAGTAGACAGTGCAAAAGCTAGTTCAAGACCTTTATATTAGAGGTGGAGAAACTGAGGGGCATCTGGGGGGCTCAGTCAGTTAAGGGTCTGACTTCGGCTCAGGTCATGATCTCACAGGTTGTGGGTTCGATCCCCGTGTTGGGCTCTGTGCTGACAGCTCAGAGCCTGCTTCAGATTCCGTGTCTCCATCTCTCTCTGCCCCTCCCCCACTCGTGCTCTGTCTCTCTTTCAAAAATAAACATTAAAAAAAAGAAGTGGGGAAACTGAGGCACACAAAAGAGGAGAGAGTTGTCCAGGTACACATGAGGATTTAAGCACCAGAACACAGGGCAGTCTGCGCTTGGTCCTTCCAAGACCACCATTTGCTTCTTCCAGAGGGTCCCAGAGCGGACTGAATGGTGCTTCCCTTAGGTTCAGAGAATCGTCTTCTCCAGGACACTTTTGGCATGTTTTGTCTTTTGAACAGACATCTCTCCCTTGTACTAAATCAGAGCCAGCCTCCCTGTAATTTCTTTCCTCTGACCACCCCAGAGAACACAGCTGTCCTTGCCTCAGGGCAGCTGCAGAAATCTGTGGACAGAAATCAGGTCCTTCCGGGTTAGCCCATGTGTTTCCTGGTTCCTCTAAGATCCCGTCTTCCTGTCCTTCCTCCATCACAGTTAGTACCTGCTCCTACTCCAAGGTGGGGCCATCACCTCCCTCATCTTACAGCAAGTACCTCTGTTAATGCAGCCACAGGGATTGAATCAAACTAGCTCTTTAGTGTTTGCCAAGAACGTAGGCTTTTTTTTCCCAGCTCCCCTTGAGGTTTGGGCCTTGAGAAAACTATCTTCTGTGAGTCGTCAGGATGTCCTTTCCAAACCAGAAACACTGCCTGCCCCACCCCTACATCCCAACCCAGTGTGGCTCAGGGATGAGATTCTCTTCTCTCCCTCTCTTATATTCCCACATGCACACTTATACACACTCATTCACCCTGCTGGAATGAGTGGCTCTGAATGGGGCAGGGCGAGGGAAAGCTGCATTATGGGATGCCCTATGGGGAAGGGGCACAGCGGCCTGTTGGAGGGAGTGGCCTAGGTCCCCCCGAGGGAGAGTGGGGGAGAGCGGCTGACCTTTCTGGCACAATGATGGTCCCCTCCAACTCCAAGCGCCAAGGGAGGGAGACCCTGTCAGTGGGACACAGCCTCAGGGACTGTCAGAAATGAGCCCCAGCATCTTAGAGATGAGGGGGCTGCCTCGTGTCACCAGTGGGTGCCCTGAGCCCCGGACGGGGACTCAGATGCATCGGCAGTTGACTCGGGGATCTGGGCAAGTCCCCTCACCTTCCGGAAGCCCAGAGGTCACTGTAGTGGGGAGGAGGCCATGATCGGGCCTAAGGCTCAGCATGGCTAGGAGGCTGGAACAGCATGTGGCAAAGGGGGTGCAGAGGGCTCTCCCACTGGGACAGCCCGGGCACCGAGCAGCACCACGAAAGGGGTACTTATCCAGAGGTCACTGTGGGCCAGGCCGCTGGTGAGCACGAGCAGCTTGAATTCTCAGCTTTGTGAGGCACACAGGACCCCTGTCCCCACTTTGCAGACAAAGCCCCGCATCCCAGGAGCTAAGGTCACTCTCAAGGTCACAGGGGCGTTGAGCGCCGGGTGGGTTTTGAACCCAGGCAGCCAGCCCTCAGAGCTCGTGTGCTAATCTTCCACACTTCTCACCCTCGTCTTTCCCTCCTTCTCCCCTCAGGGTCCTGAAGGAAAACCAGGGAAGCAAGGCGAGAAGGGCCGGGCAGGAGCCAAGGTGGGGTGCCACGCGTCGTGTCCCCGTCCCCTGCCCGCCTCTGTCTCCACCTCCCGCCGGGGCCCGGTGGCAGCCTGTCTCTCCTCCTGCTGCAGGGTGCCAAGGGCTACCAAGGACAGCTGGGCGAGATGGGCGTCCCTGGAGACCCTGGGCCCCCCGGCACCCCAGGCCCTAAAGGGTCCCGGGGCAGCCTGGGACCAACGGTGAGAGCTCCCTGGGTGGGGTGGGGTGGGGTGGGCTCAGGCCCGGAGCAGGGTGGGGGACGAGGGCAGAAAGAGAGGTATCGCCAGCTCTACCCCTCAGCTGAACCTCTGGGTGTGTCTTGTCCTGGCCCCTTCTGAACCACGGGTCCCTTTGGGAGCCTGCCGGAGCCGCAGCCTCACTCCCTGGAAAAGTACCCGTAGCACCGAGTGTGCACTTTGAAGGGGGTGGTGGGTCTTCGGAAGCCTTTACAGACCCAGATTGACAAGACCCATCTTAGGGTGGGGAGAGGTGACCAGCCCCTCGAGAGTGATTTTTAGGAACAAGGAGTTTTCCCACTGGAAATAGATCCACGAGGATCAGGGTGGAGGTGCTGCAGATCCCTGGGTGACTCTGGGGGTGTCCCGGCCTGTCACTCACCGGCCTGCCCTGAAGGAGGGCCCCCCGGGCTCTGACAGGTGCAGAAGGGGGACACCCGGAGGAGGCAGACAGGTCTGATCAACCGCTGAGCTGCTTTGTGGCACTTACCAGTGTCCACGGCGCTGATGGCCCCACCGCGGCTGATTTCGCGCCGCCACCACGGTGCCACTGCATGTGCACGTGGGAGGAGATATGCAGGAGTGTGTGTGTGTCGCCTGGTATTTCCACCGCACAGACTCCCAGACTCCATGGGCGGGCACCCCCAAGAGCATAGGCAATAACGAAACACAGCTAAAGTTATCAGGAGGGGATGAGGTTGGAATATTTATCATCTTGGTTTTTAATATGATTGATTTAACTGTAAGTTCACATCCTTTAATTTTTTTAATAGTGGTTCTGTTTAATAATTAGCTCACAAAAGCGAAGACAGTTTAGCTGCTGGCTCTCATGAACTGCTGGAGCTGGGAGAGGGAAGGGCTGGAGGGGGGAGAGGAGCTGAGGGGGGAGGGGGCAGATGAGAGGCGCTGACGGGGGAGGGGCAGACGACCCTTGCTCTCCCACCCGGGTTCTGGGCTGCGGGTGTGCCAGGCTGCTGGGCTGAACTGGGCTGGAGCTGGTGGCCAGGCCCCCACCCTGTACTAACTCGGCTCTGCTCCTCTCCTAGGGTGCCCCAGGACGGATGGGGGCCCAAGGAGAACCGGGACTGGCAGGTTATGATGTAAGCAAATCTCACCTACCCCCTTCTGGAATTCTGTCCTGCAGGCAGGGACCCAGGCGTGCCTCGGCCTCAGCCCCCACCGCCTCCCTGCTGCGGGCGTGTGCCCACAGAGTGGAGTGGGGGTCAGAGACCACTGGTGGGCTGGGCAGGGCTGGCGGACGCAGCACCACCCCCCGCCGCGTGCCCTCTCCGAGTCCGCCCTTCCCATGGCGGGCGCACGCCCACTTCCTGTCTGGGTGTCACACCTGCTGTCTGTGTGTCACACCTGCTGTCTGTGGAGGGAAGCATCTTAGCCCGGTTTTGCCTCCGAGCTGGCGCTCCACTTAGAGGCGGCTGAGCCAAACCCATGTTGGACATCTGAGTGACTCGTCCTCAGAGAGGCTCGGGGCTAGCTCAGAAAGGGAAACTGAGGCGCAAGGCGGCTGATGATTGTGTGTGCAAGGCCTGACAGCTTGTTAGGTTGGAAGGTGGGACGCAGTGTCTGGAGGAGAGGGAGAAGAGGCACAGGGCAAACGATGTGGCAACTGGAAGTTGGGGGGCAGTGCCGGGAGACCAAGGAGGGGACGTGCACGCGCTTCTCGCCACCACCTGGGGAAGCCCGCTGAGGCCGGCACTTTGCCCCTGCCCCCGGGGACACAGCTGGCTCTCACATCTGGCCCCGGGTATCCTCCAGCCTCGGGTGGGCAGCATCGCTGAACACCCAAGGGACTAACATGGCTTGTCTGGAGGCCAGGCCCCAGAGAGGCACAGTGCCTGCTCAGGGTCACACAGCAAAGTGGGGCAGAGCCAGGACCCGAGCTTACGGCCCAGATTCTCCACTTCCCAGTTCCCGCCCTCCGTCACTGTGCCTCTCGAGTCCTCCCTCACATACGCTCTCACCTCTTGTTTCTTGTAGGGACACAAAGGCGTCATGGGCCCCCTCGGACCTCCCGGACCAAAGGGCGAAAAGGTGGGTGCTCGGTCCTGGGAAGCAGGCGCTCCCTGCAGGAAGTCCCTGGGACACCGTGGCTGGGGTCGTGCAGAGGTTCACGGTCGGCTCTCCCGGGCTCATACCACGGCTGGCCAGGAGCCATGAGACCAACGTTCACTCAACATGGAGATCCTGGCCATCAGGTCTGTGCCCAGCACCGGGACAAAACCAGACACGGGACCTGCCTGCCGGCGGCTTCCAGTCGAGCAGGCGAATAGACACCAGTCACGTACCGACTAGAAATGCAATTCCATCGTCTGCGTGAACGTGAAGCTGGAGGCTTGCTTAGGAATGAGATTGCCCAGTGAGAGTCACCGGAAGGCTTAGGACAGAGAGCGAAGCCAGGCTTTCACAGCCAGGAAGGAGCCACTGAGGCAGAGGGAGGCGCATCCATTCCCCACCCCTCGGCTCCAGCTTTGGTAGAAGACAGGAGTAGATAGAAGAAAGCTTGCTGATGGCTGTGCCCCGTCACCCTGTGCAGGTGGGGACATGGGGCCGGAGGGCCATGGCATGGGTGCTAGGTCACATTCCGAGGTAGCCCCAAGCCGGCCCTGGGCCCAGGCCCTTGAGCTCTGAGTCCCCCGCTCTTGCCCCCCTCCTGCCCTGAAGGCTCAGCCGGAATGCATAGCCGGTGGCCTGCCTCGGTCTCCCTGCCCCCCTGGCTCCCCAGCCCTCCTCTCTTTCGCCGAGTCAGCTACCCGCTAACTATACCCCGCTGCCTGGTGAACCACCCCGGCCTGGCTTGCCGTCCTGCTTGCCCCCTCCTGCTTGGAGAAGAAGAAATCTGCAACCAGTGGGCTCCTGCCTCCCACACGAAGCTGCAGGAAGCACCACCCAGCACCCCGCGTCCCTCCTCGGTCTTCACGGCCTGCCACTGCTGGCCCCGGAGGGGTTAACACAGACCCTGAAACAAGTTGGGGGGGGGCTCCCTCCGAGCCGCATGCAGCCCCAGATCAGTTCCTGCAGCTGCTGAGAACGGGAGCCTAACTCTAGATCTGCCCTGGGTCTGCGGGAGGCCTTGGTGGGGCCCCAGGGTTCCCTGAACCTTGATGTCCTCATCTGTTAAGTGGGTGGGCACCTCAGGAATGCGAGGCTAAGCAGGGCATCACATAGAGGCGGCCAGAGGCACTTTCTTATTTATAAGGCCGTGTGTGAGCTCACTCCCTCATGTGGCCCTCTAACAGGGACCGGAGGATTTCAAGTGCGGCGTGTTCTGGCCCTGAGCCTGGGGCTGCAGAACGATGCCCTAAAGGGCTCAAGAGTAAAAATTAGGCACAAGCTGGAGGCCACTGGGAGGAGCGGGCGCAGTTCCCAAGGGAGACCCGGAAACACAGCGGCCGTGTGCAAAGCTCTAGCCTGGGGTGTCTCCATGGTGCCCACCACGGCCCCCGCATAGAGGTGCCAGTGTCCCACAGACAGACGGGGAAGCAGTCTTCACGGTGCTCAAGCACTAGGTCAGGACCGGTGGAAAGTGGCAGAAGGATCAGGACGCAGACTGACGCCAAGCTGTGCATCCGTAGCAGGAAACAGGCGCTTAGATGAGCTGATACGTTGCTCGGCTTGCGAGTTCCCTGTGGGGCACGTGTCTATAAAGGTGGCGCCTGGAGGGATTAGGGATGAGACTCTGGGAACAAGGCGACAGCAGGGGTGGGGGGCTTCACCAGCTTCCTGGTGCTACATACGCATCCCCAAACCACAGCCACAATACCGTGGGGGGCGGGGGCGGCAGGGAATAATCTGTATAGCTGGCCTTTGGGGCAGACCACCCCCTTGATTTCTGTGTGGCTTTGGCTAAGACCCTTCTTTCCCTGGGCCTCAGCTTCCCCATCTATAAAATGGGCCAATAGTCACAGCAGTGTAGGAGTGCGGAATGGATGAAGGGTCTGGCACACGAAGTGCCCGAGGTAGACACTGCCCCCTTCTCCAAGGGGCCCTCATCCAGCTGCCTCCCCCCACAGTGGGACCGAGACTTGGGACAAAGAGCCCTAGAGAGAGGTCAGGGAGGAGAGGGAATCCCCACTCCCTGGGCCACCCCCTTGGGTACAAGTGGTTCTGAGCTTCAGGCCAAGTCCCCCCACCCCCCGCCTTCAGTCTCTGCCCACAGGAGCCGCAGAGGCCCCGGGCCAAGGGACTGCAGCTGCCAGGCCTCAGCACTGATTTGGGCCTGGGACAGGCTCCAGCCCCAGGACGGCTCCCTCTGCTGCCTCTGAGGCCTCCCCTCCAGTCCCTGCCAGCCTCGAGGGGGCCCAGGGGGGCCCCAGCCGGCGCCTCCTGCACCCCCATGGGAGTGACACCGGTCGTCTGGGGCTGGAACACTCTGGGCCCTGAGGTTCTGCCACTTGCTTCCCTGCTTACCCCTTCCCTGTAGCCAGCGCGTGGCCCCCAGCCTCCCACCTCCATGGCGGATGGGGACCCAGGGCGGTGTGCCAGGGCTCCAGGGCCTCTGCTCGAAACCCTCCTGCTCCTCCCCCTCCTCCCGTCTCTCTGGCTACCTCCAGGCCGCACCTCGCCCCTGCTGCTATTGTCAGCAATGCCCAATGTCATGGCCATCTGAGCCCCTACTGTGTGAGCAGTCCTGAGCTTCCCTTCCCGGGCCCTTGGAGCAGCGCCACAAGGCTTCGCTGGAATGTTCTGCAGACAGGGGTCTGTCTGATGGACACGCCACCCAGACCGGCCATGGCCAAGGGCAACCTGGGGTTTTCTGGCCACTTTTGTCCAGCAAAGGCCGGAAAAAGGGACCCTTATTCAGGGCGCAGCAATGGAGCAGCCCACATCCCCTCTCTGTGCCTCAGAGTTCTGAGCTGTAAAATGGGGAGAATGATACCACCTGCTGCATAGGGCTGTTGCAAGCATGCAGCCAGTGCCGTGCATGGCCGGTGGCAGTGCCATGGTTGCCGGCTGTTGGAACTATCGTTGCTCCCCGCAGAGCACCACACGGGGACTTCTGGTGTCATTTCTGGGAACCCTCATCCCTCACTCCTGGGTATCTCTGCTGTCTCTTCGCCCTACCTCAGTCCCCTTCCCCAGCTGAGACAGAGAACTCTGAGACAGGAAGGGACCAGCTGAGGGTCTGAGCCGCTGATCCTGTGCAAAGCTCAGAGCCACCTGGGCTTACAGCCTGAGGGCACCTGCTTGGGGGTGCCCAGCGGGGCGGACGGTAAATAGCGCCGTGCTATGTGCCATGATCCTGGTTGCACGCCCAGGTCTGCCCCTTCCCTCTCTGGCCTCGGTCTCCCCATCTGTAACCCTGAGTGGGCTGGACTCCATCTCTGACGCAGGCCCTTTCCACTCTGTGTGGGGTATCTGGAGTTCCCCCAAATTCACCGGGGGCGAGAAGGGTGAAAGCCCGTTGTGTCCACAGGGGGAGCAGGGTGAGGATGGCAAGGCCGAGGGGCCCCCTGGACCGCCTGGAGATCGGGTAAGCCCCCCTCCCTGTCCCCTGGACCACTGCCAAGGTGCAGCCCTGGCTTCTGGCTGTGGGCGGGGGCGGGGGAGGCTGCTGCCGGCTTGAGAGCAAGTGGCCAGTGAGACCCAAGTCTGCATCCCCTGCACCTGGTGGCTCATATTTTGTTGTCTTCATCATTCAGGGCCCCGTAGGCGATCGAGGAGACCGCGGGGAGCCAGGGGACCCTGGATACCCCGTAAGTATCAGAGCTCTTCCCGCTGGCGGCATCCAGCAAGTTCTGCAAGGGCGCTCCTCAGCCCTCACCAGCACCCTGGCCGGAGAACCGCCTTCCCCAGGAGACAAGCCCTCCTCTCACCACTTGTGCCCGGCTGGCTTGAAGCACAGACGCCCTGAAAGAGGGCTGAGGCCCGAACTCATGCTGATGGGAGGTGGGGGTCAGGGAGAGGATGAGATGGGAGATAGAGACCCGTTTGCTCCCAGAGCCTCAGTCTCCCCATCCGTGGCCAGGAACAGCTGTCCCAGAAGCTGTGGACAAGCCACTCAGGGAGCGCCAGGCCCCCAGCAGGCGCCTCCCGCCCCCGCCTCATTCTCTCGGGCAGAGTCCTATGGCTTTGCAGATTAGCAAGCTCAGAGAGGGGACAGTGATTGGTGGCTGGGAAGGCCAAGGGCCTCAGGGCTCCTCCAGGCCGGAAGTTGCCCAGTCCCCAGCCCTGCCAGGATGGACCCCCTCACCGGTCTCTCTTTGGCTTCCAGGGACAGGAAGGTGTGCAAGGCCTCCGTGGAGACCCAGGCCAGCAGGGCCTACCAGTGAGTGGTGCTTCCTGTCCTGCCCCCCCCCAAGCCCTGAAGGTGGGTGGGCAGCAGTGGGGGAAGCCATGGCCCCTTTAAAGCACAAAGGGACCCTCCCTGGCGGGATAGCCTGGGGCAGCCCCAGAGCCCACACCCCCAAACCCCTCCCACCCTCCCCCTCCAGGCGGACACTGGCTGCCCTCCCCAGGGGAGAATCCTGGGGCTGCTTTGCATCACCTCACCTTGGTTTGCAGGGGCATCCGGGACCTCAGGGACGGCCAGGACCCAAAGGATCGAAAGGGGAAGAGGTGAGAGGGCTGGTGTTCACAGGGGAGCCTGGGAGGGGCAGACACTGGCCCAGGCACGGAGCAAGTGGGAGGCTGGGCTGGGGGGTGCCCTTTGGTTCAAAGGGCTTGAGGCTGATGGGGGGAGGGGGAGGGGGGATAACCAGCCCCATATGCGGGGCCTCCAGGAGGGGAACCGACCACCTGTGGGGCCCGCAGTGGGAGTCCAGAGCCAGAGCTCGCTCTCTTGCTGCCATAACCACTCCGTGGAAGAAATATTGGAGCAGCAAGGGGTCTGCGGGAAGAGGGGCAGCGATGCCGGTGGGGGGAACTTCCTTTCTTGCACCCAGAGCCCTATGCCTGCCTCCGCTGAGGTTGGGCCGATGCTGTCTTAATGCCCTCAACCTCCCCTCCTCCCCCCACCCCGATCCTCCCCCACCCACCCCCCTACCCCAGGCAGCAGGACTAGAGCCACACTCTCAAGGGTCAACGGAGCTCCCGGGCTCAGGCTCCCCCTAGGAAATTGCGGGTGCCTGGAGCCTCTGTAGCAAGGGGAGTCCGTGGGGCCCAGGGCTCAGAGCAGGGGCAGTGACGACGAAGGCCAGCCTGCCCCTGGGCTCCCAGGCCAGGACGCTTGGGCCCATGTGCAGATTCAGATGCTGAGGCCCAAGAGGTAGAGGGACAGGCCCCGCAGGGCCCCGCAATCCCCTTAGCACCCGTTCAGAACTCCTAGGGCTCTGTCCTCTTCCGGGCAGCCTCCATCATGTGCCCCTTGATTTTCCAGGGACCAAAGGGGAAGCAAGGCAAGGCGGGGTCACCTGGACGAAGGGGGATTCAGGTGAGTGGCCTGCAGCTGGCTCTCTCCTGCCTGCCTCCCTGCCCTTCCCAGAAACCCACGCCAGCTTTTTTTTTTTTTTTTTAATGTTTATTTATTTTTGAGAAAGAGAGAGAGCAGGGGAGGGGCAGAGAGAGAGAAAGAGACACAGAATCCAATGCAGGCTCCAGGTTCCAAGCTGTCAGCGCAGAGCAGGATGCAGAGCTCGAACCCACGAACAGCTAAATCATGACCTGAGCCGAAGTCAGCTGCGACTGAGCCACCCAAGCGCCCCATCACCAGGGCTTCTTTTATACCCCCAGGGCCTGCAGGGGCTGCCAGGGCCTCGGGGCGTGGTGGGGAGACAGGGCCCTGAGGGTGTGGCTGGACCTGATGGATTTCCTGGCCGGGATGGTCAAGCAGGACAGCAGGTGAGCAGGGGTTAACAGGCGGTGTCTTGTCTGAGACAAGGCGTGGGTGTTGGGGCAGGGTGGGGGGAGGGGGTGTCTGCCAGAGGCCATGGCCAGGAGAAGCAGGTTTGGAAACTCCGGTGGGGCAGGACCCACGTATCCAGAAGTTCCCTGCTTGGGCAATCGCCTCAGCCCTTGGGACCTGGGAATGTGTCCCTTCTGCCTGTCTGTTCTGCACCCACAGGGTCCTCCCCCATCTGCTGCAGAGAACTTCTGCGTTTAGGGTCCTTCCTCACAGCTCCTAATGTTTCACTGGCCCAACTCTCCTCACACACATGGGCAGGGTGACCTCCCCCCCCCCCCCGAGTCTGACCTCTCCCACTCCAGATCCCACAATTCCTGGGACTCGGAGTCATTCTGCCCCCTTGGTTATCTATTTCCTGAAACACAAGAAACCCTCCCTTGCCCTCTTTCTTTACAGGGGGAGCAGGGAGATGACGGGGACCCTGGCCCCATGGGCCCTGCTGGGAAGAGAGGAAATCCGGGCGTGGCTGGCTTGCCTGGAGCACAGGGGCCCCCAGGGTTCAAGGTCAGACACTTGTCAATAAACTCACCCACCCCTGCACCCTCTCAGCCTTCGTACTAACCATAATGACACTGATTATGAGCGCTTACATGGACACCCACGTCCCAGGGCCCATGTGAAAATGGAGTTCATGTCACTGACGTTTCTCAGGGGTCCCGCCCCAAGCTTGAACCTGACTTACAGGAAAGTTTATCCAGCTAGCTAATAAAGGCGCCCTACAAAGCCGTTCATCAGAGGCAAACCGGTTATTGAGCTGTCCTCGGGCGCCCTCTTGTGGGCCTTTGTGGAACAAAGGCAAGGTCGTGAGAGCAGCCAGGACCCTTTTCCAAACGGCTTCTTTGGAGAAAGCCTCCCTGAGCCTCCCTGAGCTCCTCTGACTGGGGAGGCAGCCCTGAGTCAATCTGAGCCCAGGGCTAGACCCAGAAGGGAAGGTTGAGCTGGATGAATCAGACATGGCTCCTCTTGCCCTCCCCTGCTCGAGGTTGAGTTGGGGAGAGGCCGGAACACTTTGCGGAAACAGCAGACAGAGGGAGAGGTGGCCTTGGCTCAGGGAGGGTTTAAATGAGGAGAGAAGGGGAGGAACGGTTGGAGCAGGGGTGTGGGGGTGGGAACTTCATGGTCTGCTGGGAGGAAACAGTATAGAGGAGAGGCAGGGCGGGGAGTGGTGGGGGAGTGGGAGCTTGAATTCCAGAGTAAGGAAAAGAGGCTGTCCTGGCAAGGAGGCTGAAACTCTGAGCATCCATCAGGCCTACATCTGAGCCCGAGCATCCTGAGATACCAACGCACCCTGTGAAATCACTGTTCTGTCTCTCTTGGCCCTCCCCGCCCCTCCCCTAAAACCATTTCCTCCTTTGATCATTTTGGTGTGTTTTTGGTTTTTTTTTTAAAGGGTGAAAGTGGATTGCCTGGGCAGCTGGGTCCTCCTGGCAAACGAGGGACAACAGGGGGAACTGGGCTTCCGGGGAGCCAGGGGGGGCCTGGACCCAAAGGCCAGCCGGTGAGTGAGCCCCAGCGAGTACAGTGTGCTCACACACACCCACACAAAGACTCACGCTCACACGTGCACACACAGGCCCAGATACGCCCTGCCTGCTCTGTGACAGGGGCAGGGCACCACCCTCTCTGGGCCTCCCCTGAGAAGGGCGGTGGGAAGGAGAAGGCTCAGAAATGAGATCTGAGCGGTCCCCCCAGAATGGGGAGAGGTGGATCACACCCTGAACCTGAAACAGCCGTGTATCTATTTAAGAAAGTCAATCCGTGGTTTAAAAAGCATCTCACAAGGAGAACTCTAGGCTCAGATGACTTCCGTGGAGAATTCTAGTAAACGTCTATGGAGGAAGTAATACCGATTCTGCAAAAACTCTTCCAGAAAATTGAAGAGGGGAGACTACTTCCCAACATATTCTATGAAGCTAACATTACCCTGATGTCAAGGCTGGACAAAGACATTGCAAGGAAATTACAGACCAATATACCTCATAAGTATGGATACAGAAGTTCTCTATACAATTTTAGAAATACAAGTCTAGGAATATATAAAAAGGGTAGTACATCGAGATCAAATGAGGGGCACCCGGTGACTCAGCTGGTTGAGCATCTGACTGGTGGAGCATTTGAACCTTGGTTTTGGCTCAGGTCATGATCTCAATGGTTGTGGGTCAAACTCTGGGTAGGGCTCTGTGCTGAGCATAGAGCTTGCTTAAGATTCTCTCTTTCTGCCCCTCTCCGCTGCTCTTTCTCTCTCTTTCTCAAAACAAAAACAAACAAAAAACAAATGAGGTTTATCCCAGGAATGCAAGGATGGTATAACACTTGAAAATAAGTCCATATAATTCACCATGTTAACAAATTGGAAAAGAAAACTCGCTTGATCACCCCAGTAGATGCAAGAAAAGCACCTGAGAAAATGCAACTCCATTTCTGATGAAAGTGTTCATCAAACTTGATAAAGAAGAGGAGTTTCCTCAACTAGAAAGAGGGTAGTCATGAAAAACTGACAGTTAACATTGTGCTTAACAGTGATTGACTGACTGTTTCTTTTCCCAAGAAGTAGACATGAGTCAAAGATACTTGTTCTCACTACTTCTAAGTTTATTTTATTTATTTATTTTGAGAGAGAGAACATGGGCGTGTGTGTGCTGGGGAGGGGCAGAGAGAGGAGACAGAGACTCCTAAGTAGTTTGCACACTGTCAGCACAGAGCCTGATGCAGGGCTTGAACCCACAAACCATAAGATCATGACCTGAACTGAGATCAAGAGTTGGATGCTTAACCGGCTGAACCACCCAGGCACCCCTGTTCTCACTGCTTCTATTCAACACTGTACTGTCAGTTCTAGCTGATGCCATAAGGAATAAAAAAACAAATGAAAAGCATTCATGTCAAAAAGGAAAAAGCAAATCTTTTCATTTGTAGATAAAATGATTGTCTATGTAGAAAATCCAGTAGAGGGGCCCCTGGGTGGCTCAGTCATTTGGGCATCCAACTTCTGCTCAGGTCATGATCTCGTGGTTTGTGAGTTCAGGCCCCTCATCAGGCTCTGTGCTGACAGCTCAGAGCCTGGAGCCTGCTTCAGATTCTGTGTCTCCCCCTCTCTCTGCCCCTCCCCCGCTCAGGCTCTGTCTCTCACAAATAAATAAAATGTTAAAAAAAAAAAAAAGAATGAGACTCTATACACTAGCCACAATCAGAACTTGAAATCTAACAAGCAATACTGTTAATAATCGCATAAGAAATAGGAAATACCTAGAGATACGTATGACAAGAGGTATACAAAACACATGGGCTGAAAAATTGCAAAACACTTCTGCAATAAATTGAGGAAGACCTGAATAAATGGAGAAACTTACTGTGTTCACTGGTCAATGACTCAGTCTTGCCGAGGTGTCGCTTTCCCTCCAGTTCGTACCCGGATTCAACGCAATCCCAATCAAAATCCCATCAGGCCTTCCTCTTCCTTGTGGGAAATAAGAAGCTGAGTCTAACGTTCACTTGGAAATGTGAAAGATCTGGAAGAAACAAAGCAACGTGAAGAAATGAGCAGGGTTAGAGGACTTGCAGTATTTGATTTCAAGACTTATTATACAGCTACAGTAATCAAGAAAGTGTGCTATTGCCACAAACTTACTAATAAGAGATCAAAAGGATGGCACAGTATGGAGAACTGATTTTGGGCAAAGTTGTAAAAGTAATTCAGGGGAAACAGAATAGTGTTTTCCAGCAAATAGTGCCGGGACAATTGTATACCTTATACCCTGTACAAAAATTAGCTTAACGTGGATCATACACCTAAATGTAAAGCCTAAAACAAACCTTTTAGAAGAAATAGTAGAAGAAAATCTTTGAGACCGTGGGTTATACAAAGATTTCTTAGATATGACAGCAAAATCATGACCCATTAAAAAAAATGGATAAATTGGGCTTTATCAAGATTAAAAGCTTTTGCTCCTCAAAGGCAAGAGAATAAAAGAGTAAAAAGACAAGCCACAGGCTAGGAGAAAGTACAGATCACATATCTAGTAAAGGATATGTATCTAGAATAGGTAAAGAACTCTCAAAACTCATTAATAAGAAAAGTGGCAGCCCAATGAAGAAATTAGGCAAAAGACTTTGACACAGCAGAGAAGACGGGCGGATGGCAGATAAGCACATAAATCAAGATCACTAGTCTTTAGGCAAGTGCTCATTAAAACCACAATGAGGTACCGTGCGCACCTGTTAGGGTGGTAAACATTTTCAAAGACTGAGCACACCAAGTGTTGGCAAGGATGTGGGGCGACCGGAACTCTCCTACTCTGCTATAGGAATGTAAAATGGCACAACCACTTGGGAAAACAGCTGGGCAGTTTCTTTAAAAGCTAAGCCTGCACCTATGGTATAATCCAGGCCTCCAGAATCCTTCACGTCCCATCACTCCCTGCAGTGGCATCTGGGTGGATAGGAGCAAGCCCCTGCTCTCTCTAGCCTCGATTTTTCCATCTGTGAACAGGGTGTACTGTGCCCTCCGGGCCGATGTAGGAACACGTACGCATGGGAGTGCACGCAAAGCGCCTGGCACATTGCAGGCCCACAGCTAATGGGGTTATTCTGAGGGGCACAGTCCTTGGGAGAGCCTTTGGACGTGTGGGGAAGGGTCTGTGGGTCCTCTCATTCTCTTCCTTGAAGACCTGGGATGGGAGATCCTAAGTGTTCTAGAACATTCCTTGTGGAGTCCCTGAGCTGGCCTCTGCTTTTGCATCCGACAGAGGGCATAGACTCCTGCCCCCTCAGAGCCCAGGCTGAGTCAGTGTCTAGTACGTGAGCTCTTCACACTCATCACGGTGGAGCAGCTGATGTCCCCGGGAGAAGGCAGGCCCAGCGGTCGTGGGTGATTGACCAGGCATCCGGGTCCTGGCCCTACTCACCCCATCTCATTCTGCTCCCCCCACAGGGTGACTCTGGTGAGATGGGCTTCCCAGGAATGGCCGGCCTATTTGGACCCAAGGTACAGATTCCTACTACATACTGTCCCTGCGGGGGTCCCCTCCATCAACCTAGTTTATCCATTTACCCATTTACTTTTGCAACAAGTATTTCTTAAGCACTTACAGTGTGGGCTGAAGAATCAAGCATGAGTACGCTCGTTCCCCAGAACTCACATTCCAGCAGACCTGGGCTCTAAGCCCAGCTCCCCAGTTTACCTGCTCTGTGCCTTAGGCAAGTTAACTTTGTATCTCCAGTCCTCAGTTTTGCCATCTGTGAAACGGGTGTGATAACCATAAAGGGTTGTCGAAACGGTTAAGAGCAGAGGCTTAGCCCGTACGGCACAGAGGCCGCTCACTGAGACCTGCTTAGTAGCTGTCCAGCCACCCAGACACAGGCAGCCCTTCTTCTGCCTCCCACAGGGCCCCCCGGGAGACATCGGCTTGAAAGGCATTCAGGGCCCTCGGGGGTCCCCTGGCTTGATGGTGAGTCCTCTCCTTGTCTGTGCTAGTGGGGACAGTCACCCAGGCCCAAGGCTGGCCAGCCATCAGCTGGGTGGATGCATGCTCCACTCCTCCTGCTCCTCCAGACTCAAGCTCCCTCCTGCAGCCGCAGCCTTCTGTCCCCTTCCTGCCCAGCTGGGCTGCCCCCTCCCCCTCTTCCCTGCTCCCCTCCCCCTGATCTCGGAGCCCACCCCAAGGCACACAGGAGGGGCCCCGGAGGTGCATGGCCTGGCCCCTGCTTGAGGAAGCCTCCCTTCCATCCCAGGGGGACACTCAGGCTGCCGTCCATACTCCTGTCCCCGTGGCTCTGTTCCCCAGGCCGTGGGAGGAGGGTACACAAGCCTTTCTCTCTCTTTTAGGGAAAGGAAGGCATCATTGGGCCCCTCGGAATCCTGGGACCTTCAGGACACCCGGTACGTGTAGGGGGCTGGCCAGAAACACTGCTGGGGCAAGCTCGTCTCTGGGACCCAGGACCAGTCTGAGCCTCAGTTTCTCCATCTTGGAAATAGAACTTTCCCTCCAAACCCTCTCTTACCAGGCCATGATTTATTGCAGGGTCCAAAGGGCGACAAAGGCAGCCGAGGGGACTTGGTGAGTTGATGGCTTCGAGGGGCAGCGCTACGGGGGCGGGGGGGGGGCGCACAAGGGAGGGTCACGGCTCAGCCAGTCCCCTGACTGTCTCTCTCTGCTTCTGTCCTCCTCCAGGGACTGCAAGGTCCGAGGGTGAGTGGGCTGGGGTGTGAGGGCTGGTGGGCTGGGGGCGGGGGAGTGGAGCGGGGTGGTGCCCGCTGAACGCCTCAGGCACGTTCTTTCCCTCTGGACCTCAGTCATCCCATCCGTACCCGTCTGTGCTGGAGGGAGCACTGTCCCTGGTCTCAGGTCCGCTTGGGGAGGCCTGGGCGGGGGGGATGGAAGGCCTCTGACCAGGCCCTCACTGTCATTCTTTTCCTCCAGGGCCCTCCTGGTCCCAGAGGCCGGCCTGGCCCTCCGGTAGGTACTCGCGCTCGGTACCCCTTGAACTCCAGGGCCGGTGGCAGAGCTCCTTTGAATGAGACCCAAGGCTTTGCTGGCAGACGTTTGTCTTGGCCTTGACCTTGCAGGGCTCACAAGCTTCCAGAGACTTCCAGGAGAGCTTAGAGCACAGACTCGGCCTCCAGAAGAGCAGAGATCAGCCCTTGGGCCCAGGTGGCCCCTCTAGGCTCCAGACAGCCCCCATCAAACACTGACTGAGCCTCTTCTTTTGCAGGGTCCTCCAGGGAGCCCTATCCACTTCGTAAGTCGGAGAATGTTCTCTTTTGCCTTCTCGGGGTAAGGGCTGGGGCGGGGGGCGCGTGTGGAGGGTGCTGGCTGACCTCATTCTGCTCACAGTGGCTGGAACCCTAAGCCAGGCCCAGATATGCCCATGTGCTTTGGTCCCTCCACACCGGGCCCTGGACCCCGAAGCAGCAGGAGCCCGGGCCAGAGACTGGGGAGGCGACATTTTAGCCAGGATGTTGGGCTCCTGGTCCTTCAGTGTGCGCGGTACAGATCGGCTGATTGCCGAGGGTCTAAACAGGTGCTGGTATCGATTCAAGCTTGACCCAGGGTGGGTGCTCCCCATATGAAAGAGCACTTCCGGGACGCCAGCCGAGTGCCCTGCCTCTCAGCTGCGTGCGATCTGACACTGTACCGGGGCACACATTAGACCCCACGGCTTCTCTGTCCTGCAGGACCCACCCCCCGTCCCGCCCACCTGACGCCAGGCCGTCACCTGTGCTTCCGACTGACTGGCTGTAAACCAGAGGCCCCCACGCCCCTCGTCGGGGTCACTTAATTTGCTGCAGCAGCTCACAGAGCAGAGAAACATTTCACTTACTAGATCCCCGGTTTATTATGAAAGGAAGTCACTCAGGAACAGACAGACGGAGGACAGGCACAGGGCAAGGCGTGCGACAGAGGCTCAGACTTGCGGGCCCTCCCCAGGCGACCGCTCTCCCCCGACGGCCATGTGGTCACCAGCCCGGAAGCTCTCTCAGTGCCAACCCCTCGGGTTTTTATGGAGGCCTCATTACATCGGCGTGATTGAGGAAATCGTTGGCCGTTAGTGATTGACCCAGGGCCTCCCAGGGGTCCCTCCCTGTGTTACCACGGTGCTGGCGGACTGTGACGGCCAGGCCCTGCTGGCGTCCCCGAGAACGGCCGAGGGGGAGAGCTGAACGGGACAGGAAGAGTTCCAGGATTTTGAATTATTTTGCCTAGTCACTGACATATTGAGTGTGTGATAGGCGGGCACCATTAGGTGTGTGTCGTAGATTAGCTCCCTGCTTCCTCTCAAGGTTCTGAGGGTTTTATTATCATGCCCGTTCTCAGGATACTGATACCAAGAGACGGTAAGCAACCTGCCCAGATCCTGCAAGTAGCGAGATGTGAACTTGAGAAAGGCCTCTAGGGTCCAGGCTCTAGACCTCTCGGGCTTTCACTTTCCGTCCTGTCCTCCCTGTCACTGTTCTCACCGCAAGGGCGCTGCAATGCTTTCTGGCAAGTCCACGGCCAGGGCTGGAGGCCCGGGCGCGTGGTAGTTACAGCGCAAGCCAGAGGAGACGCGCGGGGACTGCGGGCACCCAGAGAAAGGGGCCGCCCTCAGCCTGGGGGCGGGAGCCCCAGGACAGAGTTCCCCCGGAAGCTGACATCTAGGATGAGTCTAGGGCAGGGCTACTCAACTGCAGCCTTTACCAGCATTTGGGACCAGAGGATTCTTTGCTGTGAGTGATGTTGGGACAGCCAAGAATGTCTCTAGATGGAGCCAGATGTCCCCTAGGGGGCAGCATTGCCCCTGGCTGAGAACCACTGGATTAGGAGATAGCCAGATGGAGCACTGGAGGGAAAGAAGACTGTTCCAGGTGATGGAACAGCATGTGCAAAGGCCCTGTGGCTAGATAGAGCATGGTGCTTAGCGATTTAGGAACACAATAGTGCATCTAGTGCACAGGGTATGTGTGGCCCAGAGAAGAGGGGCTGGGCCAGAGACCACAGCACTCAGCCCTGGTCTGTAACCGTGTGGAGGAGTTTGGGCTTCATCCTGAGGGCGATGGAGAGCTATCCAGGCCTTGAGAAAGGGAGTGGAAGGGTCAGCTCTGCCTCTGTTTGCAAGTGGAGGAAGGACAGAGAGCTCCACAGGGGGTGGGTGACTTGGCCGTGATACCACCTGGAAAGGAGGCTGGGAGACCTTGTACTCAGTCCCTGGGTCTCCCTCTCGGTGAGTCTGGGAGGTCCCGGGGCGGGGCCGGGGGGGCAGGATACCCACCCCGTCTCCTCTGCACAGCAGCAAGATGACCTTGGAGCAGCTTTCCGGACGTGGATGGATACAGATGGAGCACTGAAAGCAGAGGTACCTCCTGGCCCCTGCCTGTGTGGGACCCCTTCCTGGGGGAGACAGAAGGAACGGCTCATGTGTGGTTAACAGCCTCTGCGTGGCCTGCACGGGGCCTCCCGGAGCTTATTTGTCTCCTGAGCTGGAGGCTGGGGAAAGTCAATGCCAAGTCGGCTCCCTTAAGACTCACAGTCCAGGGAGAGGGCATGGAAGAGCCCGTCATCTTCCTTCCATTTGGGGGCGGGGGAGGGTCAGTGGAAAGACTTCCCCTGACCCCTTCTGGAGGGATTTAGGGCCACTTCCCAGGCTCCCGCACACCCTCATTGCAGTCCCCCCTCACGGCCCCTGCTCTGCACCAGAGCCAGACTGGCCCTCTGCTCCTCCCAAGCTCCCAGACCCTGTGGCAGCCCCCATTCCTTCCCTGGTCCCCACTTTCCTCATCTGTTAAGTCGGGGGAACTGCCTCATCTCCCGAGTAGCAAGCACTTGCAGCTGCGGAGGTGCAGACCTCAGGCCGGGCCAGGACCTCAAGGGGCCGGTGGCCACCCTCTCTCCTCGTGACAGGGTTATAGCCATCCCGACCGGCTGGTGCTGGACCAGGGAGGGGAGATCTTTAAAACCTTACACTACCTCAGCAACCTCATCCAGAGCATTAAGACGCCCCTGGGCACCAAAGAGAACCCGGCCCGGGTCTGCCGAGACCTCATGGACTGTGAGCAGAAGATGGTGGACGGTACGGGGGTCTATGGGGTCTGAAGGCAGGACTTCCTGCCCTGGGGGTGCGGGTGGGGGGACCGGGCGGGGCAGGGGAGTTCCAGGAGGGGCTGGGGGGTGGGGCATTCGAATCTTGGCTCTTCAGGTCCCAGATTCCACCCTTGGGGAGACAGGCCCCTGGGGGGGTGGTCATTTATCCACGCCACAAGGCAGGCCTCACGCTTCCCGGGGTGGGTGTGGGGAAATGCTCGCGCCCTCTCACAGCCCACGGGGCTGCAAGCTGGGACCACCACATCAGTGCGAGGACACAGAGCTTTGTCAGGAAAGCCTCCAAGGGCGAGGAGGGGGCAGCAGACTGGGGAGGGGGGCGCTGTCGTGGATGCTCTGAAAACCAGCATTCCTGCCCCTCCCCCTCCCCCCAAGCCCTAGGAGGATCACTCACTTTGGGGGAACAGCCCATCCAGCCAGAAGATCCCTAAACCCCTTGGGCTAATGATCCAGCCTCTGTCAACCTCAGCTGCCCCCTCTGTAAAATGGATGCTTCACAGCAGCAACATAAGCAAGCGCTCAGCCCTGTGATATACCAGGGGCTCTGCCAGCTGTGAGCTCTGCCCAGAGGGTTTCTTTCTACCTCAGCAGCTCGTGGGAGCCTTTTCTGCTCCCTTTCCCGATGTCGTGCCCAGCTGGGGTTCAGCGGGTCCCCAGGGGTGCGGTCTGCTTGCAGAGCCCAGCCCCGGGCTCCTCCCAGCACGCATGTGCCGTCCCTCACCCGCGCTGCCCGCAGGTACCTACTGGGTGGACCCAAACCTTGGCTGCTCGTCCGACACCATCGAAGTTTCCTGTAACTTTACGCATGGTGGACAAACGTGTCTCAAGCCCATCACAGCCTCCAAGGTACCCATCTGCTCCCCCATCTCCACACTGACCCGTCGTCTCTGCGCCCCCACCCCTCCCTTGCTACCGCCCACCCGGGTTACAGCCTCAGCCTTGGCTGCCTTGCCTCATGGCCTCTTTGTGAACCCCAGATGCCTCTCCTGTAACGTATGGGTGAATGGTTCTAAATCTGTGGGCTCCAGACCCTCCTCGAGTTCTATGATGCTAGTGGTTTTCTCTTCACCTAGAACTTTCTGCCTGACCTCTGCATCAGCAGTAGTGGGGCCAAGCTGGCCTGGCTGGGGAAGCGTGAGGCATCAGCATAAACTAAGTCGGTTCTGTGCTCGCCAAGTTGTGCTTGCACACGTAACGGATGTTCAGGGCCTGTCTCTGGGCTAAGGGTCTGAGGCGGCCCCGGGGGAACCAACGAGAAACCAGGGCCGGCGGCAGCTCCGGGGCACCACCACACCCCTGCCCCGGCTTCCCCAAGGTGCACGGTGGGTCTGCGGGCTCAGCAAGTCGTGAGGTGGGAGGATTCCTGCTACAGGGGAGGAGCCCGTGGCCCCGAGGACCCCCGCCTCCCGTGCCCTCAGGCCTCCTGGGGGAGCTCCGGGAGGTGCTGACCGGCCCGCACCCGGACTCTGAGGATCTGCACGTGGCCCAGCTGGTCCGCAAGTCAGGTTGGGCCCCTGCCACGTGCAGGACGCTCTGCCCAGCACTAGAATTCAACAGGAAACACAGTAGCCTCACCAGTGCCCGCCCCCACACCAGCCAGGCTCTTGCCCCTCTGACTCTGCGGCTCGGGAGCCCCCATGCCAAACCCGCCTGGCAGAGGGGTGAGGCCAGAGACGGCACCAGCCCCGGTGGCATGACGGCCCACCCAGTCGCCATTCCCACCGGGAACAACAGCCGCCGTTTTGTGCTGGTCTCAGCCTGTAAAGAGAACCAGCCCTGGCGGTTCTTAGTACGCTTGCAAGATGCCCTTTGCTATTGAGAAACTTTGAAAAGCACAGGTTTGTTACTTACTGGACCTGAAAATTACACAGCCAGGTCGCTGGGGGAGAGAGAGGAGTGTGTGCAGGGCCCTGGGGTTCTGCTTTTACTGGGGTCCAGGGCAGGCGGCTTAGGGCTCCTCGGCACTTGTGTTATGAAAAGAAAAACCAACGATCTGGGCTTAAGCTGCCCCCACTGAAGTCATAGAGCCTGTCTTTGTTGGTTGTTGGGACTGCCACTTCTGGGATCTTGGGACTTACAAAGGGTGGGGTGGGCACCTCTCAGTGCCCCCTGCACTTCAAGAGCCTCTTGAACTTGGGCTACTTCCTCTTCCTCTCTGCAGCCTCAGGATCCCAGCTCAGCTCCAATGACAACCCCCCTCCCACACCCACACAATGGGGGACAGATCAGGTTACTTGGGAACCCTCCTAGCTGGGGCCCGGGTTCTTTCCCTTCCCTGTCACTCCTTGGCTGTGGACTGGCTCACGCTAGACCTTGACTTCCCCGTTTGGGGGCAAAGCCAGGAAAGACCCAAGCAGGAAAGAGCTTCTCTATGTGCTTCCAGAGAGAGGGGAGGGTATCTGAGAGCCTGGGGCAGCCGGCCCGACCTTATGTCACTGCCTTGTTTCCACCACAGGTCGAGTTTGCCGTCAGCCGGGTCCAGATGAACTTTCTGCACTTGCTAAGCTCTGAGGTGACCCAGCATATCACCATCCACTGCCTTAACATGACCGTGTGGCAGGAGGGCACAGGGCGGACCCCAGCCAAGCGGGCCGTGCGCTTCCGGGCCTGGAACGGGCAGATCTTTGAAGCAGGTGGTCAGTTCAGCCCGGAAGTATCAATGGATGGCTGCAAGGTAAGCGTCGGGGCCCCTTCAAGGAAAGACGTGTTTTTATTATAAAACTATATTTAACAATTAATGAAATACATGCTGGTACTTTCCATGACTATATTAGTGTAATACAGTATATTGTATTAGTATAATGTTAGTAAATACATATAATTTTTATCTTCATATAATCATTCTATTTTAACAGTTTTATAAAATTCCTTTGATTCACTGTCATCTCTGGGAAACTTCCGAGGGAAGATCTGGCTGATAGAAATTCCCCAGGCTGCTAGATGGCCGTAGACTGCCTTGCAAGGCTGCTTGTGGGAGAATGTATTTCTATTCTTCTCTCTGCCCCCACCCTGACCAGGCTAATTTGTTCCCTTAACACTTTGGGTTATTTCTAAATGCCTAAAACTGGGTGGGTTGTTGGCAGAGAGGGAGCTTGAAAGTTGTCCAAAAAACTGGTTTCACAAAATTACACAAAACTAACAATACACAGTGTTAGTGAGGATGTGGGGAAAGCAACACTCTTGCACAAAGCTATTTGGAAAGAAATTGGTAGAGGCTTTTGGGACGGCAGCTACATATATACAGGAATACCTCAGAGATATTGTGGGTTCAGTTCTATTCACTACAATAAAGTGAATTAAGTCTAATTAATTTTTTGGTTTCCCAACACATACAGAAGTTACGTTTACATTAGACTATAGCCTATTATGTGTATAACAATATCATGTCTAAAAAACAATGTACGTACTTTAATTTAAAAATACTTCACAGAGGGGCGGTTGGGTGGTTCAGTCAGTGAAGCGTCTGAATTTGGCTCAGGTCATGATCTCACAGTTCGTGGGTTCAAGCCTCGCGTCAGGCTTTGTGCTGACAGCTCGGAGCCTGGAGCCTGCTTCGGATTCTTTGTCCCCCTCTTTCTCTCTGCCCCTCCCTTGCTTGTGCTCTGTCCCTCTCTCTCTCAAAAAAAAAATAAACATTACAAAAAATACTTCACTGATAAAATGCCAACCATCATCTGAGCTTTCAGTGCATCATAATCGCTGCTCACAGATCACCACAACAAATATAATAGTAATGGAAAAGTGAAATGCTTTTATAACCTTCCATTTATAAAAAACACAACATCTGTGAAGATCAGCAAGGTGCAGTGCAGTGAAATGAGGTTTGCCTGTGCGGTAAAACATGGGTTCGTGAGCGTAATTCGTTCCAGAAACATGCTTGTAATCCAAAGCACTTGTATGTCAAAGTGAATTTCCCCATAAGAAATCATGGAAACTCAGATGATTCGTTCCACAACCCAAAAATAATCAAATAAAAAATGATTAAAGTACTGTAATATAATACAAAATCATAAAGAAAATACAAAATATAAAGAAAAGTAAGCAAATTAGCTTGCACTTACCTTTGAAAACCTTCGCGGCTGGAGGGAGGGAGATCAGAGACAGGAGGGTTATTGTGACGGATGACTTTCACTATCACTAATGGAATCACTGCTATCTATTGGCTCAATGGAATCTTTTTCTTTTTTAATGAACTTCAACAAGGAAACTACCCAGTGACACTTGCTTTTGCCTCCTTTTGAGGATTTCGCAGGAATGGGACATTGCATTGTCATTAAACAGATTCATTGCTCGCACTGCTACAACCTTATGCGGATGGTGATTTTCTACAAACTTTTGCACCGTTTCCCACATTTCACATATCTCCTGAATGTCATTTTAAGTGAGAGATTCCTCCGCCTTTCTCTCCTCCTCTGCAGATGAGATGCAGACATAGACTTCTTTTAGAATCTTGCAATTTCGGCCACTCGCATACCTCACTCATACTTCTTGAGGATTTCCTTCTTAACTTCCACTGTGATCATCTTCTTCTTACCACCTTTCTTTTCAACCTCTTTCTGCATGGGGGCCATTGTATATGCTCGCACAGGTGTTGACTACAGTGCAGTATTAATAAACTCTTGTCATAGACTGTATTTAATGTAACCAGCACTAAGGCAGCAGAGGAAAGGGTCTATACGGCAGGCAGCCTGACTCAGAGTGGAGCAAAGCCTTCCTAAGCTTACTTATGTATGGAAAAGCAAAGGACTGTCTGTAGGTGCTTTGAAGTGACAAAAAATACACTAGTGCCAGTTGTGGGCGCCCCCTTCATGCTCTGAAAAATCACTGATTTTTGCCAAACACCCCAGCCTGAGACCCATCACCTGAGTATGGGAAACCAGTCACCCACAACCCCCTGAAGGAGAGAGAGAGAACCATTGGCTGGGTTGTGATCATGTGACGTTCAGCATCTCGTATTGCAAGACATGGCTCGTTTATGTACTTCTAGAATCTGTTCTGGGGCAACTAGAAGAACGTACACAGAAGTTCCGCTCCCGCGACATCCCTTATAGCATTCCTCATGGGAACAGAAATAAGAGATGCAATCTCAATGGATGAATGCAGGGGCAGCCCCTCGGTTGAGCGTCCAGCTTCAGCTCATGTCACAATCTCGCAGTTTGTGGGTTCGAGCCCCGCGTCGGGATCTGTGCTGACAGTTCAGAGCTGGGAGCATGCTTTGGATTCTGTGTCTCCCTCTCCCTCTCTGGCCTTCTGCTTGTACTCTGTTTCTGTTTCTCTCAAAAATAAACATAAACATTAAAAAAAATTTTAATACATAAAAAAACAGACAAATACAGACGGCCCCTACAATGAAATACCGTGACTGCATTAAAAGCGGTGAGAAAAGATGAGACATGCACAGGATAGATGGTGGGGGTCGTGCGGGTCACACATGTGCCCGTCCCCTTCTCTTCCCAGGTCCAGGATGGCCGCTGGCATCAGACACTTTTCACCTTCCGGACCCAGGACCCACAGCAGCTGCCCATCGTCAGCGTGGACAACCTCCCCCCTGCCTCATCAGGGAAGCAGTACCGCCTCGAAGTTGGACCTGCGTGCTTCCTCTGACCTCTGACCTCCTGGCTCCTCTAGACCTCGAGGGGGAGGGAAGAGGAGGAGGAGGGAAAGGGAGGGTCCCTCGGGGCAGGCGGGCCGGCCGGGGAGCCCAAGGATTCCCGGCTAGAGCCCCAGCTACCGTCTGTCCAGTAAGAGTGGCTGGGGGTGGGGGGGTGCAGCAGGGAACAGTGTATCCTTGGGACCGACCGATCCCAGCTCAGCCCCGAAGACCAACCAAAGAGCCAGCCATAGCGAGCTGGACCTGCACCCCACCTGCGCCCTGCGGCCCGTCTCCCAGCTCTGCTCTGCTCGGTTTCCTGCCCAAAGAGCCCCACCAGTCTGGCCAGCTCGAGGGGCGGGGGTTGTCTCACCGCCAGTCCCTGCCAGGAGCTTTGATGTGCAATATTAGAGAGGAGACATGAAAAAAGGAGAAAAGGAAAGAAAGAAGTATATCTATTTTATTTAAACAAACACAGAGAAAGGTGCATTACTAGTTTTTCACCTGAGAAAGAGGTGAGAGAAGGAGCAGCCAGAGGGTGGGAAGCGGTGGAGGCCGAGGGGGGGGCAGCACGACCCTGGGGGCTGGGGGCGCCCACGCTAGCTACCTCCCACTGTGAAATCGCTGGTGCTCGCTGTCTCATAGTGTATGTGATTTTTTTTTAAGGAAAAAAAAAGCCTATTTAAGATTCTGAAGGTGCTACCATTTTTGCCACAGACTTTGAAGACCGTTTTTGATGTGGGCTGTCCACATTTTGCGCTCTCCTCCAAATGACAAAGTTTGGGGAATTTAAACACGTTTCTAGTATCACCCTTGTGCTCATCAGGTAATCGACTAAGCAGGGGGAAGGGGAAGGAAAAAGGAAAAAAAAAAAAAAGTTTGGGGAATTTAAACACGTTTCTAGTATCACCCTTGTGCTCATCAGGTAATCGACTAAGCAGGGGGAAGGGGAAGGAAAAAGGAAAAAAAAAAAAAAGCAAAGCCAAAAAAAAAAAAAAAAAAGAAAAGAAAAAAAAAAAAAAAATACCAGAAACAGAAGCAGAAAGATTTACCTTTTTAATTTATGGGTTTTGAAATGTTTGTCCTTTTAAGGCAGAGGGAAGCCTGAGCGTGAAGGATTTGGGCTTAGCCTGGTCATGGTCCTGGAGGGAAGTTAGGCTTCTCTTGGAAGGTGGGATCTGAACTGGAGAGTCAGGGGAAAAAGCCTTGACCTTGAAGAAACCAGTTTTAAGAGCGGTTGTTGGGTCAGCGCTGGCCTTGGAGATGAAGTAACGATCTGGAACCATCTCACACAGCATGTAACGTTCCCTAGGATCCTCCCTTCCAGGAGCTTGTCTCTGCCAAGTTGTGGCCATCACTCGTGCCTTTCCATTGTCATTGAATCCTCTAGAAACCCAGCGTCATTAGCTCCAAGTGTAAATGTGGGCTGAGGAGAAAGACTGACTAGGGGAATCTCGGGGTTCCGCGTGATTGGGGGATACCCAGGGTAATCTGAGCTGTCCTTTAGCAACAACCAGTCAGCACCCAGGGTGGATTTTGAGGTTATTTTAAGTATGGAGTTATTTTTATAGAAGGGGAAATTTTATGTGAACGTCTATTTGTGTCTTCTTTTTTTATTCTTCTAAAGTCGCGTCTCTTTGGGAATTGGATTTGATTTTCATTATTTAATACCTCACTCTGGCCCACCTTCCCCACCAGACACTTCCTGTAAGCCTCGCCCTCCCGCCCCAGCCCAGACGCTCCCCGTGGAAGTGCGTTCTTGTAGCAGCTCGGGCCTCATCTCAGCCCTCGGTTTCCCCACACCGCCAGTCTCCACCTGGCCTCTGTCTCGTTCTTGGGATTTTCTGCTGTCCTCGTTTATGTCTGTCCACATGTCAGTGTGTTAAAACCCCGGCGGGTTCCGTTTCTCCTTTTTCCCTTCTGGATTTTAAATAAATATTTAAAACTGAGGCAATGGAATGATGCATCTGTGGCTGTGTGCTTCTTTGAACAGCCCAAAGGGAGGTTTCCAGCCAGGCTGGGGCGGGGGAGGAGGGGACAGAAGGTGCTCAGGGGATGCCCTGTTTATGCTGCTTCCCCCGAAGGAGGCAGGCAGGGGGAGAGATGGCGTGGGGTGAATGCGGGGGTGAGTACTGGTGGTCCAGGTCCCACGGGGTATTCACTTATTTTTTTTAAATTTTTTAAAAATATTTTATTTCTTTCTGAGAGAGGGAGACAGCATGAACAGGGGAGGGTCAGAGAGAGAGAGGGAGACACAGAATCAGAAGCAGGCTCCAGGCTCTGAGCTGTCAGCACAGAGCCCGACATGGGGCTCGAACCCACAAACCGTGAGGTCGTGACCTGAGCCAAAGTCGGACGCTTAACCGACTGAGCCACGCAGGCGCCCCAAGGGGTATTCGTTTCTTAGGGTCGCTGTAACAGTTCCGCCAGCCTGGAGGCTTAGAGAGGCAGAAATGCATTCTCTCCTGGCTCTTGAGGCTGGAAATCTCAGTGGTGGCAGTGCCCTCACGCTAGGCGAGGCTCCTTACCCTGACCAGTGTGTGGTGGCCCCAGGCTTCTCTCGGCTTCTGGCTGCAGCACTGTGGTCTCTGCCTCGTTAGTCACGTGGCATTACTTCTCCCGTGTGTCTCCACACATCTTTTTTACATTTTAATTATTTTTAATGTTTACTTATTTTTTGAGAGACAGAGAGACAGAGCATGAACAGGGAAAGGGCAGCGAGAGAGGGAGACACAGGATCGGAAGCAGGCTCCAGGCTCTGAGCGGTCAGCACAGAGCCCAACGAGGGGCTAAAACCCACAAACTGCGAGATCATGAACTGAGCTGCAGTCAGATGCTTAACCGACTGAGCCACCCAGGTGCTCTCCCCACCCCACCACCACACATCTTTTTATAAGGATACCAGTCAGACTGGACGAGTTCATCTTCACTTGGTTACATCTGCAAAGACCCTATTTCCAGGGAAGGCCACATTCACAGGTAATAAGGTGAGGACTTCAATGCATCTTCTTGGGGGACACAATTCAACCCATGGCACATAGGGAGGAGGTATATCGAAGTTACCATGAGGAATTCTTTCCTTTTTCCCACCATAGTAACGTGCACATTAGACTTATCATTCATGACATTCAGTACATTCACAGTGCTGTGCCAACATCACCACTATCAAGTTCCAGAACATTCTCATCACCCTAAAAGGAAACTCCATGCTTATGAAACAGTCATTCACCATTCCCCTCTGCCTGAGTCCCTGGAAAACCACCATCTGCTTTCTGACTCTGCTTACTGTGGATAATTCATATAAATGGAATCATATTTCATATAAACAGAATCTTGTTTTGCAGATGGTCAGTCCCTTTAATGTCACTTTCCTCCCACAGAAAGCTTACTTTCTCTCTCTTTTTTTAAATGTTTATTATTTATTTATTTTATTATTTTTTTTGAGAGACAGAGTAAGAGTGGGGATGGGCAGAGAGAGGGAGACACAGAATCCGAAGCAGGCTCCAGGCTCTGAGCTGTTGGCACATAACCTGACTTGGGGCTCAAACCCACAAACCATGAGATCGTGACCTGAGCTGAAGTTGGACGTTTAACTGACTGAGCCACCCAGGTGCCCCAAAAGCTCACCTTCTGTGGTTGACTTCTCTCATGTAGCATGATTTCAAGGTTCACCTTTGTGGTATATGTATCCATACAGTACTTCATTCCATTTTATGCCTCACTAATAGACTACTGTCTGGATATACCACAGTTTGATTCTCCGCTCCTCCACTGAGGGACATCTGGGTTCTTCCCATCTTTTGGCCCTTGTGGACATGCTTCAATACAAGCATTTCTTACCTATGCTAGAGAGATGCCACAATATCACCTGCCTTGGAGGAAGCGAGTAAGCATCTGAGAGATGGCTGGGCTTAGCAACTAAATAGACAGGACCACCCAGGTTAATTTGAATTTCAGATAAACAGCAGTTATTTTTTAATATTATTTAAGTTTATTTATTTATTTATTTATTTATTTATTTATTTATTTATTTATCTTGAGAGAGATAGAGACAGTGTGAGCTGGGGAAGGGCAGACAGAGAGGAGGAGAGAGAGAATTCCAGCCAGAATCCCAGAGAATCTGTGCCAGCACAGAGCCCGATGTGGGGCTCAAACTCACAAAGCCAAGAGATCATGCCCTGAGCTGAAACCAAGAGTTGGACACTCAACCGACTGAGCCACCCAGGTGCCCCAACAATATTTTTTTTTTAGCATATCTGGGACATATTAGGACATAGCTATACCCCACAGGACCCGGAACCCTGATCTCCTGACTCCTGGTTCATAATTCCTTTCTTGGCTTGTTCTCCCACCCTGGGAGCTTGAATGAATCAGAGATTTTCTGCCCTTCTCACCCAGGAGAAAGAACAAAGCACAGGCAGTTGAATTCATATCCGGGATTTTATGTTTTAAAGCCTTGCTGTTTCTAGGTCATCAGGGTCTCCTCCCCACCCCCCTCCCCGACTCCAGACAGGGAGCACCGGATGCTGCTCCTTCGCTGTGGCTCCAAGAATCCTGTCTGCAGAGCCCAGGATTCATGGGCTGGAAGGGCTTAGAGACCCTCACACCCCAGACACCCTGTCATAGGGTTCCACAGAAGGTAACTACAGCCAGGGAAGTGCCCGAGGTCACCTGCTGAGGCCAACACAGAGCTCTGATTCAAATCCAAGACTGCTGACAGGTGTGGCGGGGGGGGGGGGGTGTTGCTCAGCGTGGCCCCCTGGGATTAGCAGAAACAGCAGCCCCTGGGAGTTGGTTACAGAGGCACATCTTCAGCCCCGATCCCAAACTACCAAATCACAGACTCCCAGGGTCCCAGCAGTCCAGGTTTTAAACAAGCCTCCCTGAGATACAAATCAGAACCACACTGAGATGCCACCTCCAGCCAGTCAGAGTGGCTAAAACAAACAAATCAGGAGACTCTAGATGCTGGTGAGAATGTGGAAAAACGGGCACCCTCCTACACTGTTGGTGGGAATGCAAACTGGTGCAGCCCCTCTGGAAAACTGTGGAGGTTCCTCAAAAAAGGAACAGTAGAACTCCCTAAGACCCAGCAATAGCGCTGCTAGGAATTTACCCAAGGGATACAGGAGTGCTGATGCATAGGGGCACATGTACCCCAATGTTCACAGCAGCACTCTCAACAATAGCTAAATCATGGAAAGAACCTAAGTGTCCATCAACAGATGAATGGATCAAGAAGATGTGGTTTATCTAAACAACGGAACACTCCCTGGCAATGAGAAAGAATGAAATCTGGCCATGTGTAGCAACATGGATGGAGTTCGAGAGCGTTATGCTGAGAGAAATAAGTCAGGCAGAGAAGGACAGACATCATATGATTTCACTTGTATGTGGATTTTGAGGAACTTAACAGATGATCATAGGGGAAGGGAAGGGAAAAAAAAGTTACAAACAGAGAAAGGGGAAAACCATAAGAGACTCTTAAATACAGAGAACAAACTGAGGGTCAATAGGTAGGAAAAATGGGTGATAGGCATTGAGGAAGGCACTTGTTGGGATGGGCGCTGGGTGTTCTATGTAAGTGATGAATCACGGGAATCTATCTCCAAAGCCAAGAGCACACTGTATACACTGTATGTTAGCTAACTTGACAATAAATTATTTTAAAAATAA